TGGGGACAAAGAGGCTCAGAGAGGTTGAATCACTTGCCCAGGGTCACAGACATGGTGATAATATGTGGCGGAGCTGGGATTCTGACCTAGGCTGTGTGTCTTCTAAATCTGTGCTCTTCACCACGACTCCACAGCCTCTTGCTGTAACAGTGCTCTGATCTAATGCAATCCTGGAACTCTCTCTACATTTTCTCTGTGAGCCTCTCACCTCTGCTTCTTTCTGCTTTCCACCCGAGAACCCCCACTGCCTTACTTCACTTACCCTCTTGCAGTTTACCTTGTCTTGCAACTTGTTCCTTTGTCCTTCTGCCAAAGCTGCCCAGTGATGCCTCGACCCTGCATCAGTCCAGCTTTCTGTCTCCTCCACGTTTGTGCCCAAACTGCTAAGCTTTGTAGGTGAAAAGAAAATCACCAGCTGGGCAGCAGGGCCCTCGTGCATCCATGTCTCTGGCGTGACTCAGGCCCTCAAGGATCCCGGGGAACGTCCCCCTTCCTAGTCAGTGCTCAGCCCTTCTCACCGCACCTGCACCTCCTGGAGGCACTTGAGCCTCTCCTGCTTGAAACCAAACAAAGCCCCCACCTCCCCCACACCTGCCTGCATCTTGAGAGCACTGTCTGCGCTCCCTACTGTACCTCCTTCTCAAAGGTCAGTCCACTCCCGTCGCGCTTCTGTGCCACCACGCTCCGAAGGCGCTTGCTCCAAGGCCGCCAGTCACCTCCTCGGTGCTGAATTCAGTGAGGACGGTTCAGTCCTTAGCTAACTTGACCTCTCCACAGCTTTGGACCCCTGAACCCTCCCTCCTGGGAACATTCTCTTCCTCTTAGAAACAAGCCCATTAAACTTCATCTTCTCCCACAAAGCCCAGACTCCCAGCCGGAAACCTGGCTTCATCCTTGCACCTCCTCCTCCCTCAGGCTCTCCCCACCACATTTGCAATCTAGTCTGTCACCAGCCCTGCAGATTCTTCCCTCCAGGGGTCTAGAACCCATCCCTTCCTCTCTAGACTCACTGCTACCCCATTCCACTCTCCTCCCCCTTCGCTCCCTGCTGAAACCCCTCCTGGGCTCTCCCAGCCCCAGCTCCCTCCAGGCAGCCCTCTAGATTTTGCTGGAGCGGAGCCGAACTCGCCTGGTGTGGTCGGGTGGCCACGCTGCTCCTGTTGCCTCTATGTTCACCTGGCTAACTCCAGCTCAACCGTCAGAGCGCAGCTGGGACACCGCTTCCTTCAGGAAGCCTTCCTTTGCCTCGGTGATGGGGAACTGCTGTGTCCAGGTCTGTATCCCCCACTGGTCTACCTTGAGGACCAGGATTATATCCACCTTGTTAGCTGCCACATCCCCACTGGAGTGTCTGGGTCTCCCCAGGTGCCCAGGAAATATTGGTTAGACAAATGGTTAAGGTCAGAGGGGCCACTGCGGCCTGCCTTTATCTGTCTCTTGGTTTTGAAGTCGCTCTGTGCCCACTTCTCCCTATTCCCTCCTCACTTTGGGTCTTGGGAGGGTGCGGTGGACAGCTGGGTGGGGACTGGAGGTGGATTCTAGGGCAGATTCTTATTGAGTTAAAGACGGGGGAGGGCTCAGGGTAAAGCAGAGGGGCCCAGGGCAGCCTCTCCATGCTGTGTGTCCCCCTTCTCCTGTTCCCCTCTCTGTCGTTCTCATCTCTTTTCAGAGAACTGTGCTCAAGGCTACAGGTGCTTGACCTCTTGTCTGGGCACTACTCAGTTCCCCTGGGGTTTAGGGCTGGATATGGAGTATCTCCTCCAATCCTAAAGCTACCCTCCCCATCGGCTCCCTTCTCCTTTCATCCCCTTGCCCTCCCTCCAGCCTCCCCCAACGCCTGTAGCTTGCACTTGCCTGAGCCGGTCCAGTGGACACTCCTCTGCTGGTCCTGCCCCCAGGAACCCCCAGGGGAGGAAGGATCCCTAGAGAGGAGGGCAGCCAGCGGGGTGCCAACTTGGAGGGGGGTGCTGGGGGGAGCGGCGGCCGGCCCCCCTCACTCACCCAGCTGGCGGCTTGCAGATCCCCGGCTTAGCGGGTGGGCGGGGGCGTGAGGGCAGAGGGGCTCCAGGGAGCAGCTCCAGGGGACCCGGAGGTGCCGGCAGGGCCCTGGCTGTGGGCTGTGCCGTTCGGAGCGCCCATCTCAGCTTCCTTGCGGCCCCTCGGCTCCCTTTGACCCCCCCGCGGATCAGCGTTCCCACCAAGTCTTCTCTTCTCTTTGGCTCCGGCTCCGCACCGCCCTTCTCCCCTCCCCGCCTCTAGGTTTTAACGCTTTTCAAGCGCCTGGCAATGAACTCCCAGCCGCCCACACACTCTTCAGTCTGGACTTCCTGAGTCCGGGATGGACACATTGCCGTTCACTCTAGAGCGAGGGGTGTAGGTCTCACTGGCTCTGTCTTCAGTTTCTGGCGGATTCCCAACCCTAGGCGGGGGTGGGGCTTGGGGGGCAGATGGGAGGGGGATGGAGCGGTGAGAGCAGGAAGATTTTTCCGGGGATGGGGCTTGTTTTCAGCAACCCTTCTCCAATCACCCTCCACAAATCCTGCATCCTAGAAAGAGGTGTGGCCACGAGCCCCTTATACAGCTCCTGGTGAGATTTGGTGGGATTTGTAAGGGTTTCTTCGGGGGTGGGAGCGGGGAGGGAGCGCTTGGCCTGCCTCCAGGCTGGACTGTGTTGGCGAGGACTGGGTGGGAGTCTGAGGTGCTGATTTTCCAGGACCTGGGGGAGTTCAGCTGGAGGAGCATCTCCAACCCCCTCTTCATTCATTCACTCATCCATTCATAAATCCGCCCTGATGTGAACCACGCGCCAGGCAACCTTCATCCTGACAGTGGCCTGGGAGGGACCACTCATCTTCCACCTGCAGATGAAGAAACTGAGGCTCGAGGCCTCACAGTCTCTTGCCCAGGCCCTGGAGGTGGGAGGGGGGTTGCTGAACCAGTACTGAGTCTTATCCCTAGACTCCAGCGCCAACCTGGTCAGTCCTCCAGGTTGGCCCAGTGGGAATGTGACTTCCAGGGGGCTGCCTGGACTCCCCACCTTTGGTATAGTGTCAGCACCCAGCCCAAGGCTGGCTAGTCACATCCACAGTTGAGGTCAGAACAGGGCTATTGGATAGAACTGATTTCATTTATTGAACAGACCGCTGTCGTATAACCTGTCCCTGTCCCCGCCCCCCCCCCCCCCCCCCCCCCCCACTGAATGGAGGGTTCCGGACCTGCTCGGAGGGGAGAGGGCGCTTTCCCCTAACACTACCCACCGCACCACCCCTGCCTGCTTGGCCCAACCTCAGCTTCTTCCAAAGCATGGATGGGGAGAAGTCACGTGTCTCCACAGGGCCACTACTGGGACCAGGTGAAGGGGGTGGGGGTCAGGGGTAGAGATGCAGTTGGGGAGGAGGTATCTGGACACTCACCTGGACTGGGGGAAGGGAGTTCTCAGGAAGCCCATGGCAGGGGAAAGAGAGGAAACAGGCCCAGGCCTTGAGAACTCCAGAGTTTCAAGGGTCCTTGGAGCCCCACCCAGTTCTTCCCCAAAGGACATAGCTCTTGCCTTTTCACGTGTTCATTTCCTAATTTAATCCGCTCTGATGCCCAACGCTGCTCTGTGCCTGGCCCTGCCAGGCATCTGGGATACCATAGCCCTGCCTGGGGGAGATCATGGCTGGGAAGGGTTGATGGTGGGTAAGGGGGGCACCACAATCCCTACAGCTCGGCACCACCTTCCCCACTTCCACCCCATCCACCTCTAGGCATCTCTTTGGGGTGCTGCTGGTGAGGATGAAGATGGACCAGAGGAAGCATTTCCTTACTGATCAAGGAAACCAGGCCCGAGTTATTGTTGATGACGATGATGTTGAGGAAAAGGAGAAGGGAGAGGGAGCAGGCGGGAGGGAAATGCAAGGAGGGGGACACTGACTTCCCTCGGGCTGGAGGAACAAAGGTCTCCCCAGCCCAGCAGCATTTGTGAAATTTGTTCTATCCATTCAGGTCTGTCCCACTGTGGTCAGGGAGTTGGTCCCTGGGGCCTGTGCAGAGGGCAGCAGAGGGTAGAGCCGTGGGTGGGGAGAGAGAAGAGGCCTGGATGCGAGGTTTGGGACAATCTCTCACCATGGGACTTGATGAGTCCTTTTCCTGCAGGGCCTCAGCTTTCCCCTCTGTACAATAGGGTGCTCTCTCCTGCTTTTGGTGTGGTTTTCCAACATCCACTGGGTACCTTCCACGTGCCTGGCCCTCAGCGCCCCCACTCTCGTGAGGGGGAAATAGAGGCCACTCAGAGTGCTGGGGGCTGTGATGGAGGGGAGCCCTGGGGCTGTGGGAGCACAGAGAAGTCAGGGGAGGCTTCCAAGAAGAGGTGTCATCTGCACTGATTCTTGAAGAATGAGACTCTTCCTAGCTTGTCTTTTGCTCACCAACGAGGACAGAGGCCACATGGAGACGATGTCTCCACAGAAGTCATACAACTCTGCTTCCCCCTGAGGTTGCAGGCGTATGAGGAGTGGCATGGAGGGAGGAGCAATGTTTCCTGTACAGCCTGGCTCCAAACCCTGTACACATGTGGAGCCCGGGAAAGCCTAGGGAATTGTTTTTCCACTAAATTTAAGCCATTTGACATTTATTGAGCACTTACTGTGTACCATGATGGTAACTGGAAAAGGGCAATAGACAGTAGGTTTAAACAGGATTAGTAACTGTTTTGTGAAAAAGAAGACTTCAACCTGCCTGGAGGGTGTCGAAAGAGGGAGACAGAGGCTGGTGGAAGAGGATGAGGAGGGCATTGTGGTTAAGGGGACACTTGGAAGGAGGCCTTTAAGGATGGGGGATCTGATAGGCAGAGAGGAGCAGAGTGGGGGGCATCCAGGAGAACACAGGCCAAGGCTTGGGAGCTGGAACGTGTTTCGATGGTTCAGGAGCAGTGAGAGGGTGGGGAGAAAAGGAAGGCTGGAGGTCTTGTTTGCAGTCAGATCATGAAAAGCCTTAAATAGTGGAGTCAAACCCCAAGAGTCTCAGCACAGGGCTCAGCTCAGGAGACACCTCCTCCTGGAAGCCTCCAGGCCCGTGCGTCACCTGGGCTCCTGTCAAGGCAGCGACCATTTTGTTTTTCTAGGCTATGCCGCTGTCTGGTTCACTGCTGCTCAGGGCCCATTCCTGAGGAGCTGCCTGGAGCTTTTGATATTCAGGGGAGTCTGGTCCAGGCCCTCTATGCAGCCAGTGAGCTCCTGAGGCCCAGGGCCAGGCCCAGACCCGGTGTGGTTCCTGTGAGCCTGTGGTTCACTTCCCTGGCCAGGCTGGAGCAAGAGACTGGGGTATCACTGGGCCCCAAATTCCAGAGGATCCAGACAGTAGATCAAAAAGGGAAGAAAGCCAAGCAGCAGTTCAGAGAGAAAATCCAGGTCAAGAGCCTGAAACCAGAGACACCGTGGTCCAGGCCCCACCCCACTACAGGGAATCCATTTCCAATGGTCTTGGTGAAAGCAGGTCTGGCATCTCCAGGACCTGGTTCATCTCTGGTTTGGACCCGGGCAGGCTCTGAGATTGGGGTAGCGGGTGGGAAGAGAGGGCAGGGCAGGGGGCAGCCCGTCAGCCCCTGCCTCAGCCCTCCCCAGCCCCCCTTCCCCCTGGCTTCAGCTTCTCCAGGGTTCTGCTCACGGTGGACAGGCTGCTGCGGACTCCTGCGGGAGAGACCAGGACAGGCCTTGCTGAGTAGACAGGTCCCGGGTCAGGGCCACCCAGAGGGACCCGGGGTCAGAGCGGGCTAGAATGGGGAGGGAGGGAGGCATGGATGGTCAGAGTGGCCCTTCTGGAGGACAGCAGCATGGTGTGGGTGTTAGAGGCAGGACTCGGGGCTGAAGGCCTGGTTTCTGGCCGCACCACTTCCTGGCTGCCTCACGTAATCTCCCTGTGCCTCAGTTGGCCCATATATAAAGTGGGGCTAATTATAGCACCTGCCTGTTCTGAGAATGAAACAAATTAACACATGGAAAGTGCTGGGCAGGGTGTCTGGAATAGGCACTTCCACTGGCAGCAGACACAGGATGGAGGCATCTTTGAGAAACTCTTGCTCTGGCATCCTCCAGTGTGTGGGGAGGAGGGAGGAGGGAGATGCCCAGTTTCAGGTACCCGCTCTGAGAGCTGGATTCCACAGTGGAAGAGGAGAGTGAGAAAATAAGCGGGCATGGGGCCTAGGGCAGGGAAGGGGGCAGTGCGGTGTCATGCTGGGCCTGACAGAGAAACCCTGGGGACCAGAGCAGCTGAGCTCAGCTGGGAGCAAGAAGGGTTCTGACTAAGCTCATGGAAGAAATACCCAACGCTGCTGCCTCCCTGTGATCGGAGAAGTCCCCTCTGCACTTCCCTCAAGGTTTCCCCACAGAGCTGTGCACCCAGAGGGGGAAGATGGCAGATGGACTCTGGGATTTCTGGAACTTACCTTCTTTATTACCATTGGCGCTGGATCTTCCTTCCCCGTGGTCTGGCCCTGGCTGGGGGTGGATTCTTAGGCTCCCTATAGGATGAGACCACCCCAAGCCCCCTGGTTACCAAGCCATTCTCAAATCAAGTCCAGCTTTGGGAAGGGAAGGCCCTCCTGTTATCTACTCTCCATCCCTGCTGCTGTCTTTGCTCCACTACATCCCTTTACGTCTCCCACGTGATCTGAGCTGATCTGGGGAGAGGAGTGAAGGTGGAAGAAATGGGCCCTGGAAGGAGAGGGTGGCAGATTTTTATTTTATTTTATTATTATTATTTTTTTGCGGTACATGGGCCTCTCACTGTTGTGGCCTCTCCCATTGCGGAGCACAGGCTCCGGAAGCGCAGGCTCAGTGGCCATGGCTCACGGGCCCAGCCGCTCCACGGCATGTGGAATCTTCCTGGACTGGGGCACGAACCCGTGTCCCCTGAATCGGCAGGTGGACTCTCAACCACTGTGCCACCAGGGAAGCCCAAGGTGGCAGATTTTTAAGGAAGTGGAGGTCCTGGGGAGACCCAGGGATACGTAGCCCCACAGGATTGATGGAGATGGGAGCGCATATGTGGGGAACTGAGAAGAGGAGGCAAGCTGTACAAGGGTCCTAAGGTCTCACACACAGCCAGTACCAGCGACACACGTGGGCTCGGCTCCACTGCAGAGCGGGCCACAGACTTACAAACAAAGCGTCTCACCCAGTCCTCTGCTGGGGGCCGGGGAGAGGACTCACCTATCGTAGGCAGCATGCGGTCCAGGTTGAACCGAGCCTTCAGGAAGGGGTAGGCCAAGATGAGGAGCCCTGAGAAGAGAGACACAGAGGGGTTCCGTGATGGGGAGGGAGCCTGTTTAGTCTGAGCTGCATGAAGCTGTGGGCTGTGAGCCTGGGGGTGGATTATGGGTGAGCATGGGAGGAACCCCAGTGGCAGGGTTGGGACTGTGGGTGTGTAAATGCAGCCTGTGAGTGTGTGCGTGGGGGGTTCCCCAATACCCGGCCCCAGGAGGGGTTGGGGAGCAGTGCCTTCTGCGGAAGGGGCTACAGGCTGTGAAGGCCCAGGCTCCTGGCTCCACACCGCCCAGGTGATGAGCAGGTTGGCTTTCTTCCTTCCCAGCTGGCTGGAAATGGGCCCATTGACACTCCCCAACTCTCTGATGTCCCACCCTCCCCTAGGGCCCCCAGGGCAGGACTGGGGGTGCTCCTCAGTGTGCTCCTTTTCACCCAGACCTGGGGAGGGGGTAGCAGAAGAGCGGGTCCTGCTCTGCCCACTCCCAAGGGTCTGTGGCCCTTGGCCTGAGTTCACAGGTACAGATGCCCAGAGCCCACCAGCCTCGTGCTTCTGCTTCTGCTTGTGGCCCAGGGCGGCGGAGTGGGGCGAGGGATGGTACCCAACACCACTGTGGGGAGGTGAGTGGGACTGGCCCAGATAGATGCCTGGACAGACAGATCTGCTGCTGCGACATTTGGGAAAAGAAAAGGAAGCCTTCTCTCTGAGCTAGATCCTGTTCTGGCTCAAGGAGGGTCCCACAGAGAATTCTGTTCTCTTCCACCTGCTCCCCATCAACTCAGCCCCAGCAGGCTTATGAGTCCCAACACTAACCTAACAGCCCAGGGCTTGGGACTGGGAGCCGGAGCTGGAGTAGCCCAAGAGGAGTGGTTGCCAGCGCCTCCTCCACACCTGCTGACCCCTGCAGTGCGCTGCGGGAATCTCACCCCAATCTCCCTCTCCCTCCCCGTACCCACCCCCCACCATGGCTGCCTTGCTCACACCTCTTGCTTCCGTCCTCCCCAACCAAATTCCTGATGACCCAGCTCTTCCCTCCATTTCTCGTTCACCTGACCATGGCCCCGGCTCCCTCTCCGAGCCCAGCACCTGCTCACCCACAGCAGCGGCACCAATAAAGATTCCACCCACGGCAGCTGCAGCTTTGGACACGGAGACACCAATGATGATGCTGCCGGCCACCAGGCCGAGGGCCACGCAGGCCAGCTGCAGGCAGCGGAAGTCTCTGCTGCTGATGGGGATGTCCATGCAGGCCCACCCGGGGCACAGTCTCCAGCCAGCGGAGCCTTTTCCCCTGAAGAGCCCTGGAGGTCTCAGTCCTCTTGGATGTCTCCTTGCTGGAGCTCCACCTTTAGGGAGGGAGTTTCTGGGCAGTAAGATTCTGGGCTGGTAACCCGTGGCTTTATCTGCAACCCTATCTGACAATAGTCTTAGCTAGGATCTCTCCCAGGTCGCCCCAGCTTACTCTTCCTCCCCTAAAGACCCCTGAAGCTGGAAGCCACTCTCGGAACTTCTGCCTGCTCACATCCTGCCTTGGTTGCCAGAATTCTGGAGAGCTGGGACTGCCCCACGGGCTCCTCCCCTGTCAGCCTCCTCTCGGGAGAGCTCAGCCCGAGCTCCCCTGCCCAGGACCTCCCCTGCCCAGGACCTCCTGCCCCAGCTCCCTGGAGCCTGCTCAGCTGCCACTGAGCCTCAGCCTATTAAAGTTTAAAGCAATGGAGGTGGGAGGCGGGGCTGGTCCAGAGGACGTGGCTTCCTCAGAGATGCAGGCGGCAGGAGGTGCTGAGTTATTTATGAGGTTGCAATGTGAGCTGCTGCCCACAGGCCCACTAGGGCAGTCAGCCCAGGTTCCACTGTTGGTCCTGGACGGGGCAGGATGAGCGGGCGGCTTCACGTGCGGCTCGGCAGCCAGAGATGTGAGGAGACTCCTTGGCCACATGCTCAGGACCCACTCTGCTGTCCCTTTGGTTGGAGGTACACCTGGGGGCCTCTGCTTGGGGACTCAGAGACAGAGGCATGGAAGGAGACCTGGACGAGGCTCAGGAGACAGGAACAGCGACGGGGACAGGAGGAGGAGGGGGAGAGGGTCCTGCCAAGTCCCCTCGCTAACCCCCCCTCTCCCCCTCCCCCCTCCCATCAACCTCTGGGCCCCCAGGCAGGGCTGAGGTGTCCTAGTATGAGGACGATCTCAGGCGACCCTCTCCTCCTCAGGTAGGCTTCCTTTCAGTTGCCAGTGGGCTGAGAAGGTGAGCCCTTCCATCTGCCCTGGGATCCCGGGTGGGGGGCTGACAGGGAAGAACAGTGGTGGGTGCAGGGGTGGGAGGAAACACATGCAAGCTAGGGGGCTAGAGTTGGGAAGAGGAACTGGCAGGGGCTGGGTGTCAGCAGTCGGGGTCAGGAGACGGGGACAAGGCTGGCGCCTCCTGACCTCTGGGCTGAGCTCTGCCCAGCCTGTCTGACCTACTTGCAGAAGCCACCAAGTGAAGGCCGGGCAGCGGTAACCCAGCCCAGCCCGGCCCCGCACCCCAGTGCCAGCCCTCATCGCTAATTGCATTCTCTGGCCGTTAATGTATCAGCACAGTTCCCAGGGTCCCATCACCAGCCCCACTGGCCTCTCTTTGGATCTCCTGTCTCTCCGCTCCATGTCTGCCGTCCGATGCAGCCAGGCCCAAGGCCTCTGGCCTCCACCTGCCTCCACAGCTCCTCCTGCCCCTGGACCCCCCCTCCTCTGTGGCCCTTCTGCTAGTGTGTACCTGGCCTCTGCCATCTGGAGAACCCTCATCCTGCAGGACCCTGCAGAGCCATTCCTGAGGGCTCCTGAGTGGCTGCATCCCCACGCTGAAGTGCCTGCCACCTGTCTCCTCTGTAGACGGTGAGCCCCCTGAGGGCAGGTTCAGGGCGTGAGCACCACTGAGTGGCCAGTGGGCACCCAGGCTGGGCTTCTGGACACAAGGACAGAGCTTGGGGAGGGCTTGGACCTGTACGATCACCTCAGGTCGGCAGAGAAGAGGGCCGCGGGCACCATGGGACCTCTGTCTCTAACAGGAGGCTTTCCTGGGTGGGGGTAGGGGCCTGGGAAGGACAGGGTCATCTGACTGAGCATCAACTGAGGGAAGGCCCTGTCAGGAAGCTGGAGTGAGGCCTGGCCGGGGACACGTGTGAACTCAAAGGTTTGAAGAGAGGAGGGGTGACCACAGAGCACCGATGGACCCCAGGGCCATGTTCCCGGCCCCCATACGAGGAAGGCCCTGGAGGTGGGCATCCCAGCCACAGCTGCTGCTGCCAACATCCCCTGTGCCTCTCGCCAGGATGAGGTCTGATTATTCCTCTAATTAGGCATCAAATGACAACACATGTCTCTGTCACACAATTTATCCCCCACTGACTAGTTTTAGAAGGAGCCATCAAAATAGTTGTCCATGAAAACGTGTTCCTGAGACATGCAGCTTTGGGAACCTGAACACCCTCCACAATGCCCCCCCACCCCACCCCTCCGCCCCTATTAAGTGTTTGCATAACTCTGGCCAGGCAGGGCCTGTGCCGGCTCCTCTCCTGGTGTCAGGCTGAGGGCGACGCTCCCATACCATCAGCAAGACAGAGGCTCCCCGGCCACATCTCCGAGGTGGGCACCTTGCACTGTGGGACTCACTTTGCTCATCTGGTGAATGGGGATGGGGATGGCAGGGGCCAGAGTCAGGGATGCCTGTGCATTGTGGGTTTCAGATTCCAGAACACCCTGACCTCTAAAAACCGGAGACAAATTCTAAATTAGAGTTTTCCTTTGACACTGTAAATCCCTCAGGGCACAGAGGCAGAGCAGAGCATATGGAGGAGAGACACATTAAGCCACCATCAGTTACAAGATCACAGAACCTCCCAGCTCCTTTCCAGAACAGATGGGGAGACCGAGACATGGGGAGGTGGAAGGACGGCTTCAGAGTCCATGATGGAACCCAACGTCCAGATTCCCCGCTCAGCTGGGAGGTACGCTAGCACATCTCTAAATTATCTTATTGGAGGTGGGAGGAATTGGCAACCCCATCATTAGAGGGAGACATGGTGTTCAGAAGAATCAGTCGAGGCCTGCGTCGTTCCCACATGACAGGAGTGTCGCTAAAGGCTACTGGAAACTTGTGACACCTGCTCCTCTGTTGATTACAAATGTAGAGAGGGAGACTTGCCAATTCTTTCCTCAATACTGGCCGTACCAGCTCTGAGAAAGAAAGTGCATGCTTGCCCTTGGGTGATGATCTTACTGGCACAGGTGGATGAGATGGGAGCCCCAGGCTCTAGAGCCTGACCACCCTACACTTCCCCATCCCCAAGCTCAGAGCCCTCCTAGCTGAAGCCTCGGTCCTCCAGGCCCCCGGATCCAGTGTGGCTAGGCCGTGAGTCACTGCTGAACTCTGTCACAAAATCTCTTTGTCTGACAGGGAGGCCAGGGCTGGAGGGTGCCTGCCTATGCTCTTTCCTTCCTGGAAGCACCAAGTCCAAGGGTGGCATGGGGGTGGGGAGAAAGAGTGGGTGAAAAGGCCTCAGCTTGGTTTAGTTCTGTTTATTTTCCTTGAGGGGTGAGGACCCTGGAAAAGAGCTTGATTAATTCACCGATCCCTTGGGGGACAGGCAGCTTTCCTGGACTGTTTGGAAGCTGAAGTCGGGGAAGTGGCTTCCAAGGCAACTGCTACCATGGCAACAAGAGTGCCAGCCGTGGGGGGACCTTGCTTCTCGCTGCTCCCCTCAGACCTCAGCAGCTGGAGCAGTTGGCATGGGACTAGGGCACTGCTGTTCACCAAGCTGGATCTGGAGAGGGGCAGTCAGCCAGAAGGGAGGAGGGGACCTCAGAGCTCAGGCAGGTGGACACTTGGAGGGAGAAAGACTCCCTCCCTGTACCTGAGCCCCCAGACGGAGCTCAGACAGGAGTCCTCAGGGTCCATTTGAATCAGGATGGGCTGGGGTCGAGGCCTGCCGAGACTGGATTTGAGGCAAGAAGCCTGAGGTCCAGGACACTCCAGCCCTCTCCTAAGGGCAGCCTGCACGTGAGCCCTAGAGCTGGGGCTCTGGATGCCACAGTTCCAGGCCCCAGGGCCTCCCTCAGCATGTCTGCCTCTGCCCAGCAGAGCCAGGCACATGGCCTGGTCCCCAGAAAGGGCAAGGGACTTCCCAAGGTCACCTAGTGAACAGTGGTAAAGGAAAGACTAGGATCCAGGGCTCCAGCCCCCAACCTGGCTCTTCCCGTGGCATAACAGCTGCCCCGTGGGGACAGGGACCCCCACCAAGAGGGACAGAGCAGCCTGCCAGCAGGAGGATCCCACAAAGGGCCAGAGGCCAGCCCCGTGTGGAAAGGCCAAACACATCTCCACCCACACAAGCCAAGAAGAAGGTTTCCTCATCTCCATCACTGGGGCCCAGTTGAGCAATTATGCCCCAGGAGACAACAATAAAAGTAACTACAACCATCACGGCTACTGTAATATTTATTGAGCACTTACTATGTGTGCTTGGAACTGCTCTAAACACTTTACATTTATTAATTTGTAACTTTCACAGTAGCACCACGAGGTAAGCACTAGCCTCCCCCATTTTTGGTCTAAGAAACTGAGACCCTCAGAGATTGTGTAACTTGCCCAGGGCCCAAGGCCAGTAAGTGGAAGAGCTGGGATTTGGACCCAGGTAGCACAGCTCTGGGTATCAGGTCTCTGGGAAGAATTCCAGTTCTACCTTCCTAGCTCTACAGCTGTGGGCAAGCTATTTTTTTCCTTTTTCCGCTTGGTTCTTCATGTTAAGTGGGGTAAATAGCACCTTACCTCATATAACTGCTCTGAGAATTAAATGAGGTAATGCCTGTGAGCTTCTCAGAAAGCACTTGTTACTTAGTAAGCGCACAATGACGCCAGCAAAACCAAAGTAGGCACAGTAGCATTTAAGCAGAGCTGTGGATGAGAGAGGCCTTGCCAGGGGGACCTGGGGAGTGGGATGGGTGGAATACTCGGTCCAGGAAGCTCCTGTAAGTCACATCCCTGCTGGACCAACCTGGAGGATTGACCAGGGTGGGGCTGGAGTCCAGAGACAAAAGTCACACCCTGCTTCCCAGTCTCCAGGGACAAGGAGACTGGGTCAAAAGGCTCAGATTCTGCAGGCCAATTTATCCAGCCCATCCCACACCGGGTAGATGAAGAGGGGACGTGAGGATGGTACGGGTTCCTGCAAAGGAAGGACCATCAACAAAAAGTATGTCCTCGTTGACATGGAGGATTCACGGTGCAGAACACCTGGCAGCCTGGCCCATGACCTGTCCCCACAGGGAAGAGCCCCGCACCCCACCTCAGCTCTCTGCTCCCCCAGGGAGCAAAGCTGGCAGCAGTGCCCAGTCTTCTGCCCTGACACTCAGACCTCCCTCTGCCACCTCCTTGGGAATTTCTAAAGGCCCTCCCCATACAGTCTTCTGAGTCTGGTTCTGAGGATTACTAAGGCAATGCGCACAGAAGCCTTCTGCTTGAAGAAGGTGAGGACTGTGGATCGAGGCGCCATTTTTCTTTGTTACTAACTCTGGCAGGACAAGCACAGTCCCAGGCACACGATGGAGCCTCAAGAAAGGCTTAGTGCTGCTTCAGACAGACGGGACTCTGCTCCACTTGGGTGGGTGGGCTGGGCTGGGTACAGGGCACGCCTGTTGAAGTGCTTTTTGAAGCCAGCTTGTGTGATGGTTGCTGACACGGCCTCTTCCACTGGATAGGGAGATCCTAAAAGGCAGAGGCTGTTTCCCACTTATCTCTGGGTCCTGGCACAGAAAAGGAGATTGACAAATGTTTGATGAATTTCATTTCCTCACTGAAAAAAGAGAAGCAATGATCTCTCCTTCACCTTGTGCTATATTCAGAGGTCTTGACAACGGGCACCCCCCCCCCCCTTGGCAGAACCCAGCCCCTCTCTAGAAGGCCTGTCTCCTCCTCAGGGTTGCAGGTGAAGAAAGGACCACCAGGAAGGCACTAGAATTTAAAACAGTTTTATTAAAATAAGCACAATGCATAATAGCATCCTTGTGTTGCAAAAACATCTGACATATGCAAATCGATTTTCTTAGGTAACTAAGCAGCTCCGCTGATGCTCAGCTATCAGCTCCCCAGCAGAAGGCACCACACGGCTCAGACCAGGGTGGCTGGGCAGGCTCCGGACTGGCTCCACCTCAGGCACAGAGCTCCTCAGTGCCCCAGACCTGCGCTGCCCTCCACACCAGGCTCGAGGAAGGTAGCAGCAGACACACTGGTCTCTAAGTCACTCATCATCTGAACAGCTTAAAACCAGTTAGAGTAATAGGAAATAGCTCATTAAAACCTTCCAAATGCATGGAAATTCAGGAGAGAAGAATGAACCCTAAGAGCTCTGGAAAGTCCACGGGCTCACAGTGGGAGTTTAAAGTCTCATCTTTGTCGGAAGAGCACGGTTAGAAAAAATGCCAAATATTGTAAAACACGAAATAATACTGACTTCAGCAGCAATCCCAAACAAGGCAGAGGATGATAAATGACGGACACATTTTGGTCATGGCAAAGAAAGATTATGTGCTTCTCTGAGCTATCGACTGGAAGACGGATCTGGCTTCCTGAATGCAGAAGGCTCCCTGCCGTTCCCTGAATCGAGGGGATGGCTTCCCTCAGCCACGGGGGAGGACGTCCGGAGGACAGAGGAAGGTGGAAGGACCGCCAGAGGGGGGTGACAGTGCAGGGAGAGGGAAGAGCCTCTGTCAACCGACGCTTCTCAAGGCTGGCTCCCTGAAGGCCACAGCCCCAGCCGGTGAGAGCGGGCTGGGCTGGATCCTCAATCCGCAGGCGGGTGAGCAGGTGGGCAGGAGCCCAGTAAAGAGATGTCCCTGCTGCAGGCAATTATGCAAAGTGACAAGTGATAGTTTTCCCTTTCAAAGACAACCCCTTAGGAAAAAGCTTTTTCCTTGAGGACTCTGGGGAAAGGAGGACGAGAGCCTTTGTGGATGAAAAGGCCTGGATGGAGCCGCAGAGCAGGCCCCTCACAGGTTTCCAGAGGGGCCAGGCCTGGGGCCCGGAGTGGGACAGAGCTCTGTGGGTGTCGGGCTCGGTTGCGTGTCTCCACTGCGGCCTGCCTGGGTCAGCGCCCTCCGGCGGGCCAGGCGTGACTTGGAGGGAGGGGAAAGCTTCACGGAGCAGAGGCCCTCGGCCAGCGCCTCCGACTCCTTCGCCAGTTCATTCTCCTCGTGCTGAGACAGCTGGCGGTTAAGGGCGATGGCCTCAGCCGCAAAGAGCGTCAGGTCCATTGTGCTGCTATTTCTGCAGGGATGGGGGGAGCAGAGAAGAGAGGGAGGCAGGGCTCAGTGGGGTCCGCCAGCCAGCTCCTCGACACCCGCACCAGTTGCTGCGGTTCTATGCTCCCACTGGATTTTTCTGAGCTGGCACAGGTTGCTCTCTGAAGTTCTTGCATGGGTTTGGAATCTGACTTCACTGGGGCTGGAAAGGCTTTGAGTCTCAAGGACAGTCTCTGGACTTAAGAGTTGGGACAAATGCCACCTTCCATCCAGAGCCCCCTCTTCTGAGCCCTGCACACGCTCTACCAGAGGAAGGGTCATGCACTTGAAACTCACCCACGTACATCCCTCTCCCCCATCAGGACAGGGGGCTCCAAGAGCAGGGGCTGTGCCTTTACGTCTGTGTCCCCAGAACCCAGCTCAGGGCTAGCATGTAACGGGCACTCTGGGTTTGCTGAACCCGTTTTCTAAGGTGGATCTAAGGTTTGGAGGCTCAAGGCATCTGGATGCAGCTCTAAAGAATCAGGGAGGAACCCAAGCTGGGCTCAAATGAACTGGGACTATAAAGGTGTAATACCTCCCTGTTTAACTCCTGGAAACTGGCCAGGAGGTTGGTTCCCAGAGGGATTCCCATGAGGCTTTATTTAGCCCTGGTCCTTGGGGAATAGGGAGTGCTCACTGGGAACATGATCTAGTGTTAAAAGGCACTAGAGTAAAACACATCTGCGTTCAAAGTCCCACTCCCTAGGCTACTGTGTAGCCTTAAGTTAACTTGATTTATCTATTCCTCAGTTTTCTCATCTATAAAATGGGGCAATAGGAGCGCCCCTTTTTTAAATGTGTCATAAAGCTTATGAGATTCAATATATGTAAAGCCCTTAGTACGATCCCTGGCGGGTGGTTAAGTATTTCCTATACAGTGGCCATTATCATTGTTTGTCTAGTAGTGTATATGACACTTGGTCCCTCTGCCTTACAAGGCCCCAGGTTCCTGCTACTTTCACCAACCCGCAGCAGTAGAAGGAAACCTTGCTTCGGGCTGTAAATAGTGATTTCCAGTTAGGATTCATGTGGATCCACAAAACAGGTTTTTCTCCTGCAAACAGCCTAAGGCAGGATCTTAAAGATGCTGGGGCAGGGGAAGCCATCCAGGTGGAGGAAGAGAAGAGAGGGAGCCAGACCTAGTGTAGAGGGAGACAAGGAAGAGGAGCAAGGAGACGGAGGCCAGGAGCCCGTTCACGAAGAGGATACCTGAGCCTAGAGATGGACCCCCCGTCCCCCACGGGGGGATGGGCCCCGGTGTGGCTGAGAGCTCGAGGGGAAGGTCAAAGCCAAATGAGCCAGGGCGTGGAGGGCAGCGGGAGCATTTACCTCTGGAGGACTTGCGGCGTGGGGAGTCCCCTTTCTGGAGCTTGCTAGAACGGGAAGGACAGATGTGTGGGTAAGCGCTGCTCCCTCTTTCAAGAGCTGCCCCCACCCAAGCCAGCGGAGTGGGCAGGTTACTAGAGGCTCGGGCCCAGCACAGGGACTTGCCCATGCACGCCTGCAGGGTCAGACCTTCCAAGGAGACAGAAAGCAAGGTACAGACCCCAACCCAGCTGCCTCTGCATGGAGAGCCCTCTCTTTACCTGGCAAAGTCCTAATCACCCTCCGAGACCCAGCTCCAGGGTCACCTCTCCCATGAGACAGTCCCCCTTCCTTGCTGCCCCCCAACCCCTGTCCCAAGCAGAGGTGGGTCCTTGTCCTTTGGTGTCCTGAACACTTTTTTTTTTTTTTTGCGGCACGCGGGCCTCTCACTGTTGTGGCCTCTCCTGTTGCGGAGCACAGGCTCCGGACGCGCAGGCTCAGCGGCCATGGCTCACGGGCCCAGCCGCTCCACGGCATGTGGGATCTTCCCGGACCGGGGCACGAACCTGTGTCCCCTGCATCGGCAGGCAGACTCTCAACCACTGCGCCACCAGGGAAGCCCCTGAACACTTTTGATAACACTTCTGTCGTACTATCCTATCATTTATTCCCTTGGTTCCCTCTCCCCATCAGAACGTGAAGATAGAGCTTGGGTCTCGCTCCTCCCACTACTGCCAGTGTCTGGCATGTGGTAAGTGCTCAGTGGTGCAACACTTGGGTGGCTGCAGCAGCTCTTGGGTGGTTGGGAATCAGCCACTTGGAGACCCATGGATGGGGTTCCCACCTGTAACTGGGGCTGGCAACGCTTGCTTCCTTCCCCTGAGGCTGGCTAGGGACTGGCAGACCAAGAAGACACAGTAAATCACAGGAGGTTTGGCAGACCCTTTGGAGGGACAGAGGTCTGGTATCATGATTAACTGAGGAGGATGGTTAAAAATGTTTTCTAGTGAAGACTTGGAGCTTTCCTTTGGGGAAAACACCAGCCTTTGCCTTTCAGGAAAGCTGCAGCCAGACCCCAGCAGCACAAGAGGAACCTATGAGCCCCCAATGCAGCCGCACAGCAAGCAGGGTGGAAAGGCCTTGTTTCTGCGCGCTGTCAGCTAAGGAAACTTCTGTATAAGGGGATGGTGCTACCATCCAGGCTGCTCCCTCTGCTGGGTGCCTCTGCCAATAGTGGGACGCACATGGAGAATCTCCCAGAGGCCTTTTCCATTCCAGAGGGGCATGCGCCGCCTGGGGCTTAGTCTGTGGCCAAGGTTAGAGCCCAGTCAGTGATATCTGTAAGGCACTCGGTGTGGGGTTAGGCCAGGGGTCAGTTCAGTTCTACGTGCACAGGGGTTGAAGCTGCCATCCGGCTCCCTCCAGCTGAGATCAGCCACGGGGGTGTAAGAGCTTCCTCATGCCTTGCTGCAGCCCTGAAGAGGTGGACGCCCCCACCCCCCCAACCAGTCACTCACCCCCTGCACCCACGGGTGCTGCAGAACTTGGGCGGCACTCAGTCTCTGTTTCACGTCTCTAACCAGGAGCTTGGAGATGAGGTCTTTGGCCTCGTTGGAGATATGAGCCCAGTCCTTGTCAGGAAACTCATACTTGCCTTCCTGGATGCTCTCAAACAGCTTGTTCTAGGTAAGGAAAATTCCTACTGAGGCCACACTGGCCAGGGGATGGGCAGAGTGTGCCTGTCATGGTCTGATCATGTGGGTCCAGTCGACCTCAGCTGCACCTGCGGCTAGTGGCCTGGGTATTTCCCAGACTAGGGCCCCTTCCCCAACCCCCACCCTCCCCTAAATCATCCAACCACACAGAACGCCCTGGGTGGGTGGGATGGCAATGCTACTTGGAGGGCCAGGTGGGTGATGAGTGAGGAATGTCAACTAGAGAACAATGCCCAATTCCTCGGCCTTTCATCCAGGGCCCTCCATCCAGATGACCGGGCTCATCTCCCGCCACCAGAATCCTTATCCTTCCTCTTCCTCCCTCAACATACACCACTGTTTCAAACCTCCTATCTTTGCTCGTGCTGTTCCTTCTACTTGCATTTCTTGCCTCTCTTCCCCTCCTGGAGGGGGCCAGACTCCTCCTTTGAGACTCACTCAGCTCAGGAATGATATTCTCTAACAATCCTACCCTGAACTCCTCTCTGGACTGAGGGCCTGATGATCTCCATCTCACCTGGTGGCTGCTCTTGGACTGAGAGGGAAGGGCACGATACACCCCATTCCAGATCAGGCACAATCACCAAGCCCAGTCCCGCTTGGCCTCCCCCAGCCACCTGACCTCCCAGCAGGCCCTGTGCTCACCTGGCACACTGTGCAGACCTCTCCCCGGTCCCAGCCACAGTCGGCTCCGCAGTGACCCACAAAGGGCGGGTAGCCACTCAGCATGATGTAGAGGACCACACCCAGGCTCCACAGGTCACAGCGCTTGTCGTAAAAAGTGGCCTTATCCGTGAAGACTTCTACCACCTCAGGGGCCATATATTCTGCAGAGCCACACTGGGCAGGGCCAGAGGTGGAGATGGGGAAATGGCAGAGAAGAGAGAGGCTTAGTCACAGGGAGGGGACCGTAATGGGACTTGAGCAAGAGGATGGAGTTGCAGAGTAAGAAACTGTCGAGAAAGTCGGCCAGAGAGCTTGACTGGTGCCACCCAGGCACTTAGAAAAGCTGGGCCACTGGACATTTGTAAACTGAGTCCTATCATTCCCCACAATCCACAGGACCAGTTAGTTCCAGGTCACCTTCTTATCTTCTCAGGTCCTTCTCCAGTAGGCAGAGACCCTTGGTCAAGAAGCTCCAGGAATCTCTCCCTGCCCTGGCTCTCTGTAAACAGTCACTCAATGAGCAGATACTTCAACGTACCAGGAGCACAGCTCTCGGGAGGAGATCCAATTCCATAAAGCAAGGATTTCTTTCTTTCTTTTTCTTTTTATAAATTTATTTATTTATTTTTGGCTGAGTTGGGTCTTTGTTGTTGCGCGTGGGCTTTTCTCTAGTTGCAGCGAGCGGGGGCTACTCTTGGTTGCGGTGCGTGGGCTTCTCATTGCGGTGGCTTCTCTTCTTGCGGAGCAGGGCTCTAGGCATGCGGGCTTCAGTAGTTGTGGCTCATGGGCTCTAGAGCGCAGGTTCAGTAGTTGTGGCACACGGGCTTAGTTGCTCTGTGGCAAGTGGGATCTTCCCAGAACAGGGATCAAACCTGTGTCCCCTGCACTGGCAGGTGGATTCTTAACCACTGCGCCACCAGGGAAGCCCAGCAAGGATTTCTTAAAGTGAAGTCCTGCCAAGCTTCCCTGCTAGCTTTGAGCATGGAAGAATAAGAATTTAGAATTAAGAGACCATCAAAGCTAGGAGAGCTCTTAGAACAAAGCTGATCTCCTCACTTCTCCCATTTATGGATGGGAAAACCAAGGACTAGAATGGGATAGGGATTTGTTCAAGCACATCAGTGGCAAACCCAGGTCAAGAATCCAGGAGTCCTTCCTCCTATACTTGCATAGAAGACTGCTGATAAAAACAAAACAAACTCTTTTTGCTTCCCTCTTCATTATTTCAGGCTCACCAGGAGGCAACCCTCCCCCCAGCCTCGCAACATACACAACTAATTTGACGGGAAGATGGCGAGTGGAGAAAGGACATTTTCTTTGTTATTGGCAATCAGAGTTAATGCCTTTGAGAATCAGGCAGTTCAGTGTAGTAGAAGCTAATACAGAGACATCTCTAATAATGTTGCTTAGAATGAGACATGGGCATATTTTAAAACGTCTTAAAAAAAGATTATTAGGGACTTCCGTGGTGGAGCAGTGGTTAAGAATCCGCCTGCCAATGCAGGGGACACGGGTTTGAGCCCTGGTCTGGGAAGATCCCACATGCCGCAGAGCAACTAAGCTCGTGTGCCGCCACTGCTGCGCCTGCGTGCTGCAACTACTAAGCCCGTGTGCTGCAACGAAGAGTAGCCCCCTGCTTGTCGCAACTTGAGAAAGCCCGTGCACAGCAACAAAGGCCCAATGCAGCCAAAAAAAAAAAAAATTAGGAAAACTCACTTTTGAAGTGTGCAAATCTCAAAAGAATTGTAACAATTATAGTATATCCAGTATGTACAAGAGATGTCTTAGTAAGAAATAGCTCCCAGCAGCACCATCTGGGCAGGAAATGGGAAGTAAGAGAAGCAACAGGATAACTCAGCCAGGCCCTTACGTGCAAAGACCTCTCAGTTCTTGCCACAGAGGCCATGCTCCCTAACCTTCACCATAAGGTGGATGTGCCCCGACTCCACCATGGGAATGGGAGCTGTCCACATGCTCATATGCAAGAGTGGGCCTGAGAGTAGTGTCTGTCTTCACCTGGGTCAGGAGTCAGGGCTCAGCCTGTTCTTATGGATATAATTAGTCTCCTCATTAGCAGTGGACCCACCCCAAACTGAAAGCTCTAATGTCAGTTCCACTAGCACCTAAGCAGGGGAGGGGTGGGGGATGGGGGTGGTTGTTAAGATAGGAAGTGAGGCCAAACAACAACTCAGGCAGCAGCAGATACACTTGGTTTCCCTTCCTTAGCCCTCTGTTCTGGTCTCCAGAGCATTAGGGACAGGAGCTCAGAAGGAGAGGGCACAGGTGCCCAGCCATACATACTGGAGTGGTCAGCTCTGGTGTGGTTATGGGGGTGCAGGAGTTGTTCAGTTTCACCCCACTGCCCAAGTCAAAGTCACAGATTTTCACCGGAGACACCTGAAACGGAAAGCAGGAAGCAACGTTACAAATAGGAGCAGCCAAGGGGCGTGAGGAGACCGCGTGTCTATGTGGGTATATACTGCCACAGTGTGGCTGCCACGCTGAAGCCCAGCTTTACCTGGCAGTCATGTTTCCTCTTCTTGAGTGAACTAGAAATCACCTGAGGATTTGTCCTAAGGTGTCCTCTTCTCCATGCTCTTTCCTTATTTCCCGACTAGGAGAAAATGTGTGCACTACACGGGGTCAGACTGTGGTTGTGAACTTCGTATAAGACAGGGAGCAAACCTATGGAACTCTCACCAACAATGTAGGTTGCAACTCAGAAGTTAGAGAAGTTAGCACGTATTCCTGAAAGACTCCTTGTAGCTCACTCACTGCAGGGCAAAGGAGTTTTGCATAAAACCCTTGACCACCTCAGGTGGCTTAGGGTGACCAACCTGTCTTTGCTTACTTGGGGTTTTGTTGGGTTTAAGCACCGGGAGTCCTGCATTCCAGGAAATCCCTTAGGCCCGAGCAAACTGGGATGGTTGGTCACTCTAGGCAGCATCAACATAGCAGCCCAGTCCACTGGGACTAGATGCTGCACCTGAGACTGCAGAGAGCATGAGTCATCTCTGGAGCCAAGTGGGAGGCGCTGTGTGAGTGCATGAGAATGGCCTGCGTGGTGGAATAGCACAGCAGCCAGTCAAAAGTGCTAGGCCCCATTTGCCATTTACCTACTGCAGCTCCCACCTCTCTTTCTTTCCTCCCTCCCTTTTCTCTGCCTTACATTCTAGCTTTCTTCTTTTCTTTTTCACTTAGCTTCTCTTTTTCACTGTGGTTAAAATATATATAACAGAAACATGCCCTTTTAACCATTTTCAAGTGTACAATTCAGTAGCATTACTACATTCATGCTGTTGGGCAACCACTACCAGTATGTTTCCAAAACTGTCACATCACATCAAACAGAAACTCTACCCATTAAGCAATAACTCCCCATTTCCCCTCTCTCCAGCCCCAGTAACATTTAATCTACTTTTCGTCTCTATGAATTTGCCTATTCCAGATATTTCACGTAAGTGGAATCACACAAAATTTGTCCTTTTATTTCATTTAGCATACTGGCGTCAAGGTTCATCCATGTGGCAGCACGCGTCAGAACTTCATTCTGTTTTACAGCTGAACAATATTCCATTATATAGATATACCACATTTTGTTCAGCCATTCATCTGCTGAGGACACTTGGGCTGTTTCCGGCTTTGGCTATTATGACTAGTGCTGCTGTGAACATTGATGTTCAAGTCTCTGTCTTCAACTCTTTTGGGTATATACACAGGTGTGGAATTGCTGAGTGCTATGGTAATGCTATGCTTAGCTTTTTGAGGAGCTGCCAAACTGTCTTCCACAGTGGCTGAACTGTTTTATATTCCCACCAGCGATGGGGAAGAGACCCCATTTCCCCACGTCCTCATCAACTCCTTTTATTTTCTATTTTCTGTATTGTAACTATCCCAGTAGGTGTGACATGGTATCTCACTGTGGTTTTGATTTGCATTTCCCTGATGACTAAGGATGCTGAGCATCTTTTCATGTTCTTTTTTTTTTTTTTTTTGGGGTACGCGGGCCTCTCACTGTTGTGGCCTCTCTCACTGTGGAGCACAGGCTCTGGACACGCAGGCTCAGCGGCCATGGCTCATGGGCCCAGCCATTCCGCAGCATGTGGGATCCTCCCGGACCGGGGCACGAACCCACGTCCCCTGCATCGGCAGGCGGACTCTCAACCACTGCGCCACCAGGGAAGCCCCTTTTCATGTTCTTGCTGGCCATTTGTATACCTTCTTTGGAGAAATGTCTTTTGAAGCCCTTTTCCCATTTTTAAATTGTCTTTTTGATATTGAGTTTTAGAAGTTCTTTATATATTTTGGATATTAAACCCTTATCAGACATATGATTTGCAAATATTTTCTCCCATTCTATGGGTTGTTTTTTCACTTTCTTGATAATGTCTTTTTACACTCAGTCTCTCTTAATTTTAACGTCAGCCATAAAAAGGGGCAACAAACCTGTGTCATGAACATCAAATGAAACAAAGGACATGAAAGTACACTATAAACCAGAGGCACTATGACAGAGTAGTTCAGAGCACCAGTGGAGTCTGGGGTCAGCCTACCTTAGTTTTAATCTCTACTACTTAACAGCTGAGTGACTTTGGGCAAGTTTCTAAATCTACCTAAGCTTCAGTTTCCTTATCCCCATAAAATGAATATAATAATAGTGTCTACCTCATGAGATTTTATAAATACTAGATAAAACAAGTGTAAGTGCCTGGTACAATGTTAAGTGCTCAAGAAATGTTAAACATAATTATTAATAATAACCATAATGATAATCATGATAAATTATAAAGTTTTATGCCAGAGCCACTGACAGGAAGTCACAAGATTTATTTGAGTGAATACATTTCTATTCCCCACAAAAGCATTGTAAGTAGCAGGCTGACTCACATGTTCCCTCACAGCCACTCCTTATTTATGAGTGCTCCCCTAATCCAGACCAAGACACGTGTGTCATGCATATGCACATGTATACACACACAGCTAGGAATGTGGGCCATCAAAACCACCTGGGCCTAAGTCCCTCCTAACAAAGACTTTGTCAAATTCATACATGCTATGAAGATGCAAACACTTCCATTTACTAATAGATTAAGATAAAGATTAAAATAGGCTGCATTTGTTCAACACCAAGTATAAATGTCTTCTTTTTAATGGGCATCTTTGGAAATAAAAATGGAAGCAGAAACCCTTTTCAAGAACTTGCTTCCTAATTATCACTTCTAGTGGTGGACACCGGCAGGCATATATACCATAACATAAACATCATTTACAGGCAGAGATTTGCTTGATGTAAGATGGAGGTGCTGTCTGACTCACATCTACTGCTCTAAAGGTAGGTGCATCGGATTAGAAAACATTCATTTTGTGCAGGTCTCATATATTTTACAAACACTCAGGCTTAAGCCAATCTGCTGATAAAGAGCACCGAAGGGCCAAGGATTAGCCCTACTTGGGATGTAGAAACACTACACGTTAGGTATAATATTCTCATGTGCCTCTAATAATCAGTTCAACTTGGTACCTGAGGCCGAGAGAGCTGCTAATGATTTACACTGAAAGTAAGGGTGGCTTCCCTGAGTCAGTATGAACTGTGACATCCCAAATCAGGCCCTAATAAGTACCTTTTCTGGAGATTCACACAATATATTTTCTGGCTTCAGATCGCGGTGAGCAATGCCTGAAATGACAAAGAGCAAAGAAATGGTTAACATATGCACTTGAGTATCAAACATTCCACACACAATTAATTTTTTCCAAATGCTGTTGTTTGCAAATTAATTCCCAATTATGGTACATTAAAAAATCAACTAGCTGCAGGAGGCAGAAGTAGCCAGAGACGCAAACCAAAAGCACAGTTGATTCTGCAAGTTCTTTTGAAGCGAAAGCTTTAGAAGTCAGTCAGGGATAAGAAGGGCTAAATGAATCCCAGCCAGCCTACCTCTCAGCACCGCACTGACAACCCAGAATAAGCAGCCTAATATGAAGCAGAGCAAAGAGCCCTGCAAACAGCGATGCTTGGAACAGCAATGAAGAAATAATTAGTGCCTTGTTTAAGAGCATCTCAGGGGGCTGGGACTGCTCTACCTCATTTCTTCTTGTGTGGCCGATTCAAAAAAAAAAAGATTCCTTCAGTGGGACTCCCTGAATGTTCAGAGGATCAGGCATTAGTTAACAAGTCTCCCAAAGCTTGTCTGGTTCCCTTCTCACCTGCTCTGCATGTCCAAGACAGTCCTGCCAGAAGCTCAGCAAGGACAGCTTTGGCCCGAGGGTGCTGTTCTTAAGAGAAACCTCTCCTGTATTTTGGTCAGACCTCCTTGAAGAAGACTGCGGATTTACAGCCTACCCTGTGAGGCATTAAAAGTTGCTGAACTGGCCAAGAAGGCACCTGGGGGCAAACCCCTTTAACCAAAGACAGAGACAAAGAACCAACTCATGGCCATGGTGTTCTAGTGGTGGACACAGAAACCTCCCATTCCTTTTTCCTCCTGCAGAGTGTACGGCGCAGAGATAGAGGGCTGTAAAGTCAAGCAAAAGCCAAATAGCTACTGCTTGGAAGTACTGGGAAGCAGTAGAGGATTTGTGGAATAATGGGGAAAAGCAGACTCTGCTTCACTACAACTCCCTTGCTGATCAACTTCTCAGCAGCCCTCTAGATCCCCAGCAGGGGGCACTTCACTAGGGAAGAAGAACCTGAGCTCCAGCAGCCTAAGTAACTTCATCAGTCACCTAATTGAATGAGAACCCAGAGCGACTACGTCCAGGCTGCACAAATTGAGCTGGGCTGCAGCTCGCCGCGTTAAAAGTGAAAGATATTTTCCATTACAGCAAATGCTCCCACAAAAGGATCATGAGCCACACGTGGAGCCTTACTCTCCAAATAGGTGTCAATGGCCCCGTTGTCCCCCGGCCTGCGAACTGAGAGCCAGGCCGTAATAGTGGGCCTCCTCGGTGAGCACACCGGCCATCGAACTGCTCCGGTTCATTTCCCAGAGGTCGAGCTGCAGTATGTCCAGTATTTAAAATATGGAACTTGTTTCAGGCTGACCCATTCTAGCCCAATTCATCTTTCCAGCATAAAGTTATTTAGAAAACAGCCAAGTTCAGCTGCAAATCGTTTTTCATCCCCTCCAACTTCTAGTCACATGGGCAGCTGGCCAGCTAGATGTTAACTAGCACTTCAGAACTCCTAAGACACCACCAGCCTCTGTTCCCTGTAGTGCATTCTGGTAAAAAAAAAAAAAAAAAACAACACAAAAACACACAAAAAAACCTGCCTTTACCCCCCTCCAAGGTATGGATCTTATAAAAAGTGTGACCCAGTTTTGCACTCTACAGAGGCAGCTTGGGGAGCAGTTGTAAATCTCTGTCAGGCAGGTGTTACGTACACGCATCCCAGCTTTCAGAAACAGAACTACTGCTATTCATCATGCTGTGCAAAGTACAGACACCCCCTTCTAGGAATTTTCATCCCATGTGCAAGTCAGGCCCCCAACATGGGCAGCGTCAGCACGGAGCACTCTCCTCAGCCACGGGAGGAAGCGAGGTGGACTGGTGAACCTCCCCTCCGGCACATGTCTCACCAGCCTGCACGGTATCACTGGCACATAGTGGTATGCGGGAGCAGCATGCCTGCAAGTGGACCTGAGCGCTCACAACCAATGAGGCTGGTCAACGTCCACGGAAGTGAAGGGAGCAGAACTAAGTCTCAGAGCATGTGCTCCACCCCCACGCCCACCAGGCAGAGTGTGTAATTTTAAGGGAATCAGTATGCAGAGTAAAAATGCCTTCTGCCTGGTGGGGGAGGAGGGTGGAAGAAATGTTACTGAAGAACTACTATGTGCCGGGCACTATGCTCCACCTATATATGTCTATGTTATAAGTATACAACACATACACAAGAGACACACAATTATGTAAGTGAATCAATATATACAAAAGGCCCAGGCTAGTGCCTGGCACATAACAAGGGCTACGTAAGTGTTAGCTACTGTTGATGATGTCATTATTATCTCTCTTAATTCTCACCATAGCTCTAGGAGGTAGGCATTGTTACTGAGAGAGCACACAGCTGGTAAAAAGGTGAAGCCAGAATTCATTTTTGCCATGGCACTGCTGTTAGGCAAATTTTAAAAACATATGCAATAGTCAAACATATTTCAAGAAATGCAAAAACATATAATTTGCAAAAATATTTAATTTACTACAAAAGTTCTAGCTAAGGAACTGTAAACTGAAGTGTAATTCAAACAATAGTAGCTTGCTATTTACACAATGTTCAACAGATACCTCAAACTCACCATGTTAATAGAAAAATGCATTTCCCATTTATTGTGAACAAGATATAAAACTACAGGAATACTACCATGCCAATTTTGAAAAGAGAGATACAGGTGATATATTTTAAAAGACTAGACTGAATAATACCCAAATATTTATATTAGAGTCTAGGTCATATTATGCATGAGTTTTGCATTCTTCATTAGTAAAGGATCATTCACATGCACACACTCGGATATACCTTGTTCAGCATGAAATTCATTGTTTTTTACTCCTTGCTCTTTCTCCTGTATCCCTATCCTGCTTAATACCTCCACGTCTACCCACCATTCACATCAGATATCTAGAAGCCACCTGGCCTGCCCCCTCACCCTCCTGGGTGGGCCTGCCAGCTGTACCAGCTCCTGGCCCAGCCCTCTACCTGGCCTGCCCCTCTCCCTTGGTCCTCAGAGGCAACCAGCCCAATCTACCCACCACGGCCAAGGCCTGGCTAACCTTTGGTGTGCAGGAAGTCAAGGGCTGCGGCGACATCCTGCACCACTCGGCTGGCTTCTCGCTCGTTGAATTGCTTCTGCTTCTGGATGTGGGTCAGGATGGAGCCTGGAGAGCAGAGGGACACAGAGGAATGCCTTTTCAGGCTCTAGTAAGTGTAACTTCTCAGAGGCCAAGTTTTCAAAAGTTTGGGGTGGGGACATAGGCTTATTCATCGCTAAATGTCCAGCAGCAGTGTGGTACCTGGCACAGAGCAGGTACCAGCACAAAACTGGACCAAACAGAACTGGAAGCCTATCTTCTGTATCTGTCTATGATAAGCACAGAAGGGAGAGAGAATACCATTTAAGTGACCACAAAATATTAATGCCACTGGGGCAGATTCAGCTTCTGAAATTGAAAAGAACTAAAAGTGAATCCACACGAGGTTGGGGGCCTCTCTAGAGGAACTCTTCCTCCCTTGCATCTGATCTCAGTCCAAACAAAAGCACATGCCTTCAAATGGAAAAGCCACACCTTTACGCGTTATGTAAAGGCCTAGTAAAGGGGAAAAAATGGCTTTCCCCCCGAACTTTCCCATTTATTATTATTATTTTGTTGTCAATGGCTAACATTTACTGGGTAGTTAACTATATACAAAGCACTATGTGATACTCTTTAAATAGATTATCTTATCCTCACTGCAATTGTACAAGATGTACAAAATAGAGTCATCCCCACTACATAGCTATAGATGGGGAACCTGAAGCCAAGAAAGGTTAAGCAACTTGCTCAAGATCATACACTAGGAAGTGGTGGCATCATCAGGACCCAAGCCCAGTAAGTCAGGTCTCGGAGCCTGTGCAGACTTCTCCTCAGCAGGACCTATGGTCTGACTCCTGGGGGGGATGGGTTTTCCTGAGCCAACCACATACTCTCTTTACCCGCTGAGTCTGCCCTCAGTAGAGCTGCGCTCTAAGTGATATAGTTACTGATGACCCCGGCTGCATCAAGCATCTCAGATAGGTAATTCATGGTGCTGGTGTGGTTGGGAGGGGCGGGGTAGACACAGGCACGAACATATGGCTTGGCTCCATGTGGTCTGTGCTCACCACTGGAAGCCAGCATTTTGGGGCAGAAGGTGTCATCTCTGTATCCTAAAAATGGCACATGTTTACTTATTATCTCTGTTTTTTGTCATGGGGAGGGGATGAAAGATCTTCCACTTGCCAGATTAAAGAATCAAAGGATCCCAACACGCTGTGGAACATTCTGAGAAAACTGGCTCTTGGCTAGGTCTCAGGCTTGCTCTACTGTAGTGAGTCTCTCGTTTTCAAATTTGTTAAAAGGGAGAGTGGCGAGTAATACTCTACACACTTCTAAGATAGCCCCCAGCATACCCAATTGTTACAGCTGACATTTATTGAACCCTTAGTGCCTATGGGGCACTGAGCTAAGCATTTCACATGAATTACCTCATTTAATCTGCACAGTGTCCCAAGGAGGTAGGTGCTGTCATTATCCTTATTTACAGATATAGAGAATACTGTTGGGAAAGATTACGTGACTTGCTCAAGGTCACACAGCTAGTAAGCAATGGAGCTCCCTTAACCACCAAACCCCTCCGTGTAGCCCTCCACTAGACTAGGCTCCAGACATCCTCCCTAACCTTCACCTTGCAAATGCTTCCTAGGGCTGGGTGAGTGATGGGGAGAGAAAGGGCTTCTCTATGTCAGAAAAGCAACTTAAATATATATTCCGGTGATCATGTGTGTGGGTGACAGTGGTGATGGTCGAGAATGGCATCTGTCCATCTGAAGGATGGTACCTTCTGGTGAGCCTTTTTAGACTTCACAATGAATGCAAGAGCTCCCACCCCATAATTAACTTCATTAAATAGTGAATGTATCAAAACAATGGATTGATAAATTGATGACTAAATGTATCTATATATGAGTCCTATTATAATGAGAAGGCAATAGAAGTCCACACAGGTGACATTCTGAGTTCTGCAAAATGCTAATTACATCCTTCCCTCCGGCCTCCCTTCTCCCAAATCAAGGGCAGTTTTAAGTCCTTCATCCTTTTTATTAGCTTGACTCATTTTAGAAGTCTCTGGGATTCATGATGGATGATCACTGCCCTGGGTCTTAATCAGAAGTCCAAACACATACTCAACAGTAAGTACCTCCTTGCAATTTCTCAAAGACCAAGTAAAACCTTGTGTCGTCTTCAAAGAACTCAATCAGCTCCAAAATGTTCCTTAAATAGGGAAAACAGTATTATATATTGAAGCCCACTTACAAATACACAATGAAAAAACAAAACAAAACAAAAATCAATGCCCTGTAACAGGGCAGAAATCAACTTGAAATCAGAATGCTTATTAAAGCCCCATGTTTGAGAAGTAGCCAATGGTGTTAGCAAGATTCAGGTCACCTTATCTTTCCATAATGTTTAGTCTCTGGTGTTTTCACCAAGTCTGTGCTGTCAAACCCCAACCCTAAAACCCACTAGGTAGAGTTATAAAAAAGTCCCAGTCACATTAAACTGAATAAAATCTGCAGCCGACTGGAAGCAATTGCGGCTAATAACACTGAATAGTAGGTGTGTGTCCTGGAGGCAAGCAGCAAATAATTACCTGCCCTCCCTCTTGCCCATAAATCACGGGGCAGTATTTACATTGCCTGGAGAAAATGGAAACATCTGTCAAATAGACTTGGGGCCTAACGTGGGCACCGCTAGGCCCTAACTGCTAAGCGCTACTTAATGAAACGGCTGCGTTCCCGGCCACTGTAGCACTTGTGGCCTTCCCCGGTGAGCACTCTCTGCCTGCCTGAGCGTTACTGCGCTCTGCCAACAAGGTCGTCTTGTAACTCAGTAGGGAAGCCACCAGCCTGGATATTGGAGGTGTTGGGGGCTTTTTTTCTTTTAAAGAACGAAATAAACCAAGTAGAGTCTGTAATGCTGAACTCAGAAGCTGCAGGGCTGAAAATAAAAATCTGTTCCTCATAAAAAATGCTGACCATTTTGGGAGACACCGGACATTTACTAGCAAAAGGGCGTCCGAATAAGATGGCCAAATGGCCTAATTTGAAAGAAGATTGTAGAGGCAGTGCCTGGAGTTAGATCAACAGCAGCCTCCAAGCTTAATGACAAAACCATCAATACTGGCCACTGGCTCCCTGCTGACCCTGCCATGGAGGGAGAGACAGTGGGGAGTGGCGTCTTAGAGGTCACCCTGATTTAAAGCCACAGTGGGAGAGCCATTCATTTGGAGAGGGTGGTGAGTAGACTAAGACGGGGCTAGACACCACCTTGGCCCAGTTATCAAGCAACGAGTGTGAAACAAGGTTTCAGGACCCTTAGTAGCAGCTGCACGTATATAAATATGCTAGGAACAGAAAGCGCAAATAGTCTTAATAGTTCTCATCATCCTCATCTATTAACTAAAGCAGGTCCCTACAGATTTCTACTAGGCAACACTCAGTCAGCCTGCTTTCCACAGGCGCTTGAAAGAAATAAAACCCCGTTTTTTCCCAAGCAGCCACTGATTCAGATTGCTTGCTTTTCTAACTTGCATAAATTCCTGATATGTACAGTATTTCAGCCTAAATAGAAGACAGCTTCTTTGCTGCTGCTGCTTTTCCTCTCTCTCTCTCTCTCTCTCTCTCAACACTGAAAGATGGAAGGAGTTATACACAGTTCTGGGGGAAAGAGTGAGAGCTAACTGCTGGGGTCAGGAGACGGTAAGAATAACTTCCTTTTCTGCAGCCAAGCATCCCCCCAGAGAAGCAGCAAGTAACCCAACACTATACTCACTTGTTTCCTTGACACTGATACAGCGTCTCCACCTCCCGAAATACCCTACTCCGACTGTGTCCTGCATGTTTTTCAATGATCTGTGTGAAAAATAAAATCTGTCATATACACCCAGCTGGTCAAAACACCCCTCAGCGGGTGCCCTCTGGGACAGTGCAAGGCCAAATTCAGCCCAAATCCAGTTTCAAGCGCAAGTCTGGAGTAGGCCTTGTGGCTCTGTCAGCAAAGCAACCGACTGGCCCCAGGGCTTTCTAGCCCACCTGGGTTTGTTTGACTCTGGCCAAGTACATCACCATCGAAGCCTGTGAGGTTGCTACCCCCAGCCGCCCAGGGGAGACCGAGGCAGCCAGCAAGACAAAGAACCAGCTCTACCAAACTCCTACCCTGAAACATCTCTGTCTGCTTTAAGGATAAGAATTTACAAGCTCTACTAAAGGATCTTCTAGTGCTGGAGGAAGAGCAAGGGGAATAAGGGATACAGTGAAGAGGAACTAAAGCCCCAAGGCCCAGCTCATATGCCACCTCTGCAATTCTTCTGAGAATCTACCTTTGGCAGGCACCGTATTAAGTCATTTAGGTACATAATCTCAGTTAATCCTTAATCCTTAATCCTTACAATCCTGAAAGATAGGCAGAGGTAAAACATTTTGCCCACAGCTCTGGTAAGTGGCAGGGCTGCAATTCAAGCCCAGAGCTGCCTCCAAAGCCCTTGCTATCCTATACCTGCTTATATCCCACACAGCTTTTTCTCACAGAACCTAGAGGCTCTGTCTCTCCTACGATACTGTGGGCTGCTCCCCCTCCCCACCTGTACATGGAGACGCCTGGCAAGTACTGACTGAAGGAATGCGGGAGCCAACAGCTGAGCAGGTGGTTTACACAGGGACTGGCTGACCGTGCACATCTCTACAGACCCATCCAGAGCCCCAAACTGTTGCTAGTAGAGCCTGTGGGCAAGTCTTCTGCAGAGCTGGCTCTGCCTTATAGTTCCATGTGCGGAGTGGACAGACATCTGGTTCCTTCATTCCAAGACTGCTGTCAAGGACACTTCACACTTCTCCAATATGCAGCAGCACAAACATCCACAATCAAGTAATTTTCTAAACAAGTACATGTCTGTTAGTATACCACTGAACCCATTTTCTGAGCTGTCAGAGAGGTGAGGTGCTGGGGTACAGAAGCTATTCAGCTCATTTGTTCACCAAGCAGATCAAAGTCAGGAAGAACTTTCTCGCAGGCAACTATTCAGCAATGGCATACTTTTCTGAGGAGGTAATGAGCTCCTGCTACCAGAGATGGGGGTGGTGGGTGCCAAACATGGAAAACTATGTGAAGAGTTACAGGGGAGGCTGAGGACCAGATTACCTTGAAATGCCATTCCAACCGTGAGATTCTAGGATTCATCAGTTGGATGCCTGTAGGGAAAGTCGTAATAAAACCAAGTACTGTGGAGCCAGGCTGGAGAAGTAGCCCACGTCTGGGGAGCTTTCCAAGAACAGAAGAGACATGAGACATGGGCAGAACTGCTGAAACCAAAGAATTGCCAAGCCCAGGTCTGGTGTTTGCCCAAAGATGCCATGGAGCATGAAGGAAGGGCAGCCTTGAAGAAATAGTTCTGTCATCCATAAATGTATTCACATCTTTGAAAATCAATTTACATTTGTGTTTTTTACCACACTTAGGCATATTTTTTTAAAAAAATTACTTGTAATTTATACTGACCTGTTTCCAACAAGGAATCGAGATAATGCTTTTGTTACCATATGAAGCAACACTCCAGCAAAAAGGGACATGGCTTAGCAGAAGTGTTCTCCTTTATAAATCCAGCTGGGACTAGGACTATGACCAGTTGGTTAAAAGAAGAAACATTTCTTTCAGGAGCCAATTTGGGCTGGGTTTGCCCATATGAGGCGGCAGTTAGACCTGGTGGCTCTGGCAGATGATTTGAACACTTTGCTGGATACCAGAATCACCCAGACAGCTTGTTAAAATTAATGTCGCCGGGGCCTACCTCTAGTTTCTGATTCAGGAGGTCTGGGATAGGGCCAGATAATTTGTACCTCTAACAAGTTCCTAGGCCATGCTAGTACTGCTGGTGCAGGGACCACTGCTCTAGATCCATCCCTTCTTCCATGTAGAGTCGGCAAATGGAAGCACAGAGGGATACGGTGAGCCACTCCACGGTCATGCAGCTGGAAGTCACCTCTCCTGCCACGAAGCTGAGTGCTCGGTCCTCATCACCACATTGCTGTACATCACTTGTATAGCATCTTGTAATTTATAAAATGTTTCTACTTCTACCAGTTCATTTTTGTTTTCATCTTCGTAACTACTCCATGAGACATGAAGGGCAGGTATTATTATCTTCATTCTAGAGATGCGGGAACTGAGGCTGAAAGAGGTTCAGTGACTTGCCCCAAGTCAAACAGTAGTAGTTTGTCAAAACAGAGATTCAGATAGGCCCTCTAATTCCAAATCTGACTGTCTGCTCCCTGATGCTAACTTCATTCATTAGAGGCATTGTTCTAAGCACTTCACACATATTAACTTATTTAATCCTCATGACAATACTATATACTATATCGGTTCTGATATTACACTCATTATACAGATGAGGAAACTGAAGGACAAAGAGGTTAAGTAACTTGCCCAATGTTACACGGCAAGTAAGTAGAGAAACCAGTGAATCCAGTGAATCCAGCTTCAGAGCTCCCGTTCTTATTAAGCCACTATATCGCAGAATATAAAATTTATCTGGTTTAGGACAAGCTAAGACTGACTACCTGCAAAGTAAAGCCTGGCACCCAGATGAGACACTCACTTTGACAGCATACTCCTTGCCACTCTGCAGGCTCACGGCACCTTGAACTTTGGCATAGGCTCCCTCTCCAAGCAGCTCAGAGGTCAGTTTGTACGTATCTAGAGGTGAAATGGGTGAGAAGAATAACAAGATGAGTCACCCCTTTGCATAGAAGGAAAGAAGAGCTGTGTCACTTGGCTTCCCCAGTCTGACAGCGCAGGCGCACGAGGACTCTGCAGTGCTCAATGACGAGAGTCTAGTGCTCCCAGCCGCCTTGGGACTCGGCTTCACAACAACCAGGCCACATCACTGAAGGATCTTGTTCCTCATTTTAGAGATGAGGTCAGTGAAAGAGGTTCAATTCGGCACATGCTTCCCGAGTACCTACTATGTGCCAGACGACATCGATGGGGACACAGCGAGGAATAAAGTATAGTCCCTGCCCTTTGAGAGTCACGATCCAGTGGGGAAGACAGACACATACACAAGTGACCCCAGAATAAACCAGGCAGTGGTTAGCACTCTATTATCACAGAGGGACAAGACATAGTAAAAAAAAGCGGGGGAAGGGAAAGGTTAAATCTGTTGAGGGAGTCTGGGGGATCCTCACAGAAGGGATGTGATTTGAGTGGACATCATTCATTCATTTACTCATTTGTTGAGCACCTCCTATGTGCCCAGCTCTGTGCTAGGAACTGGTGATACAAAGGGGAATAAAGCACTGTTTTATTTTATACCACACACAATGGAAGTCGGAGGTTTTTTTTTTTTTTTGCGGTACGCGGGCCTCTCACCGCCACGGCCCCTCCCATTGCGGAGCACAGGCTCCGGACGCACAGGCCCAGCGGCCATGGTCCACGGGCCCAGCCGCTCCGAGGCATGTGGGATCCTCCCGGACCAGGGCACGAACCCGTGTCCCCTGCATCGGCAGGCGGACTCTCAACCACTGCGCCACCAGGGAAGCCCTAAGTCGGAGGTTTTTGAGACATTTTCAGAAGTCACCGGCAGGAAACAGGAGATAGAAGTAAGATGCAAACGGATGCCTTGAGGTTTTTAGGGTGCTGAGTCAGAGCGGCTCTAACACAGCAATAGGCCTGGGTGAAAGTATATTTAGGTGGCCTGCCCAAGGCCCGCTCCTCACAAAGAGCACAAGCTCTCTGACCCCCTTCCAAAGGAAGCCATAGCTCTATCATGGTCTCTGCCGAGGCCTCTCCTCCCTTGGTCTCCATTCTTCAGCTTTTTCCTCTTGAGGCAGCCTAGCATTTAAACCCACAGACTACTGAGCAGAATACTTTTAACCATGAAATTAGATTTTATCACTCTTAGTCATGAGAAACCCCATAACTGCACAAGCCATCCCTGAATAACAGGAAATACTCTCGTGTTCATTGAAAGAGGAAGACCTGTTGATTTGGAAACTATTCTAAAAAACCTTGGGACTTTTGTTCATTCCCCAACCCCCTCTGCCATGCACACACATCTACTATTAAAGACAAACAGACAAAACCTACACTAAGCACCCTGTTGGTTCCATCAAGGTTTGGTCTCACAGCTGTAAGTATTTTAAATGACGTGCTTCTCTTACAATGGACACTTGGGTATTAGCCTTTGCGTGTGTCAGGATAGGTTGGTGGCTGGAGGTCCAATATTCCTGACTCATACAGGGCTTGTTTTTAGGACCACTCTACAAAACAGTCAGTTCACTAGTATGTCTGTAGTGTTGGTAAGAGGGACCGTAAAGAGAAGCTATTTCAAGTTTCACAATGAAAGAAACAAAATAGATGATGGGGGCTCGGTCACTCCTAGGAGGAGCTACTTATCCTTTCAGTCCTTCGCAGGAGTGTCCAATGAGTCACTTCATCCCATCTGGTGCCCAGTGATAACAGGACCAGCACTGAGCCTGGTGCCTCACACACACTGTTCAAAATGTTTGACAACTCAACATCGTGTCCCCTGAACACAACATGCACTATTAAACAGAGTCAAACTCATCCAGCACAAGTAGTTGCAATCTCTATAAGCTGAATTCTCTGCTTATAGAATACTGAAGTTTCTTTCCTTCTTTCTTTCTTTCCTCCTTCCTTCTTCCCTCCCTGCCTCCCTCCCTCCCTCTTTCTTTCTTTCTGCCGCGCCACGTGGTTTGCGGGATCTTAGTTCCCCAACTAGGGACTGAACCCTGGCGACGGCAGTCAAAGCACAGAGTCCTAACCACTGGACCGTAAGGGAATTCCCTAGAAGATTTCAGTTTCATTTGCAGCCATGGCCCTTGACGTTCCCTCTTCCTCTGACATGGCTGTTCTACCTCTCGGCAGCTCCTCCAGGACCAGCTGAGGGAAAGATCACAACTGAAAAGCAGCTGAAGCATACCAGGCGATCTCACTCCACGTGCAACCGTGACACACTGGCCTTTCCGCTCCCTGATGAAATGCTCAGACCGTTCAGAGGAGGCTTGTGCACCATCCAAGAGCTCTCCCATCCCTGCACTCTCTATCACCCCTTTCCGTAAACTCTCTCACCCCTATCTTTCATGCCTATCACACGGAGAACCATGAAGCTGGCTCTAAGATGATGCATCCTATGACCTTTACCCCTGGGCTACCAGGACACTCCTCCCATGCCTGGGAAGCCACCAACCCAGCTCTAAGAGATCAAAGAGAGTGACCAACCTTCAAACTTTCCTGGCAAGGAGTCAGTGGCCCGGGCCTTCCGCTTCTTCTTCTTCCTCTTGTCACTTTCTGCAATGGGAACAGGTTCACTGCTGCCCATCTCTGGGAGAAAAGAGGAGATAGAAGGGAAATATCACTGGACTGATCAGGCTATAAGTTCACCCAAAAGGAAAAAAAGGAGGGGGGGACCCAGGAGCTTTCCACTCACATTTTAAAAATATCTATGAGGGCTATTTATCTGTTTCGACCCAAGAGGCAAAACTAAAAGCAAAACCATTATAGATCATTAACTGTGGAAAGGAACTCAGACAGATACGCTAGATTAAAAGAGGATAGCAGAAGCCTGCTGTAACCAAGCTCATTAGCACAGGGATTTAGATCTGCCCCCAAACTGAACAACGAATCCTTAAGCAGAATCCCACATGTGACATCCTCCTTCAGCCTCAGCACCAGAAAGGCAGGACCCAGGGAGCTTAAGCAGGAAGGGAGGCGGGTTTGCGGGGGCGGGGGGGGGGTCCATGCAAATGAAATCGCATGCTGCTCAGTAACATCCCTGTGGATGTGCATAGGGACTCAAAAGGCCCTCAGTGGAGGCTGCCTCTGTGACGGTACAACAGGGCAGGGGGTGGGTTTGAGGATGGCCCTAAATTCCTTCATGTCCAGGAGCACAGACTTGAGTGCTTGGGAGGCCAGCGCATACCCTCCCTCCTCAGCTCCTTATTTGAGAGGAGGCAGGTAGGGTCCATTCAGAAGCCTGCAGTTGACGGGTCTACACCGGGTTGCTGGATGCAGTCATTTATTGCAAAAACATTATTATCTCTCTGGCAAGCACCTGGCTCCCCACCTTAAAGGGAGGATTTGTGAGGCAGACATTCAGACATTGGACAGATTGGGCAGGAAAGGGTGGGGACAGAATGAATAAGCATGAAGACTGAGAGGGGGAAAGAGAAAAGGAGGAATAATGAACCAGCAGCCAATCATAGTCCTGTTTCTAAGACACTGGAGTAAGGGCCTTCCCATGTTAAAGATAAATTACTTATAGAACATGCCATGCCCTTGATCCAGAGTGGAGCCTTAATACTCTTCGCCTGCAGTTAGAAATAATAAGATTTCTCTGAAGTCTCTGGGTCTAAATCCCCACCAGGGTGATTAAACCTTTACATCCTTCTAAAATAGAGGCGGTCGAGCACTGATGGGGCATACAATGTGAGTGACTTTTAGACCAACCTTCAATAAACACAGGCTCTGGGTTGCTGGATTTTTTTTTCTGAGATTTTGAAATGGAAGCTGGCTCTTTGCCCATTGAGGGGAAAGGCCCACTCTCTTCTCAGAGGACCCCAGCTGAACATGATCAGAAAAATGGCAAGTCTGCTCAGGAAGATTGATTAGAGCCTACGCACGTCTACTGCACACTGTTCTCAGAAGCAAGTACACACAACCATTAGGAGAAAGCACACAGAACAATGGCGCGTTTCAATACCACAATCCAGAACCTGGTTAGGCAGCCAAGTGTCTGACAGCTCAATTGAGCTGCATTCTTCCTCCCATTTTCAGGATCTGATGACAGTAGACTTTCATTTACACTTTAGAGAAGATAAACATGTGGAGAAAAGGAATCCACAGAGGATCTCCAGGTATTACTCTAGCCAACAGCTTCAAGCACAAGATATACCTGGGGACTGCGACATGCTATGAATTCAAAGAACCGAACTCAAATGGCAGCAGCCAAAGATCCACCCTCACCAAGGGAAATCAAAAGGAAAAGAGCTGCCCAACACAGTGAGAAATTCTACAGAAATGAAACAAGGCTCACTCGTCTCCAGGACCCCAGGAGAGGGGTGCTGGCCATTGGGACAGCAGGCTGAGAAGGAGGGACCACTGTCCCTCTTGCCCTGCCCTTGAGTGCAGTCCAGTGGCACCCCTCCCCACCCCATCTATTTTCTCACCAGCACTGCGAGCTGAGTGCAGAGGGGACAGATTTGGGATTCACTTCTCTTCCTCCTTCCCCTGCCCACACTCTGAAGGAGGGCCAAAGTACAAGCAAAACAGCCCAAAGGCAGCAATGGAGAGGAGCAGCAAGACAGCTGGCGGTGTTATAGTTCATGGGGGACGCGCAGACATACTTATGACTCTAGCTAGAAAACCCCGTTAGCTGCAATTTATAGTTGGTTTTCACCACAGCAGGGCTGAGGGAGCCTCTCGTGGAAGAAGCATACCTCTGAGCACTGCTGCATACATGGTATTAGATTTTATGGCTTCACACACAAAAAGATCGAGTACCTGGTCTATTCTGCATGGATTTCAATGGAAGAGGGTGCGCCAGAAGGGACAAATGGTTAAGACTTTCCTTGGAAACAGAACTTGTTGAAGGAGAGTTGTTTTTGAAACTAGGAAGAAAAAAATGTAGGAAGACAGTGAAGTGAAAAAAACATGCTTAACTTCCCTGTTTACAGCGGGGGGAGCGGGATGGAGATGTGTCATAATCTTACCAAAGGGCTGAAAGCTCTTCACCTGGAGCCTGTCCATACACTCTATTGGGACCTTAGTTTATTATGCATGCAATCATTTGAGAAAGGCTTCCTCAGGGTGGGAGGCTCCACAATCAAGCTGGCTTACCTCCTTCCTTTGGCCTAAGAACTCCTCTCAGCCATCAAAACCCAGCTCAAAAGTCTCCCCACCTTAGAGTAAGTTAAGGTTTGCACGAACACTTTTGAAATCTATGCAAATAGATGGTGTTACTGCACAGAGCTCGAATCCGGTGCTCCATCCTCTGTTCCCAAACACCCTGCTAGCAGCTATACTAGAGCACTGGTTTTATTTGGCCTTGAGCTCTCTCTACTGTTCCTAAAGGCCAGGGCTATCCTTGCCTGTTCATCTCTGCGTCTCCTATAAGTCGTGGTGTGGTGTCAGACGTGTATCAGGCATCAGAAAATGTGTACTGAAATGAGAATGATATGAGAGGACGCACATCCTCGGGGTTAGGTGCAGGCCTGTCACCCAGGCCCTCTAGGTAACGAGTGCACACGCTGAAAGAAACGTAGGTACACCTTTGCCCTGCAGGCAGCACAGAGTAAGGCTTTACTCAGTCTATGAATTCCCTGATAAACTCCCTCTCAACAAAGCCCTATGACTCAAAACGTCCTTAACTTTCTAGCAAGAAGCCTGGTCTTTGCTATAGGATTGGGCGATGTGTCTGCTATTTCAGAGGAGGGAGTGAGCACTTCCTTCATGTCTGTAGACAGACCTCAGCTGGCATGGAGGCTCCCAGCACTTCACTGCCTCCAGCCCTTGCTTTCCTCTTGGGCCAGGCTTGGCGGTCGGTCCACTACTTGTGTATCCGCGGAGGTAGAGCTGGAGAGGAAGCACACTGCTGACAGGGAAGGCTCGTGGGCTTGGCATCGGGAGACCTAAGTGAAAGTCTGGTTCAGATATTACCAGACATACCACCAAGACCAAGTTACTTCGCCTCTTAGCGTCTCCGTTTCCTCATCTACAGGTTAGGTTTAAAAATAATACCTGCCCTTTCCAGCAATGCTGTGAGGACCCAGTGAGCTACTTAATATAAATGCACTTCAGAAAAACATATATGGGGCTTCCCTGGTGGCACAGTGGTTGAGAGTCCGCCTGCCGATGCAGGGGACACGGGTTCGTGCCCCGGTCCGGGAAGATCCCACATGCCGCAGAGCGGCTGGGCCCGTGAGCCATGGCCGCTGAGCCTGTGCGTCCGGAGCCTATGCTCCGCAACGGGAGAGGCCACAACAGTGAGAGGCCCGCGTACCGCAAAAAAAACCCCAAAAAACAAAAAAAACATATATGTATGCATAAATCTGTATGCACATACAACAGAGTAGAAAGATTAGACAGAAATACACAAAACTGTTAAACTATTACAATCTGAAAGAGTGCCTATTATGTACCAAGCACAGGTATTTTACATACATTATCTCTAATTCTTACACTAATCTCCAAAGTAAATATTTCACCATATTTCAAGTGAGGAAACTGAGGCTCAGAGGTTAAATTATCTACCAAACATCAAACATCTAGTTAGTGGTTTAACTTGGATTCAAACACAATGCTGCCCTTTCAAGTCCAGGTCACATCTTATCTATAGTAGTTTTCTCTGTGTGATAGGGTGATTTTTATTTTCTTCTTTATATTCTTCAGTATTCTCCAAATTGTTTTTTAAGTGCTATTATTGTTTCAGTCAAGTTTCATTTTTAACAAAATACACAGTAACATTTCTCCAATGCACACTGGAATTTAGAGTCCGATTGTACAGTTTTACAAATTATACCTAGATTTCTTTATATTGAAATTCAACAGCAGGTAAAGAAAAAACATTTCAGGAATATTGGGGCCCTGAATTTTTATAATCTTGGAAAAACAACAAATGGCATTTTAACTTTTATCTTTATAAATGCTATGTTTTAAAAGGAAAAACTTTGTGAAAAAACCCCCAAATAATGCACGGAACATCTGCACCTGAGATACACCCTTTCAAATCCTGGTCTTCACACTGTGTGAGCTTTGGCAAGTTGCTTAGTTTCTCTGAGTATCAGTTTCTTCATATACAAAATAAGGTCAGAGTAAGGCCTGGCCTCCCTAGATCACAAGGCTTTTGTGAGGATCAAATAAGAAAGGAGAAGTGAAAGCACTGCTGACTTACTCATTCAACAAATACTGTTTTTTATTTGGCACCTACTGATTGTCCAGTGCTAGACAGTGAGAATATAAGAGAAGACACAGTCTCTGCCCTTATGGAATTTAAATCCACTAACATGTAAAACGATTTCAATTCAGTGGGACAAGTGCTATGACAGGGGTACCAGGTGCTGTGGAGCAAAAGACAGGCGGCTAACTCACTATAGGTCACTAGTGACCAGTTTGGTCACTAGAAGAAGGGACAGCTAAGCTGGAACCAGCCAGGAACCAGCCAGGGTGGGGGCTGGGAAGAGAGACAGAGGAGGTGCATGAGCTAAGGCCTGAAGGAGAGGCAGCATGGCCAGCTAGTGCCACTGCAAATTGTTCAGGCTGGCTGGAGCATAGAGTATGTGGGGAGTGATGACAAGTCAGCTGAAGGGGTGAGCAGGGGCAGATCATTTGCAGCTTCACCACCATAGTATCATCACCATCATCACTATTATGTGTTTCTATTCCTAGGCATAAGTTTATCTTGTTTTCTCCATTAAAGTGAGTGTAGGGATGCATATTCTCCTTTCTTTGTAAAACAAGTATTCATTGGAGGCGTAGTAGGTGCTAAAGATACAGATCCAACCACCAACCTGGCTCCTTCACGGGGAGAGGGCCCACAGAGCAGATGAGGAGCGGCTGAGGGGTCTCACCTGGGGGGACTACCAGAGCCACAGATATTCCTAACATGCCAGTACCGAGCCACTGTACAGCCCACAAGTCGACCTCAAGGCCCCCCTTCTGAAAGAACTGTGTCATTTCTCCATGAGGTCTTATGAGCCACATGGCCCCCAAAAGGCACCAGATCTGTTCTCCACCTTTTGGTAGAGCTTAGAGAGAACTAACCAGCTCTAACATCTGGTACGTCACACCAAAGACGATCATTCTTCCCCAAGAACGTGACTCTGCTGGCTAACTCAGCTTGACAAACAGCTCATGCTCCTCTCCCAACCACCGTAGAGTTCTTTTCAAGATCTATGATTCACTTCCCAACATGTGACAGCTAGTTCCCTCAGTCGCTAGAGCTTTCTAGAGAAGGAATAGTGGTGACAGTAAGCTGATGAGGGTAATTATCAATTCATCTGCCTTCTCAGTCATCAGCTGGCTGAGGGCCCCCAAACAAATGGAGAACTGAGAAAACGAAAGGGAACTGAGGAAATGAAAGGAAGGGGGATGGACACTCCTAAGGAAGAGGCCAAGATTAAGAAATCTGAGCAGAGGAGGAGGCAGTGAGGAGGAATGGGGAGACTAGCCCGGGACACTTACTTCTCTGAAGCAGTAGTAATAGTAGTGGTAGTACACACACATGGTGCTTACTCCATGCCAGGCAATGTTCTAGGCATTTTACAAATACCACAGTTTACATATACTGACTTACTTAACCTTCACAACTCTATGAGGTAAGTATAATTATTATCCACATTTTACAGATGAAGAAACTGGGTGCAAAAAGATTAAGTAAGTTGCCATGATCACATCGCTAGTAAGTGGCAGAGCTGAGATTTAAATCTGAACAGTCTGGCTCAGAATTCAAGCTTTTAACTATTACAGCATACTTAAACATTAATGCTGAAAGGCAGAAGGGGACAGCCAGTCAGAGTTAGCTGGGCACCAACAAGAATGCTTTTATTTAGAAACCTTAGCACAGAGCCTCCCCACTGATGTGCTGTGAGTGAGATATTGATCCTCTCACCAGGCTGAACAACATCATTTTCTGTGTGCTATGATGTCCAAAAGGTTGGGTGGCACTGCTCCAGCTTAAACACAAGGGCATTACGACCATATTATCACGATTATATTAATCTAAAATCTAATTTATCAGAAGTTTCCTCTCCTTGCTCTGAGATAGCTTTGTGTTTTGGCCTGTTTTGTAGGATGAGCTACAAGCCAGTCCAACCACATTATTCCATGGCAGTTCTGGTATCAGGACAAGGCTACTGTATTCTTCTTTTGTCTGACCTATTAGTTGGTTGATTTGGTTTCTGATGGTATCACTACCACGTACGGAACAAGGTCAAGGGTACACTCAAATGGAAGCTAGTCAAATTTAACACACGGTGGATGAAAGGAGTCCCCCTGTGAAATCAGCTTGTCCTGATCAAAGGACGGTCTGTTAATGTGATTCCAAGGGGTTAAGGTATTTCACAGGTTTGCTGCAGAGTCCAGTGTGTAGTGGGGCTGGGCGGCATTACGCAGATTGCAGTCTCTCACTCAACTACAGTGAAAGCAGCTTGAGGCCCACTAAGGTGCCAGAGGGGTGGTGATTCACAACAGGCCTCAAACAGGGCTGGGATGGTAAGATTCCCAGGGGCAAAAGGTCTAGCTTCAGGCCCACCTTCTTCCTCGGTTCTGATTCTGGGATCATATGCAGCCTTCAGAGCTGTCACTGCATCACCTGGTGGAAGGAATGAGAGCAGGAATGGTGCAGGGGGTAAAGGGAGTGTGTACTTAAGAAATAGCAAGGAGGAAAACAGAACTACCATATGACGTAGCAATTCCACGTCCGGGTATTTTTCTGAAGAAAATGAAAGCATTAACCTGAAAAGATATCTGCTCCCCATAAGTAAACAACCTAAGTGTCTGATGAATGAGCAGATAAAGAGTGGGAGATACACACACACATACACATATACATACAATGGAATAGTATTCAGCCATAAAAAAGAATGACATCTTGCAGTCTGCAACAATATGGATGGTCCTTGAGGGTATCAGGCTAAGTGAAATAAGTCAGACAGAGAAAGACAAATACTATATAATCCGCAGGACTTCACTTATATGTGAAATCTTAAAAACAAAACCAAAAAACAAGCTTATAGACACAGAGAACAGATTGGTGATTCCTGGAGGTGGCAGGTGGAGGGTAGGTGAGATTGGGGGTAAAAGGGGTCAAAAGGTACAAAATTCCAGTCATAAAATAAATAAGTCATGGGATGAATGTACAGCATGGCAACTACAGTTAATAATACTGTACTGCATATTTGAAAGTTGCTAGGAGAGTAGATCTTAAAAGTTCTCATCACACACAAAAATTCTGTAACTATGTATGGTGATAGATGCTAATGAGACATTGTGGTGATTATTTCACAAACATCAAATCATTATGTTGTACACTTGAAACTAATATAATGTTGTTATGTCAATTATACCTTAATTTTTTTAAAAAAGAAAGAAAGAAATAGCAAGTAGGAGTAAAGGACTGGATTTGTGTAAGCAGGACTGTATAAAAAGCTGAAAAAGGCTGAAGTCAGCTCATCCAAGCTTATTAATATGGCCTACAAGGCCCTCCAACATCCAGTGCCTGTCTACTTTCTAGCCTCACTAACCATCAGTCAGTCATTCTTTCAAGGAAAAATGAAAATAGTAGGTAGTTCAGCTTGCAGTTCACAACCTCACAAGTGCTTTTCCTTGAGACAAGCGCTGTGCTTTGGTATGCAGCAGGAGTGCTTTCGAGCATTTCCACTGTGTCACGCAGAACATTAAAAAGATGTGTACTCAAGGGCTGAGATTCAATAAAATTAATAACTTTTACTGCTTCATCAAGGACATACTTAAGTGAAAACGGCATTTTTTAAAAACTGTGAGTGCATAGCAATAAGAATACAATGACTGCTAGTGCAGTTCAGTGCCACTGCCTTGATTCGCGCTAAGGCATCAGCAGTTTTGCCCACTGTTGCTTTGCAACAACAAATAGCATCTTGGCACTATTATGAAAGTAGTTTTGACCTTGCAGATATCTGAAAGGTTTTCAAGGATCCCCAGGGTCTGTACAGCACACTTGTGAACCACTATTCTAGGCAATGGGGAGGGACTGGGCCCCACTGGAGCTATGCTTTAGGGCCATCAAACCAGCTGTGATGGCAGAATAAACTGGAGGCTGGAGGGGGATGAGAGGGCAGAGCAAGGCTGTGGCAACAACCTGGAGGAAGGCAGGGAAGGTGTGTGGCTGAGGTGGGGATAGAAAGGAAGAGGAAGAGGTGAGGGGTGTGATGGGGAGAGGTAATGAAGCCAGAGAGGCAAAGCTGGTCCTGGTCCTGCCCAATGACTGGAGATGGTGGAGGAGTCCAAGACCACTATCCTCCTTGAAGGGAAGGCACGGAGTCTAATTTCTCTCTATCCCCACTGCCCTGTATGGAACCAGGCACACAGGGGGACCTCGATAGATGCTTATTAACCAAAATCAGGTAACTGTAAGAGCAGCAGTACCATCAAAGAAGGGGAGAATTCAGGAAGGGAAGCTGGCTGGGGATGGGGAGCAGGGGAAGACTGTGCCCCGGGAAAGCTTCAGTTGAAGGAGGGTGACATAGCAGCAAAGTCTGAAAACTCTCAGAACAGGCTAAAGCCATTCTCACCTAGCCCTCATCTGAAACAATCTACAAATGAGGCATTGTTTATAACCCACCAGGCATGATGAGACCTCAGGATACTGTGTCATACAGAACACTTCAAAATGTCCTCAGATATGTCACAAATTTTTTAAACCTGGAAAGATACATCTCAAGCCATTATTAACAATAGTTAACTTTGGGAGAATGAAATTGAGTGGGTACAGAATTTTACTTTTGATACTTCTGTTGTATTTGATTTTGTTTTGTTATGATACAGTCATTTTACCTTTATAATTAAAAGGGAATAAATATGTTTTCCTCACTGCATAGTTTTCCTTATGACCCTCTCTGCCAGTTTATTCTGGTAGAAATGTGCTCCACCCTACTGAGTAACTGTCTTAGGCATGCCAGAAAGCCCAGCTAATCCTAGCTGCCCAGCTGAACACTGGAGTCTCTGACTCACCCCTTCCTCTGGAAATATCAGATATAGGTCTCCCAACTTTTGGAAAGTTCGCTTCACACCACTTTGCTTTTATGAAAGACCTACATTAGTATGTACCTGTTTTCAAGACATACTAAGAGGATTTTCATATTTACAAGAAAGGGTGAAAAGTGAAAATAGGGTTCAGCATTTGTCTTCCAGTGAACATTATAGAGGAACCACGCACCACGAGCAGTGAGAGTGGCACTGCCAAGCTCCTTCCCCAGGAACTACACTCAGCATCAAGCTGACAGAGCTTGGAACTGTGTCTGTGAGCATCTATGCTTGACCTCCGTTTATTTTGTGCATCCGTTAGCAAGATATGTCCTAAGATAATTGCTTTACACCATTTCTGCTTAAGAAAGGTTTCATGGGAACACTCTACTTTCAGATAGTGGGGGAATCTGCAATTTCAACCTGATGCAATCTGAAAGGTTAAATAAAATGTGCATCCAATCTTACCTATAGGTCTGCCCAACTTTGCGAAGCAGACCCTCTGTAAACTTGAAATTCCAAATGCAATAATGCTCCTGTCAGGGGGCTGCTGTCTTCCAGCTGCAGGAAGTGTTTCAATGGCCTCTGTACATAGCAGACATTCTTCAGTTTTCCATTGGCCTCTGCTTCATTATACCTGGCATGAAAATCTTCAGAAAGCAGAAACAGAAAGGATGTAAAAATGCTGACTTAAAAAAAATGAACAGAGAAGATAAAGATCAACTTGTGTTCCCCAAAGCTATGTGTTACACCAGTAAGTAAGTAATCACAAGGCAATCACAGATTTCCCCAGTCTTTAAAATTGGAGCATGTAAAATGCTGACACAAAGCATGTGAAGATTTAACAAGGGTCTGGGTAAAAGTTTTCGGATTATGCTTCCATTGTGAGATTCCAGAACCAAAAAGATGTAACTGGACCTGAATGACAGATATGGGCACCTCTGTACGCTGAGGAGACTCACATGGAAGGTAAAAGCTGCCACTTTTCTGTTGTCCACTTTTTTAGAGATGAATGAGCTCTGGTTTCACCTCCTAGTGGTTAGGTCCAAGACTCACAGGCAGGAGGCACCAGAGTCAGAAAGGTAAAGTAGATGCTGAGAGCAGCAGGTGGCATGAACAAGAATAAGGTTTTATGCCAAATGCATAACTATTGCTAGTTTTCCATCTGATGACTTCATTTTCTGTATGTCCACTGCTATTTTTAATCTCATGGCTCTAGTTACCATGTGTCAAAGTTGATTTGTCAATTTCTCTACTCAATGAATATGTACTTCCCCTTTTCCCAGTGGAAAAGCTCTAAAAATGTAGTTTAAATCCGAATTCTAGGCCCTGGAAGCCAGATGTGTTTCACCATTACCTCAAATCACATGTCCCAAACTGTACTTATCCCCAACCTCCATCTACCACCTCCTTCCTCCTTCTTCTTCTTCTCTATCAGATTATATCATTCTGCCAGTCACCCAGCCACAGAACCTTTAAATCATTTCTAATGTTGCTTTCTCCTCCAACCTCATAAACTCTATATATTCCCATTGGCAGGCTCTCCCTCAGCCTGGTATATTGTTCCTTGCAAACACCACCTATTCATCCTTCCAGGCCTATCATAAATTACTGAAAGTAGTCCCACAAATTACAGGAATAGTCCCTCTTTTTTCTACTTCATTCTGCATTTAATTGAAACCACATCTAAATACTATTGTAATGCTTAGAGTAGGCTATACTCATGCACATGTGGCTCTCCCATGAGGCCATAACCTCCTCAAAGGCAAGGACATGTCTTTTTCATCTTTGTATTTCCAGCACCTAATGTAGTATCTGGCACAAAAAAGGGCTCCAGTAAATATCTGAATGAATTACTTCATCCACAAAATATTTCTTTATTGTTCAAAAGAGAATGTCAGCACGTAGAATTATCCTTCATATTGTGCCTTTTATTCCCAAACAAATCTCTGTGGCCCAATGAAACTATTTCCAGGGCCCAAAGAAGCTCAGGTTGCGTTCCCTCTCCCTATGGCCACAATGCTTCCAGGGGCAAACTTGAATACCTTGACTTTAACCCTTTGCCTTCAGTTTTGCCACAGGTTTAAACCCCTTGGTCCCTTCTTGTTGCCTATAGTAAAGGTCGGCAATTTGTTTTCTGTTTAGGGCCAGACGGTCAATATCTTATACTTTGTGTGTCATATGGTCTCTGTCACAATTACTCAATTTTGCCTTTGCAGAGCGAAAGCAGCCAGAGATGATACGAAAATGAGTGATTGTGGCTATATTTCAATAAAACTTTATTTATGGATGCTGAAATTTTAATTTCATATGATTTTTGTGTCACAAAATATTAATTTCTCTTGAATTTTTCCCAGCCATTTAAAAATGCAAATGGCTTGCAGTCCAGACAAAAACAGGTGTTGAGCCAGATATGGCCTGTAGGCCATAGTGCGCCAACCCAGCTTATTCCCTTTCCTCACCAACTCCACTCCGCTACACACACACACACCTCTAGTAGGCCTACAGTAAAAACAACCTTCACAATTCCTCTGTGGACTTTGTTATTTTGCTGTTTGCAGCCACTCTAGGGCAGGGGACGTAGAAAATGCATGGGCTTTTGAGGCCTAGATTCAGAGTCTGGCCTTACCATATACTAATGTGGTAGCCTTGGACATAATATTTAACCTCTCCGTACTTCACTGTCATCATCTATAAAATGGGGGCAGTAACACCCACATGACAGGGATTTTGTGAGAATTAAACGAGCTAATGTGTATCAAGTTCATGGCATAGTGCCTGGTTTATAATAGGCACTCGATAAATAGTAATTATTACTCTAGCTTGGGATATGGCTTCCCCAGATCAGCTGTGACCCTGGAAAGCAATCCAGACACTCTGTAAACCACAACTGGGCAGCAGGAGAGAATGAACTGAGAGCAAAGTACAAAGGCAGGGATAGAATTTGGAGGTTTTCAGACACATGACCCAGGATTCTAAGTGCCTGGTTTGCCCCGATTCCTTCTGACACCATTCCAAATTCCACTGGGCCTCCTTTCCTCCTCAGAAAGAACTTCTGACTCTCACACTACCTGAATCTCCTTAGCATTCCTTACCAAATATCCATATGAGCCCTGGAACCCTCTCCTCATTCCTGCACCTCTTTCTCGTATAGGGCTGGGAAAGGGTGAATGCGGCCAGACCAAACCTCACAGACTGGTCTGCCACTGGGTCTTACATAGACCAGGCACCCAACTCTCTCTCAATTATTCATGAATTTCCTGCTATACAGAGAATGAACTTTTTTCAGAGGTCAAGAACTAGTCTCTCTATAGAAGTTTTAGAGCAAAAAAACCCACCAAGTATACAAACAAGGGTTCCCCCATAAACCATCAGCGGTGGGCAGATAGGACAGATAAGCTTGTGGTATCTGTCCTTGGTACAAAAAGCCAGATTTGAGCCTGGTACTTCCTTGCTCCAACATGTCTAATGGGGGTCTACTGCCTCTGGAATCACCAAGCTCCTGTGCTGTCACTCAGGGCCTCCACAGTCTTGCCCTAAGCCACCCCTCCTGCATTATATCTTACTACTCCTCTATAGAAGTCCTCACCTATAGGCCAGGCAAAACAGACAGTATCTACCTAACTACCCTAAACAATTTCCAGCTTCCCACACTTGTGCATAACTCAATCATAGCACCTGTAACATTTTACTGCACATCTCCCCCTAGACTGTGAGCTAGCAACAGGGCAGAGACTGTGTCTGATTCATCTCTGGGTCCCCTACACCTAGCACAGTGCCTGACATGGGGAAAACATCCAATAAATGTTAATGAATGAATGAAAACACCTGAAATTATTCCTCCCTTAAACTGTTTTAGTTGGACTCTTATTAGCAGCTAAGTACAGTCTGGGTCACTGCCCAGAAGTAGAAAGATCTAAGAAAAAGAAAAGAAGCATGACCAATGTGATCCAAGCAACGGAAAATAGGTTTTAAGAGTGAAGTAAAAGAAAGCAAGGCTGTTTAGCCTGCCGAAGAGAAGATAAGGCCCAACTCGATTCTGGCTTTAAGTCTACAAAAGGTCCTCATGAGAAAATCTTGATTTCATCCTCCCTTTATAATCAGAGGGAACTTTTCCATATTCATGGAAAATGGAACAAGAAGAAATAGCTTAAGTTAAGGCCAGAGGGGCTGAAGCTAAAGAGAAAGAAGAACCAAATTAGGCACCACTTTTCCAAAGATACCGTTATTGTACTTTTTGACGAGTGAATTGGAGGGGTTTTTTTTGGCCGCACTGTGTGGCTTGTGGGATCTTAGTTCCCGGACCAGGGATTGAACCTGGGCTCTCGGCAGTGAGAACACAGAGTCCTAACCACTGGACCGCCAGGGAATTCCCGCTGAGCACTTCTGTTGAAGGCTGTGCAAAAGGAAATGAATATGCTGCTCTGTTCCGGTTTGCTGTGGAGACCAGGTGGGTGAAAACACAAGTTGGGTAAGATTTTCTAATAAGCCACTGACTTTTTCCCTTTTTATTTATTTATTATTATTATTTTTTTTTTGCGGTATGTGGGCCTCTCACCGCTGTGGCCTCTCCTGTTGCGGAGCACAGGCTCCGGACGCGCAGGCTCAGCGGCCATGGCTCACGGGCCCAGCTGCTCCGCGGCATGCGGGATCCTCCCAGACCGGGGCACGAACTCACGTCCCCTGCATCGGCAGGCGGACTCTCAACCACCGTGCCACCAGGGAAGCCCCGCCACTGACTTTTAATTGACCCTTTTTTCTATAGGCACTTTCTGTCATGTCATGTTTTGCAGTCCTGTGATGGAACAACCTAGTATAGGCATACCTCAGAGATACTGCAGGTTCAGTTCCAGACCACCGTAATAAAACAATTATAGCAAAAAAGCAAGTCACACAAATTTTTCGGTTTCTTGGCACATATAAGAGTTATATCTACCCTATACAGTAGTCGATTAAGTACGCAATAGCATTATGTCTAAAAAAACAATGTACATACCTTAATTTAAAAATATTGCTAAAAAATGTTAACCATCATCTGACAATGCAGGGTTGCCACAAACCTTCAATTTGTAAAAGACGCGATAATTGCGAAGTGCAATAAAATGGGGTATGGCTGTATTTCAAATTTTCCTGAAGAGACAATGGAAAGAAAGAGAAGGCAACAATGTCAAAGTAAGATAGTAGGGAAGATGGCCCTAAAAAATATATTTTCTATAAAAACAATACCTAACTGGATATTAATAATAATTTTTAACAGTATTACTATTAAAGCTAACATCCACTGAGCACCTACTATGTGCCAGGCACTGTGCTAAGTGTTTAACATAAGCTATCTCAATCCTCATAACAACCCCATAAGGTAGGTTATATATGTAGCCCCATTTTACAGGTGAAGAAACTGAGACCCAGGAAGGTTATATAACTTGCCCAAGTCACACAGCTAGCAAGTGTCAGAGCCAGGACTCAAACCCAGGCAGTTCAACGTAGAGTCTACTAACTACTGTCTCCCTGTATAAGAAGGGTAACAGGCTGGAATTTAAACCTTAGCCCCTCTGAATCCAAGTTCATATTCTCAGTTACTTCCTTATACTGCCCCAAGCCAGGAAGAACAAAGTAACATATGACATCAGCAAGAGAAGAGATCTCAGATGTAAACCAAAAATACCCGCCATATTCCAGAGAAAGAAGCTAAGATGTAAGGATTCACAGATTCTAATGAGCACAACCAGGACTTGAATGCCAGCCTCTTGACTGCAAGTGGAGTCCTCTTTCCTCCATTATAGATTCTTGTTGAATTTGAGGGTGAGAAAATGAAGGAACAGTATGTGCCAAATGGGCTCCCTCCCCAGGCACTGTTGTAATGAACTGTTAAACTCACATTAGAACCTGTGCCTGAAATACCAAGGCGCCAGCAGCCTCTGTAGACTGATTCTAAGATTCTAGTAGTAGAGATGGCAATGAACTGATTAATGGTACTACAGGAGCTGCCAAAATGCTCACATAGTAAACCAATCAAGCAGACCTAGACCAGGCAGCTACCATACTAAGTCAGTGGCTCACAGTTTAAGCCTGGACTGAACTATTTCAACAGCTTCCTTGTTGATGTCCCCATTCTCAGACTTCCTTTGCCCCAGACTAGCCTCCATTCTGCAGCCAGAATAAACAGAGCCCCAGTCATGGCATTTAAGCCTTGCAGCATAATGAAAAGAACATGGATCTTTGAACCCAACACTCATAGGTTTGGACCAAACTCTGTCACTTACTAGCTACATGACCTTGGGCAAATCACTTTAATCTTTCTGAGGTCCAGTTTCTTCATCTTTAAATTGGGGCTAAATATCTCCTTGTTACAGGATTCTGAGGATTAAATAAATTATAGTGCATCTAATATACTCTTGGCCACAAAGCAGAGTAGAGACTGGATAAATGTTAGTGTTCTTCTTCCCACACCCTTTTCTACATTTTGGCCACAATCAATCATTTCAGCTATTTCCCTTCCTCACCAACTCCATTCCTCTTCCCCAACACACACACACACACACACACACACACACACACACACACACACACACACACACACACACACACACACACACACGCCACCTCTAGACCCCTGCTCAAGCTGTTCTTTCTCACAGGAATGAACCTCCTCTAAGGCCCAACATACATTTTCCACCTTCAGGAATCCTTTCTAGACCCTCTTCGGTCGTGTTGGGATTGATTTCTCCTTTTCCCAAACTCCCACTTTGTTTACATTCTTTACTACATTTACTATAGTCAGTCTGATTTCAGCTATTTATGTACTTACCTATCTTGCCAACAACACTGGAGGGAGAAGGCTCTAAGAAGAGAATTACTGTGGGTGGTGGTGGTGGGATGAATTGGGAGATTGGGATTGACATATATACACTAATAAGTATAAAATAGATAACTAATAAAAAAAATGAACATGCACTGGAAAAAAAAGAGAACTACTTATAGGAGGGCGGGAAATGCGTTGTTCTCCTCTGTGTATATTTCTCAATAGCTGGGTCTTGTACATAGCAAGAGCTCAATATGCGTTTATTAAACTGAATCTTGCCACCACTGACTGGCATCTTTACAGAAAGATCCTGGACTGAGTTTACTCTAAAATTCTGCTCTCACTGCCTGACTTGATCAACATGCAATTTTTAAAGTGTACTAATATTCCTAAACTGTTCCACCCCACTGGTTAGGAGACGACAGTCATTAAAACCATATTAAAAAGCAGAGTCGGGGAACCCGAAAATAGATCTGAATGATTTCTGTCTCAGTTTCTAAGTCTGTAAAATATAGAGTTTTGAGATGTTACATAAAAAGCGCTTAAAACAGGATCTGCCACATAGTAAGTACTCAATAAATGTTACAATTTTATTATAATGTAGTAGACTGGAAAAAACAGAGTCAGGACTTTTCACTTCTAGTACTATCTCCACCACTGACTGATGTCTTGTCCAATCTTGATCAAGTCCTTTCCCCTCTCTGGGCCTCTCCCCATCTGTAAAACTGAAGTAGAACCAGACGGTTTCCAAGCTCCTTCTATCTTCAACGAGGTATATTTTTCTATGATCAACAAAGAGCCTTCTGTTCCAGATGCTGAAGCTGTTGGCAAGGAAAAATTGTAGCTGCTGGTTCCCAGAGGAGAGGGGCCAAGACCAAGGCAAGGCCAGGACAACTGATTAGTAAACCACCTGTGCACCTTCCCCTGTGTGAACTATAACACATTCAGTGCAGGTTCCTGAACAGAGCACCACCTCTCTGCCAAGAAAACTCACAGCAAAGGCAAGACAAGAGCCTGAAAACAATAGCAGCAATGAAGAATCCTGCCTTGTGCAGAATTCCTGCACTTTCTTACCTTTGATGCCTGTAATTAGGGCACCATCAATCTAAACTAGGGCCCTCCTTAGGCACAAAGAGAAGGAAGAACACAAAGGCCCACTCTGAGCATGAAAGCTCATAAAGCAAAGACCAATGCGAGTAAATAAAAAATGTCACTGAATCATTCGACTGAACACACTGCAGAGGCCTACTATGTGCTAGGCAGAGGAGGTATGAAACAGACATGATCCCTTTCCACCAATGTAATCAGAGTACATATGGGGTGACACATCCCAAAGCAGACTGTAATAAGAGCTATATTTGAGGTGTAGCCTCTGCTACGGAAGACGGGAAGGGGGCAACAAATCCAGTAGGGGGGACCAGAGAAGCTTCAATGACAAGCTACATGAGACACAGGCCTTGAAAGATGGGGAGGTGGGAACCTCAGGAAGATGGAACATAGGCAAAGGAACATGCAGGGAGTACTAGAGAAAAAAAAAAAACAAACTAGTTTATTTTGCCTGGGCCACAGGGTGCAGGTTTGGGAGAACAAAGGGAAACAGGGCAGGAGAGAGATTTGGGAACAGATTATGGAGGGACTCATCCACGAGGCTGAAGAGTCCAAAGTCTATATGGCAGGCAATGAGGCCCACCAAGGTTTCTGAGCAGAGATATAACATGATGAGAACACTGTCTCAGGAAGATCACATGGGCACCCATGAAAAGGATGCAAAAGGAACCAAATTACTAGATTACTATGGGAAGCTTCATAAGTATGTGTTGGAATCCAACAGCTCCTGTTCACAGAGCTTCTCACTGCCCAGGTTCAGCTTCATGTAATCTGAGTTTAAGAGGTGTTCCCTTGCCAGGCCCGTTAACCGTCAAAATCTGCTAGCATAACAGGACTTCCAGACAAAGTAAAAAACCCAATTAACCCTATGGATCACAGAACAGGAAGAGCTGATGCGGGAGAAGTTGGGGAGGGAGCACCAAAGTCTCCACATGGCCCAGCTCCGCATAAAAAACCAACCCTGGATCTCCTCTTTATATCACTTCCAGCCAAGCCTTCTTTACAGGGGCTGAAGCTAAGTACAGTGGGGCCGAAAGCACTTGGTCAGAGGCTGCAGATCTAGTGAAACAATATATATGAAATGCCCAGCACAGTGCTGGGCACATGGGCACTGGTCAGTAAGCACTGACCCAACCTGCAAGGTCAGTTCCACCGATAAATCCCACTGAGGCTTCAAGACCTAAGTCACCTTAACTCTTCCCTCAAAGGCCTCTCTAAAGTACCCCAGTCCAAAATGACCTAATTCCTAGATATCACACCCATTTCATGTGCCAAATATTCAGCACCCAATTCATGACAGGTGCCATGCAAGGTGACTCATGTAACCCCATTCAACCTTCACAATGACCCTCCTAAGCTCTTTTAATACAGGAGAAACTAAAGCTCTGAGAGGGGAAATGACTTTCTTGAGAACACACAGCTAGGAAGTGGCAGAGGTGAGATCTGAACCCACGACTGCCTGACCCAAACTCAAGCACTTCCAACACTTCAATCCTGTCACCAGCGATGGCCTCTTATCTGCTACTGACCATGTGACAGGTAGCCTGGAAACTCCCTATGGAGAGAGACGGTACCTGACACTATTCTCTCTCCTCACTGTACAGCGACCCACCTATGTCAGGGGCTTTTAAATGAAAACATCTAACTTTAAAATAATGGAGTACACAGATATGATAAATTCCTCACATGAAAAACTATTCATGACGTTGGACTGTCTGAGCCCTGAGCCCAGCCATATAGCCTGATAGGGACTGAGTCTCAAGCTGGCCCCAGGATGAGCTCCGATCTCAGACACCTGTCACAACCCAAGCCCCGACCCTAGGCACAGGCTGAGCCCGGACCGGAAACACACGCTGCACCCAGAGCTCGTCCCAGACGGAGCCCTGCCAAAGGAGAGCCCTAAAGAAGCGTCCCCTTCGGCTGTCCCCGCCCCCCGCAGCAGACTCTGGTCGTGACCTCGGGCCGTTCTGAAAGCCCCGACTGCTCCGTCCCAGGCACACGACTCATTCACAAACCCACCCCGCTCCCCGCACCATTTCACTGGCAGGGAAACCTCGCTGTCTGGGCTTTACCTCAGCTGACTCCCGGCAAGGCCTGTCGCGCACACCAACCACCTGCTCGCTCAGCCAAGAACACGGAAGAAGATATACTAGCCCCGAGAGGTGGGCCCGACGGCGTGTAGGAGCTGCGCCTGCGCCCTGATGGCCACGCCCAGCGAGTGGGGGCTAAGCAAACTGCGCAGGCGTGACGGGTGAAGGGCGGGGAGGTTGCTGGGATAGGGGGCAAGGCTTAGCTCCTTCTGGCCGTCCCTTTGCTGAGTGGAGGTCGGGAAACCCGGGAAGCGCAAGGAGGGAGGAGGCAAGGCAGCAGCAGGTATAATTATATTTACCGAGCGCTTCTGCATGCCGGGAAGGAATTTTTAAAATCCCTTTTACACATGGGGAAATGCTGCCAATCTTTTTAAAGACGAGAACGAATTCTGTAAAATTTCTTAAAAGGTTTGCGTGCCTGTAATTTCACCATGAGAGTTTCTCCTTGAGTAAAGTATTACCCCCAGTAGGTAATGGTGGTTTAAAATAAAAAACGTAAGAAGTTCATTTCTTGCAGAAAACTACCTGCAAATAAATTAATATTTCAACCAACCCCCGACCCTCCCCCAGGCTGCAAGTGTGATGAGGGAGTGAGAGTGCTGACTTGAGGTTAAGGCAGGCCCTAACTGAGTGTGTTTCCTCCGTTGTGAAATGGAAGTAAACATCCCTCCCTGCCTGTGTCAGGATTGCTGTGAGGGTCTGGTGAGCAATGCTCGTGAAAGAGCCTCTTGGACTTCCTTCCCATCATCCACCCGACAAATGTTCGTTCCCCTTTCCCCTTCTGGGCTCAGTCTTCTCATCTGTATGATGGAAGGAGGTCTGGAACAATAGGGAACATTCAGGGCTTTGCTAGATTTCCCAGTCTGGGTGACAGCTGGAGGCAGGGTGGGTTCTCCCAAGCTTCTGTATTAAGTAAGTCACTTCCAGAATCTCTCAGTTCAACCTGAAAGCCCCTGTGTAAGTTGACCTCTCCCACCATCGCCTTCCAGGCCCATCCAAGCCTCAAATACTCAGAGGCTGTGCTAGCCTGTTCCCATCTCTGTTCCCTGAATGTCTCAAGAGCTAGATGATCCTCAGTCACTCAGGTCTGTGTTCCAGCTCAGGTTCCCAAAATTGCTGTGTTCCCTGCATGGCAACCAAGTTCAGTTAACAGCAGAGATGAGGGCTCTGGGGGGCTCAGAGGAGGAATGGCTTAAAGAAGGGCTTCCCAAATCAGTTGAGCTCCAGCCATGCCTGTGGCTCCCTTCACCACACACTCCACACAGCTCCTGATGGTGGGGCAGTGGGAGTGGCAGCAGGAAACTTCCAAGAGGCTGCAGTGTTCCTGGGGGCCAAGGGTGGTGGGCTATCTTTTACTCAGCAGGTGAATGCTCTGCTCCAAGGTGGGGAGAATGGCTGGGCAGCTAGGCTGCAGACGGCTTTGTTTTCCTGTTGGCTCAAGAGCCATAAAAATATTTGGAGCAGGGAATGAGGAAGCAAGCCAAACTATCCCTCTACCTTCAATACATTGCCTCTCCAAGGATCCTCTCCTGCCAAGTTTTGCCCTATGGGGGGCTCTTTTCTCTGTGTAGCTGAGGCCTCAGCGCTCCCTTTTATCTTCTCCTTTCTCTGTCTAGTCTTCTGCAAGCATCCCTCTCTGAATTTCTCAAAGTAGTTTTGTGAGGGCTTCCTGATGTATTCAGACATTCTCATGTAAGGTGCAGGCCTTGGCCACACAGTTCTGAGATAAGTCTACGCTCATATGGTGTATTCCAGAACAACTATGATCCCAGAGCCTGAAGTTTCTAAGAGTCTAAGCTGTCCAGTAATTGAGGAAGTAGTGCGTGACCTGCCATAGGAGGTATGCAAGCAGAGCCACCTTTTAGAATGCTGGACTGGGGCCTCCTCTGGTAAGCCAGAAGAAGGGGCTGCAGAGTGCAGGGCCTTACAGTTCCTACAGCAATGAAAGGAGGGATACTGGGCACCAGGAAGGGAGCTAGGCAACTAGCCAAAGACAAACGATTCAACAAGCTATTATATGTCAAGCATCTAGAGCTGTACCTAACACACAGTATTATTATTGTGAACGATCCACAGACTGTAATGACGGCGCTTAGAGATCTAAGTCCCTCACTCCCACACCTGATCATGCAGTACATGCCAGAGTACCTTGGGGGCTGGGCTGGGACTGGAACCCAGGTCTCTGTCTCCCAGGAGAGGCACTGCACAAAGCCAGGCTGTCTCCTCGGGTAGAAGGAAGAGCTCTAGGTGGGCCTCTGCTGACTCTTAAGAACCAAGCTGGTTTTCAACTCTTGGCTGGGCAGTTGAGGGTAAGGGGCAGTGGACTGATGGCAAGACCTGAGCTAAGAGTGTCAGGTGTCTCCTGGGGAAGAAGCTCAGGAGTCAGCCCCACGTCTTGCCACCACTTGGAGCTCTAGCCAGCACCCGACAGACAGCCTTCTTTTGAGAAGTGTTTCCTCTGCTGTGATTACAGTTAGGGCTGTATTTCTGCCCTGTACCTTAACCCATTAGCTGCAATAAACCACCCAGATTAAGGGGGTGGAGTGAGAGTAGCCAGTGCCAGGTGACCTGAGCTGAAACAAGGAAAGACTTTCCCAAGAGACTGAGTTCCCCGAAGCCCTCCCCACTCTAAGGTTCCTAGCCTAGCCCAGGAATTCTGGGCCTAGGATTCTCAGAGCCCTGGGAAAACCTTGGTGACCCCACCCTGGAGAGCTGGGCCAGACATGACCACATCAGCCAGCCCTCCACATGGCCCAGGATCTCAGGACAAAAAGCCCTCCCTGCCCCATTCTGGCCCAGTTCCTTCCACAGCCTTCCCAGGAGCCATGTGGCACCCAGACCACAGCTTCCCACCAGGGCCTTTAGTTTGCCTCCTTTATTTTACCAAAAATAACAACAATAAAATTTCCCTCTGTTTCACAAAAAAATACATCCCCCGCCCCCTGCCGCATAATCAGTACTGGCCATAGCCTAGACTCCATCTTCCAATCCACAGTCCTCCTTGGCAGAACCTTTGACACCACCCCCCACCACCCCCCTCACACCAGAGCTTCTGGCAAAGCTGCTGGGCCAGTGCTTCCCTCGGGAACTTCTCTGGAGGCAGCTGTCCCAGGTCCAGCTGGCTGGACCCAGGAGCCCCATCTGCTTCCCCAGAGATCTGGCAGCTGCGGGGCCATGGAGAGGGGCATGATTTTGGAGTTCTGGCTCAGCAGACAACCCCAGCAGACCACAGGGGTGGTGGGGTACTCTGGCATCAGGCTAGAAATCCTTGCTCAAAGCAGGAACAGTTGTATCTGGAGAGGAGCTGTCAAACCCTCCTTTGGAGTGCATCTCATCTCCCTGTGTAGCAATCCACAGGCCAGGGGTGGGAGTCAGAACCCCTGGTTTCCACTCCAGCTCCACAAAAGCTTTGCTGGGAGGCCTTGGACAGCTTCTCCCGCCTCTCCTCTGGCTTCAGTTTCCTCCCATGTACGTGGATGATTCTGAGTGAGACTGGATGATCCTCAGATTCCTTCTGGCTCTCCATCCTGGCCCCCCAGCCTGATGTCTCCAGGAGAGGAGGGCCTTGTCCCTGCCTCAGTTTCCCCACCTGTGGGTCTGGGCGCAGGGCTGGGCATGGCCAGTTTCTCTGTGGACAGCTATGCTCTGAGATCCAACCAGCTGGAATATTTCAGGGATGGTTGGGAAGGAGGCAGGCACTTGCAGGATGGGGGCTCTCCAAGCCTGGAAGAGTCCATTCACAGCTATGTGGTCCTCAATGTCCCAGGTGGGAGATAAGGCTCCGGAGCTTCCCTATTCAAGCTCACTAGCTTTGTGGGTTGGAGGATTATCTTGTGCTGGGCTTCAGATCCTCACAACCACATCTGGAGATTCAGGAAGCTAGACTGGAGTGTATGATTCCTGATTTAAGGACTGGGGATCTTTGTGGACATGAAGAATCACCCCTGACGCCCATGAGGCTATCTATAATCAGGCCTTCTGGAGGCAGAGGGAAGAGGGAAATGACAGCTCCTGGGCATCTCTAGCTGAGCAAATCAGAACCTATGGTGGGCCAGGATTTTAGTCAGGGCAGGGCCCCCCTTCCTACCTCCCCCCATCAGTGGCTCCCCAGAACTCATGCTGATGGAAAATGGTAGCCTGGAAGATTCAAACACGGAGCCACATCTACCACCACAGTTCCTGCACTTACACACACAGTCAGACACACCAAATGGGGAGACTGACTCGTCATCATTCCTAAGTGGTCATGGTCCGATGGCCCTAATCCCTACTTCCTTCCTTCCTTCCCTTCCATCCATCCATCAATTTACCTAACATTTATGGAGGGCCTCCTATGTGCCAGGAACAGTCTAAGGCACGTAGCTCTCACAGACACACCCCACAGTCAAAATCATACACGTACACACCGATATACACATGTCATCCGTGTCCACTCACTCATAGGCTGCTCATGCTCTTGCATCTTTCTTGCCGTCACTTCAGCCACATCCACGTTCCCCAAACAGGCTTGGCAATCACCGTGGAAGGGTCAAGTGTCAGAGCAGACTAGACTTCATGCTAAGGGTTTAGCTGCTCCTTTTTACCTGTCTGCCCACCTTTAAGCTCTTCCCTACTCCACTCACAAACAGTCAGGGGGACATGTGGGCAGACTCCTGAGAACCAGAAGTCCAGGGGCTTTGGGTGTGTGGAGGGGCCCCAGGGCCTTCAGGTCCCTCTGCTACCAGACTTCTGAGGGTCCCCTCCCTGGCCACTCTGTGTTCAGATGGTCCATCTGACGGGCAACAAGGTCCAGGTCTGGGCTCAGTGACAGATCCGCTCTGTCATCTCCCTCTGCAGAGACACAAGGTGGGGAGGGGTCAGTCAGAGCTCAACCTGCCAGGCAGCCCGTTTCCAAACCACAGGGCCTGGCTACTCTTCTGCCTGAGCCTGGCCCCTTCCCGCCACCACCGCCTCCCAACTCCAGGCTGCAGATCTGTGTTTGTAAACTGATACTTGAATGAAGTCGCTATTAAAGTACAAAATCCATTGTTAAATGAATTGCGGTCCCCTAACATATCCACTTGGATATTGGATTTTCTTAAAGCAGGTAGCCTTCGGATCTGAAAACTCAGAGGCTAGCCCTGGTGGGGGAGGGCAGTAGGGGCTTGGCCTCACCAGTGGCTCCAGCTCCCGCTGGTCCACCAGGCTGAACTCACGGATGAAGTAATAGAAGTGCTTGTAACAGGTGTTGACGTGAGCCTCGGCCCCCATGCTGAGAATGCTGTCGAAGTGGTGGATGTAGACATGCACAAAGACGCGGAAGAGGCGGGTCAGGATCTTGGTGCAGACCTGCTGGAAGTTCTTGGGGAAGGGAACTCCTAGGGGGCGGGATGGGCAGATATGGGGCATCAGCAATCTGATGATGAAACTCTGCCCAACCCTGCCCTCCCCGACACAGGCAGCCTCTGCCCAAGATGGCCTCTTCCCTAGCACACTTCCCTGTGGGAAACAGAGATCAAGGTTTGCTTTCTCCCATACTTGCCTTTTTAATAAAGCACTGTGCCTCTCCTCTGCTGAAATACAAATCATCTTCTGATTTTCCCATCACCCTGAACAGGACTCTGCTACTTTGTTGGGTCACTGACCAACCCTTCTTAGACTATAATAGAAGTTATGCCAAAACTCGCCCCAGAAACATGCGCATCTGTAGGTGCTCGCACACAACACCCTTGGATGCAATTCCAAGGAGAGTTCATCAATATCTGGGGTCCATTTTTAAGAATATGGGCCTTCAGGATTGAGTCCTAACTTCCCAGCATGGCGCCTGCTCAAGGCCTTTCATGATCTGATCCTGACTTGCCTCTCCAGCCCTACCGACTCCTTCCCCTTCGCAACATTCACACGGCAGGCCCCAGACGCCAATCCTGAGAATTACTAAATCTTCATGAACAAGTTCGTATATCTCTCAGTCCTTCAAATAGTCAATAAGACTCACAAGAACCTTCCTTCTGTGAGCCAGGCCCTGTGCTGGGTCCTTTGCACCTTTAGCCTGGTATGATAATGGGTATGGCAGCCATTCTAGATCTGATAAAACAGAGGTGCATAAATGTGGAACCACTTGCCCAAGGCCACACAACTATTAATTAGTACAGACTGGAGACAGGATTCAAGCCCTCTTTGCACTGCACTGCAGCACCCCTCGGATAAATGCCACAGACCCTGCCAGAGACAAGGTCCAGGACCTGTGGAAAAGGCACAATTTCTGTACAGTCCCCCATGCTCACGGTGGAGATCTTGGGGGCTACTCTCTCTTCTCTGCGGTGGCAGAGCCATCCCAGGATTAAGGCACAGGCACCTGGGATCGCACAGGCCTGGGGGTGAAGACTAGAAGGGAACAAGCGGTCAGACGCAGGCCCACACTGACTCTCCCCACTCCATAAGGCCCTTCCCCTTCCTCACTGCTCTCGGGTGGGGCTGAGCCCTGTCTCCCTGTGAGCCCTTCCAGGCCCAGCCCAGGTCCCTCAGACTTGTCCTGTCCATCTAGATGTGGGGCCCTGGGCCTCAAGAGACCTGAGCTGGTTCGGAGTCCCTCCTGATTCGGTGCACTCTCCCTCTCTCGGCCTGTTTCCTCTCATGTGAAGTGAAGATACCCATGTTGGACATGACAGTGCAGGAAATGGAAGGCCACTGACTGGGGAGGGGCGTGGGCACTGATTTGTGACTCAAGGCCCTCAGCATTCAGACTTCTCCCCTCCGGGCCTGACCACCCTGCCCCGCCCATCTCTGATTCCCATAGCCTTAACACAGATGAACAGGAGGCCAGGTGGGGCGCGGCTGCTGTGATGAACACAGGGTCATGCCTGCTCAGCTCCTGAGCCAATACCGTGTCTTGCTGCCCTTGGGTGGGGAAGCCGGACCAGGATGACATCATTCATCTCCTCTCCCCACCCTCACCTGCCCAGGCTGCCCAGCTGAGAAAAGAAAAGGCTCCATGGATTGGGCTTGACAGGGAAAATTCTGCCTTCAGAGCCCACTGAGGAGGACATACCGTCTGGCCCCCATGGGGCCCCACCCCTTTCCCTTTCCTGGGGCCAGGAGTCAGAGGGGATTCCCAGGAGGCTGCAAGTCAGATCAGCCCAAGCAGGGCGGGCGACCTGCTAGGAGCACCTTGAGGCACTTGTTCTGGAAGGTTTTGAGAATCCCAGTGGTCTTGCCAGGGTGTTCCCTGGAGGGACACTCAAGCTTCAGACAAAAAGAGGCCCCAAACTGGGAGCCAGGCAGCCCTAGCTCAAGATGCTCAATCTTGAGCAGACACGATCTCCCTGAGCCTCCGTTTCCTCTTCTACAACATGGCTGTATCAAGCTAAATGCCTCATCTGCGCGATGGGCCCCGCTGGCTCCCTTCCTCCCTAGCCAGGCCTGACCTGCCTGCCAGGCGGCACTCACCCACGCGCGTGGGAAAGACATCCTCGTCGTTGATGAGGCCCTCAATCCAGTCCATGAGCAATGCCATGTAGCGAGGCGCCGAGAGCTTGGCCGGCCGCCGGTACTGGCGCTCGTCCTGCCAGCGGTACTCGTAGCGGGGCCCGCCGGCCATGACCGGGCAGCTGCTCTCGCTGCAGCGCTCGGCCATGGTACCGTAGATGAGGTTGATGCGGTTGAAGAAGTCCACCACGTGCACGGCGATCCAGTCGTCGATGTTCTCGCCCGGTGGCAGCCTCACCACACTGCGCAGGTCCAGACCCGACTTGAGCGACGCCTGCGCCTTCTTATACAGCTCAAAGCGCTGTGTGCCCGGCTCGAAGCGCTTCCGCGGCCTGAACGTCTTGTCTTTGGCGAACACCTGCTTCAGGCACAGCGCCATGGCCAGGATAGGCCGAGGGCCAGAGGTCCAGGGGCAGGCCCTGCGGATGCCCTGCCAGGGCCAAGGGCATGGGGGAGCATGGTGGTCAGGTCCTTACCAAATGGGCTTGACTTCCCAACACATCATTTCCCTCCCACCTCTCGGCTTTTGGCCTGGAATTCTCTGCCTGGAATCTAAATCCTCCTCATCCCCACAGTCCAGCATCCTGCCCTATTTCCAGATACCCTAGCTCCCCCTGCCAAGCGTCCACAGCCCTCCCATCTTGTTTAGTTTCCTCTCCACTTTCATTGTGTCTCAGAGAGGGCTGGGCCTGGGCTCCAGACAGGTGCTCCTCAGACTTGCTGTGAACCATTAGAGAGCTGGCAGAGGCTTCCTGCAGGCAGAGGCCCCTGCAGGAGGCAGAGGCCTGGACAAGATGACCTCTGGGGATCCCATGGGCTAGTTGGTAAAGCGTGGGAGAGCCGGCCTGCATTGTCCTGGGGCTAGGGGGAGAGCCCCCACCCTCGGCTTCCTCTGAGATATCCCGCAGTCCATCCGGCCACCGGGGATTCCCAGGGAGCACAAGGGACTTTTCTACCAAAAATGTACTTTCCTTTTATTACCCTGAAAGGAAAGAGCTCTCGTATGGCCAGCTGGGTGGCCTCTGAGTGTGGCTGCAGGCACTGGAGGGAGGGGGAGGAGGCAGATCCAGAAGGGCACCACTTCCTCCAGCAGTGGCTGGAGATCCTTCCTCCCAAGCTAGCCTCCTCCAGCCTGAAACACAAACCAGAACAGCCGGCGGCCCCTCCCACTGCACCTGACATTCAGTAGACATTCCTACAGCACATACTATGTGCCCGGCACTGGAAGGTAGGAAAATGCAGTCAAATCACCCAGCTGGGCCCATCCAGAATTCAGAAGGATTTGCTTTGCCTCTTAGAATTGAAGGATCTCAGTCTCCAAACAGACTTTGGGGATGGTGATAAGAGCCCCAGGCTTTGAGGCTGGAGACCTGGGTTCTAGTCTCATCCACCACTGCTGGGTGACCCCTACAGCAGGCATGGATTGGACCATGCAACTTCCTCCATCAGTCATAGGCCAAGTTCCTGGGACTTCCAGGGTAGTCACCTCATCTCCCCTGTGAGTGTGTGAGCTCTTGGGAAATGCAGAGCCAAGTACTCACTGGAATTTAGCCACATGAGCACTGATCCTGACCCCAGACTGAGCACTAAGGCTAAGTGTAGGCTAAACACTGAGCTTTTGGGCTGCAGGCTGAACTATGACCTGGCCCTGACCCTGGTCAATTTGAGTCCTGGACTCTAACCCTAGACTGAGGCTTGAATACAGCCACAAAGCCTGGCCTTGACCTCAGAGCTGACACTGGAGTATTTTCCTTTCTCACATCTCTAGAAATACTGGGACAGGTTTGGGGAAGGGAGGGTGGGAACAAGGTGACAATTGGATGTAACCAAAGGTACATGTGGGTCATCATGTCAGACAAGTCAAGCTAGTGGAGAAGTCTAAAACACACAACACACAGGCCATGAAGGGGAAGTCAAGTAAAATGAGAGGAGTTTGGAGAGTAGGGGCAGGTCTCCCAGCAGGATCTTGTCCTCTTGAAAAAACCTCAAAGATGTGGCAGGTCATCCATCCCCTACCCCTCAACTTCTCACCCAAAGAAGTTCCCAGTGTGGGACTTCCTGATCCAAGAGGAGATTTCCATGCTTGAATTGCAGCCTGCATTCTAAACTCTGCTTGGGGCAGGAGCTTCCAAAATCATTCACACTGCAATTAGATTGGGTCCCTGGGCTCTCCACCTTTGCACAGCCCCCCTCAGTGACAGCTACCAACAGACCCTCACCCTGGCATTCAACACCTCACCCTAGCTTTCCTGCCTCACTTCCCTACAGAAACTACCCTGGGCTTCTTCCTGATCCCTGAACATGCCCCCAACTCCTGCTTCTGTGTGTTTTCTTACACTGGTCCCTTGGCTTGACTCACACTGTCAGGTTGAATGCTACCTCCTCCCACAGCCCCTCTACTGAACCCAGATCTCTTTGTCCTTAGGTGGAGATTACTCTTTGGCCATTTGGTCCCCCACCAGCCCCACCCCCCAGCCTCGGTCAGGGCCTGGCACATAGCGGATGCTCAGGCTTTAAGGAAAGCTCAAAATCAAGAATCATAGGATTGAAATAGCCCTGAGAAATCAACTGGCCCAACCCACTTCTTGTATGGATGGGGAAACTGAGGCCCAGTAAGGGGACTTGAGGAGACTGCATTCACACAGCAAGTTATAGGCAGGGGATCTCCAATGGCAGAACTGGACACTGGGATAAGGTGGGGCATGACAACTAGTAAAGGGCCATTTTCCTGCACTGCCTGGTCGCTGGTCTGGTGGAGATAAGGGGAAAGGAGGGGAGTGGAGGGAAAGGGGAAGCATCTTCCCATCAACTAGACCAAACTAATTCCTGTTCCCCCAGCACACCGAGCCTTCCCCACACCCCACAGCAACTTTGGTGTCCTAACCAGTGAGCTAGAGTCCCACCGTCCTGCTGCAGAATTTCAAGGCCCGGGTCTTTCCCCAGGAAAATGAAAGCTTGGGGGTGGGGGGATGGATAGATGCCCTTGTATCTGTGCCACTTGTCTGTCTTCACTTCCCACTCCCATCCCTTTACTGAGTTTCTAACTCTCACAGAATCTCTGTCCCCTCCCTGAACTTCCGAACCATGGCCATTCCCCCTCTTGGCCCCCGTTTCCTAACTCTGGATGTCCCTTCACTCCTAAAGTGGCTAGTGATGGCTTGCTCCCTGGGTGAGCATCTGGGTTTCCCAAATGAAGACCACAGAGGGGCCCTGCCTGCTTCTGATGCTCAGCCACACCTGCCACTCCCCCAGGCCTGACCCAGGATCTTGGCCCCAGTCTGAAGCCAGAATCCAGCCTAGAGTAGTGCGGGTGTGTGTGTGTGTGTGTTGTGTGTGTTGTGTGTGTTGGTGTGTGTGTTGTGTGCGTGGTGTGTGTTGTGTGTGTGTGTTGGTGTGTGTGTGTTAATGTGTGTGTGGTGTGTGTGTGGTGTGTGTGCGTGTGGTGTATGTGTTGTGTGTGTGTGTTGGTGTGTGTGTGTTAATGTGTGTGTGGTGTGTGTGCGTGTGGTGTATGTGTGGTGTGTGTGTGTTGGTGTGTGTGTTGTGTGCGTGTGTTGGTGTGTGTGTGTGTGGTGTATGTGTGGTGTGTGTGTGTGTTGGTGTGTGTGGGGTGTGTGTGTGTGTGTGTGTGTGTGTGTGTGGTGTGTGTTGGTGTGTTGGGGGTGGGGGCAGACGGGAGGGTTGAGGGCTGAGATCCAAGAGAAAAGTAGAGGCGAGGACTCCCAGCTCTTCCCCGCGGCGCTTGGCCACCTACGACCACTCCTCGGCCTCTCCCAGGACCCCTGACGCCCCTGCCTCCCCAGCCCAGACGCCAGGACAGACGGGTCGTAGGACCCAGAGGAGCAGGTCTGAAATTTCCGCCTCCGAAGACACGCCCTCCTCAACTGACTCGCCTCAACCCCAGCCCCGACTTTCCAGCTCAGAGCTTCGGGCACGGACCGAGGGCTGTGGCCAGCCTGCTCGGGCACAGGTCGCCTCGGGACGGTGCCACGCCGGGACGGCCGGAGAAATGAAAGTGGAAACGAGGCTGGGCCGTGTGCGCGGCGGGGCGCGAGGGGCACTCACGGGGTCCGCCGGGTGGGCTAGCGCGAGTCCACTCTGGCCGCGAGGTCACATCCCCAGCAGGCGGTCCCCTCCTTTTGCTCGTCGCCGGCCGCGCCGGTCCTCTCGCCCGTCTGCCTGCCGAGCCCGCGTCGCCCTCCCGCCCCAAGGCGACGCCAACTCCGCCCCGGCCCTCCCTGCCCGGCCACGCTGCGGCCAGGGGGCGGGGAAGGGGCGGGGAGAGGGGACCCCCCCCAACCCCAATACCCCCGCCTTTCCGGAGAGTCTGTATCGCTCCCCCAGCTTCCCAGGGGCAAAGGACTAAGAGCTGGCCCTCTCAGGAGGGCCAAGGAGGCAGCCTCAACTTCTTCGACTGTAAAATGGGGACAAGCCCAGCTTCTGTCTGGAGCTGGATAATGGTGGTTTCCTTGCCCTCCTAGAATCTTCTGTGTCTCGTGTGTCCCTGAGCTGGAGATCACTATGCACTCCCATACCCTCAGCTCCTGGCATAGTGCCTGGCACATAGCAGGCACTTAATGAATGAATGCCTTGGGTACAATGAGCTGAGTCCCTTACCCCAGCCCTGAAAGGACTGGCCCTCAAGAGTGCTCAAATCACAGACTTTCACCTCCCCCACCAGGGCTGGGGTCTTGACTTAGGCTGGGCAGATGGTCCTCACTCCTGGGCGGAAGTCACCCCATTTCCCCCACCACATTTTTGTTCCAGCTGTTCCCACTTTGGGATAGCTTCTTTCCTTACTTTCTTCCAGCCAAATCCAAAGACTTCAAGACCTGATTTGCTTTTGCTACTTTCTACTTGGGTTCTTCCCCTGAGGGCAGACAAATATTCTGCAGCAGCACAAAATGCACACGGTGCGCCCCAGGCCCAGGGACCAGTTGGCTGGCTCTGCCCTAGGGTGGTAGGGAAGGTTCGAGGCCTTCTAGGGTGGGAGAGCCAAGGCAGACAGATGGGCTACAGAAGTCACCTTGGAGGGGTATGAGAGGTGAGCAGGCAGGGATAAGGGAGAGCTCGAGGCAGGAGATGGGCATTTACATGGCACAGAAGCCCCACTGGGCTCCCCTTGTGTCTGGATCTTCTGCTTGCTGGATGGCATGAGAACACACTGGATCCTTAAAAATCTTAGCTCATAGAACTGAAGATTCTTTCTTTTGTTGAATACCTATTTTTATCCCAGTCTAAAGCTCTCTTTTTTTTTTGGTGTCTGAGTCTTAACTCAGCCCCAGATCCTCCATAGGCCAACATTTGCATGCTCTAGTGTATGCAGAAGGAATTCAAACCTAGTCCTTCATTTATTTGATATCGTAATTAATACCCTTTATTGAGCATGGCTGTGCACTGAGAGCAGGGGATCAGGTGACGGAGCTGACCCGGTTGCTGGCCTCAGGTGCTGACAGGTCAGCTGGGGGGTCAACACACAGAGATAACACAAGGTCCGAGCTTAGTCATCCAGTTGTGAGAACACGGTTATGGACTGACAGCGAGCACTTGGTAAGTGTGGAGTTATCGGCGTGAAACACATGGAATACCCAAAGTGGGTGCTTTGAGGAGAGTTTAAAGAAAGCAGTGTTTAGAAGTATAGTCAGGGTGTAAGGAAACCACAGGGATAGCATATCACCAAAGGACTAGTAGCCCTTTGCTGTCTATCCTGAGCTGGAGGGAGGGGTAAAAGTGGGAGCCATGAGGATGGCATTACTGACCAGAGCTGTGGCCCGAGCTTGAGGGACATACCCAGCCCACAGCAATCATACTGCAAAAGACTGGGGGTAAAAGGGGCCCCACTTCCCTCCCTCTGATTTCTGGCAAGATTTCCCCATTGGCCAAATCCTACCAGAAGCCAAGGGCAAGGGAACCAGTTGATGCAGCCCATAGAGGTCAGCCTCCTGGGACCTAGAGCTTGGAGGAGGAGGTTGGAGTGCATCTGGAGGGGCAGCGGAAGATACTCAGCACGTGGGCCCAGGGACTTTGACTTCACAAAGGAAGTAGAAACTGCTTGTGCTTTCCTTATCATTCAGTTCTAAATATTTCATAATTTCATTGTCATTTCCTCTTTAACCCATGGATGATCTAGAAGTGTGTTTTTTAGTTTCTCAACCTATGGGAGGTTTATATTTCTTGTTGACTTCTAATGGTATTTCATTGTGGTCAGAGATCATGGACTGTAAGATTCTTTGGAATGTGATGTGACTCCCTCTGTGGCTTTGTACATGGTCATTTGCTGTACCTCTGAGCTGGGTTTTATAAGATAGGCAGGAGTTTGCTTGCTGAAGAGTGAAAAGCATGGAATCTTACACTGTGGGAAATTTAGATGATCCATTTTGAAGAAACTTCAGAAGTTCCCAGCTTATCAACAGAGCCCCTGGGTGTCTGCCTCAATACAAGCTGACAGGCTGGCATGTGGGATGGGAGGCAGGTGGAAGGGTTGGGAGAAGCCAGAGATAGCCCAGATCCCACAAACATCCTGTACCCCCTTCCTGTGACTCTCAGTCTGGGCTAGCGAGACTGTGTTCTTCCAGGAGGCTCTGTTGGAGCTGAGAAGACCCAGACCTTGGAGAACAAGGTCCAGGCTTTACCATGTATTAGCTGTGTGTCCTTGGGTTACTCCTACCCTTTCTGATGGCATGCTGTAATACCACAGCACTGCCTACCTACACAGGACAGGCACTGTTCCCTGACACTGTGTCCTGAGTATGATAAGTGCTCACATAAGGCCATCTCTGAAGCTTGGCAGGAGTCGTCAAGGACCTAGTTGAAGATGTACCCTCTCCCACTGCACAGCCCAGGCTCCTTGATGGGAGAGCCAAGTGGCAGTGGAGTGGTGTCCAGACCTGGGCTCCTGCCCTGCTCTGTGTCTCTGGGAAAGCCTCTGCCCCTCTCTGGGCCTCACTTTTCCCCATCTGTACCACAAAAGCATCTTCCAGCCATACCATTCCAAGTGCCTTATCAAGACCAGCTTCCTGCTCCTGCCTCTGTGGGCCTGTACCCAGTGACTCCACTGATACAGAGTGACCTCTCCCTGAGAACTCCCTAGCCCCTCCCATGCCAGAAAAGGCTCCCCAATCCCAAACTTCTCCCAGAATGAGCAACAGTAGTCCCAGCTCACCCCACCAGACTACAGGCTTCTCCTGTAGTCTGATGGGGCCCACCTTCTCCTCACTCTCCCAAGAAAAGGTTTCTATTTCAGTTTCTGCCCCTCCCTGCCCAGAAGGTAGGATCTCCTATCCTGGGTCTTCCATCCTGGCACACTGAGGAAAAGCAAAGGACACCCTCATGGCAGTAAGAGGAATTAAGGTTGGACTTCCTTTAGCTTGAAGAAGACAAGTTTCAAGGGAATGTGACAGGGGAAGACAAGGTTGAGAAATATGTACATCAAAATTCTGTGGGACCTCTCTGAGCCTATTTCCGCTTCTGTAATACAGAAACAACAACAACTGGGACTTCCCTGGGGGTCTAGTGGTTAAGACTCCACGTGTCCACTGCAGGGGGCATGGGTTCGATCCCTGGTCGGGGAACTAAGATCCCACATGCCGAGTGGCATGGCAAAACAAAACAAAGAAACAACAACAACAATAGTAATAATAAGCCTCCCATGGAAGAGCTGTGAGGGTCAGATGTGCTAGTCCTCATAAGCAGCAGAAGTCTGCAGCCAGTCTTTCTAGGGGTACTGCCTTCAAGCACCCTGCAGGCTTTTGTGTAGAAGAGGGACTGCACTTATTTCTCTGGTCCTGGAGGGCACGGGGCAGAGACCAGGATAACACGAGGAGACACTTGGCACATCAGAGCTCTCCAACCATGCAGCCTGGATGGCTATACTCACTTCTCCGGAGGGAAGTGTGCAAGCGAAAATGGCACAGCCCCCCTGTGACATGGGCTTCAGAGGGTTTCAGTCCCTCTGAAGAGCAGGAGTGCCCTCTTGACCTTGAGAACCTTGCCCATGCTCCAAGGTCCTCCTCCCTCTCAGCTCCCCATCCATCTCTCGAGTTGGAGGCAAGGAGACCTCTAGAGGCTGTGGTGGAAACCTGGGGTGCATAAGGGCCTTAGGACAATTTCACAGCCCCCCTACCTGACCCCCAACATGGTCCTGCTAGGCACTGCCCCCTCCCCCAGGTGCACGCCCTCCAATCACTTGGGTTTGTTCTCAGCTCAGAAGTGTCCCAGGAGTGGAGGTGATAGTCGGGTGGGGGGAGGTTCACCAGTGTCCCAGGCTCAAGACTTCCATAGAACCCACCACGAAGCATGCACAGGACGTTCTGTCCAACCCTAACCCCTCCTCTGCCACAGTGGTGCCTCATATTCAGCCTCTGAAGCTGCCTGCCTGGAGCACCACCCCAGTTCATAGCCCTTCTCCTACAGGCAAGCCTCTTCAGACTGCTCCAGTCCCTATGGCATTTTCTTCCTTCCTCTGCAGTATCCTTTCTCCAAGTGTGTTCAGTAACATGTGCCTCAGAGTTGCCAGTGGGGATGGAGGTTCCTTACAGAGAACCATCTGATTCTGACTAGGCCTGGAAATCTAACTATCAGTTATATGAAGGACTGGGAATAGAGGAACAAGTGAAAGGAGACTGGGGATGAAATCAGCAAAATCCAGAATGAGGAAAATTCTATAGGTTAGATTCTCAATAAATAAATAGCAAGGGGGCTTCCCTGGTGGTGCAGTGGTTGAGAGTCCGCCTGACGATGCAGGGGACGCAGGTTCGTGCCCCGGTCCGGGAAGATCCCACATGCCGCGGAGCGGCTGGGCCCGTGAGCTATGGCCGCTGAGCCTGCGTGTCCGGAGCCCGTGCTCCGCAACGGGAAGAGGCCACAACAGTGAAAGGCCCGCGTACCGCAAAAAAATAAATAAATAAATAAATAAATAAATAAATAAATAAATAGCAAGGAAACAAAAGAGATGAGGGGACACCTATTAGTTAAAAGTGACCATATGGAATATTACTCAGCAATAAAAACGAATCAACTATTGATATTTGTAACAACTTGAATGGTTTCAAGGGCATTATGCTGAGTGAAAAAAATTCAACCTTAAAAGGTAATATACTATATGATTTCATTATATAAATTCTCAAAATAACAAAATGATAGTGATGGAGAGCAGATCAGTGGTTGCCAGAAGCTAGAGTTGGCAAGGTGCATGCAACTCTAAAGACATAGCACATAAACCATAATGGAAAAGACTATGAAAAAGAACATATATACATATATATATGTGTATATATATATGTGGATCACCTTGCTGTACAGTAGAAATTAACACAACATTGTAAATCAACTATACTTCAATAAAATAAATTTTAAAAAAAAGATCGCACAGAGGACTTTGTGGGTGACAGTTCTGTATCCTGACAGTTCTGTATCCTGACAAACCTATGCATGTGATAAAATTTCATAGACTTACATACAAAAGGAGAAAAATGAAAAATGAGTACATACAAAAACTGGTAAAATCCAAATAAAGTCTGTAGTTTTAATAGTATTGTACTGGGCTTCCCTGGTGGCGCAGTGGTTGAGAATCCACCTGCCAATGCAGGGGACATGGGTTCGAGCCCTGGTCCGAGAGGATTCCCACATGCCGCGGAGCAACTGGGCCCGTGAGCCACAACTACTGAGCCTGTGCGTCTTGAGCCTGTGCTCCGCAACAAGAGAGGCCGCGACAGTGAGAGGCCCGCGCACCGCGATGAAGAGTGGCCCCCCCTCGCCGCAACTAGAGAAAGCCCTCGCACAGAAACGGAGACCCAACACAGCCAAAAATAAAGAAAGAAATAAAGAAAGAAATAAAAGAGTGCCTCGTGAATAAGGCAAGTCAGAGAAGCCTAAGGAAATTGAGCAGAGGTCACTCACTAGTGAGGCGAAATTCAAAAAAAAAAATAGTATTGTACTGATGCCAATTTCCTGGTTTTGATAATTCTACTATGGTTATGTAAGGCTATCATTGGAGGAGGCTGGGTAAAGGGTACACAGGAATTCTGTATCATTTTTGCAACTTTTATGTGAGTCTAAAATTGTTAAAAAATGAATTTTAAAAAACTGACTTAAAAGACTATCCAGTTGCAAGGTATGGATCTTATTTGGATCCTGATTTGAACAAACCAACTGTAAAAAGAAAAGTTATAGGACTAACAGATACACACTACTATATGTGAAATAGATAAACAGCAGGGACCTACTGTATAGCACAGGGAACTATATTCAATATCTTCTAATAACCTCTAATGGAAAAGAAACTGAAAAAAATACATATATATATATATATATATCTCAATCATTTTGCTGTACATCAGAAACTAGCACAGCATGGTAAATCAACTATACTTAATTTTTTTTAAAAAAACCACCAAAAATTAGGAACACTATTAATAAAATTCATCATTTATAGATCTAGGGTGAAAACCAAATTATCTCCATATGTACTGGAAAAACATTTGACAAAATCAACACTTGATTTTTAAAAGTAACTCTATAAGATAGAAATCAAGGGCGTTTTTCCTAATGTGATAAAATATATGTTTTTCAGAGCCAAATGGAGTAGTTATGGTACTAATATTTATTTTTTTAAGAACTGCTAATTGTTAAGCGGTAATTCAAGAATCATTTCTACTAAAGTCACAAACAAGATGAGGATGCCCACGTCTATTATTTAACATTATATTGGAGGTAATAGCCAATGTAATTAGGTAAGAGAAAGACATCAGAAGTGTAAAAATGGAAAAGAAGGAAAATGCTATTATTTGCAGACAGTACGGTTGTCTCCCTAGAAAACACAGGAAGTCAACTAAAAATTTACTATAAACAATAAGAGAACTCAGTAAGGTAGCAGAGTACAAAAATATACATAAATAAATCGCTTTCATATATTCAAACTACAGCTAGCTAGAAAATATAATGGAAAAAGAAAGTCCCACTTACAATGGCAACAAAAAATGATAAAATAACTAATAATAAATCTAACAAGAGATGCAAACCTATATGAAAAAACTTTAACACTGATGGATACAAAATAAGCTGAGCAAATGGAAAGATATGCATTCTCAGATAGAAACACTGTCATTATTAAAGATGTTGGGACTTCCCTTGTGGCGCAGTAAAGAGGCCGCCTGCCAATTCAGGGGGTACTGGTTCGAGCCCTGGTCCAGGAAGATCCCACATGCTGCGAGCAACTCAGCCTGTGCACCACAACTATGGAGCCTGCACTCTAGAGCCCAAGCTCCACAACTACTGAAGTCCACGTGCCTAGAGCCCGTGCTCTGCAACAAGAGAAGCCACCGCAATGAGAAACCCGCGCACTGCAAGGAAGAGTAGCTCCCGCTCGCAACTAGAGAAAGCCTGCTCACAGCAACGAAGACCCAACGCGGCCAAAAAAATTAATTAATTGAAAAAAAAGATGTTGATTTTCCCCTAAATTAATGAATAAATTTAATCTGATTTCAATAAAAATTCCTATCATGTTAAAAAAAGTTATGAGACAATTGTGGAAATTTGAATATGACTGCACTTTTGATAGTATTAAGGAATTATTGTTATTTATTTTAGGAATTTTTAAAAAGTACTTGTCTTTTAGAAATATAAATGGAAGTATATATGGATGAAACAATATGATATCCAGGATTTGGAGGAAAAGTGGGTGGGGATATAAATGAAACCAGATTGTCATGTGTTGAAATTTTTAAATGTTGGATCATAGGGACCTGGTTTCATGCTATTATTGGCTCAATGTTTGAACATTTCAACAATAAAGTGTTTAAAAAAGGAACTACACTAAGGGCAGATTTCTGGGCCTCTTCTCATAAAGATTTTGTTTCAGTGTCTCTGGGGTGAGCCCATGAATCTGCCATTTAGCAAGCTCCCCAGTGGTGTTTATATAGAAGACTAAGGTTTGAGAACCTCTATTATGGACTGAATGCTTGTGTCCCCCCAGTTTCATATGTTGAAACCTAACCCCCACTGTGATGGTATTTGGAGATGAAGCCTTTGGGAGGTGATCAGGCTATGAGGGTAGGGCCCTCAGGAATGGGATTAGTGCCCATATAAAAAAGACTGGGAATCCCCTTCCCCCTTCCACCATGTGAGGACACAGTGAGATGACAGCTGTTTATGAACCAGGAAGGAGGTCCTCACCAGACACTGAATCTGTGGATGCCTTCATCTTGGACTCCCCAGCCTCCAGAACTATGAAAAATACATTTCTGTTGTTTATAAGCCACCACATCTATGGTATTCTGTTATAGCAGCCTGATGGACTAAGATAACCTCTTCCCGTTCCCCATATACTATTGGTACTTGTGAGGTGGGGTAAAAATGGGAGACTTCCAAGAGGGCTAGGGTGATGTCTTCTAATAATAAAAGTGGTAAATTAGTATAGTTTTAACATCTTACAGAGGCAGCATGGTGGGGTGGAAACAGTATATCTATTTCATTCATTTGTTCATTCATTCATTTATTCCATAAGTATTTACTGAGGGCTCATTAGATGGCAGGCACTGTTCTGGGGCCAGGTGCAGATATTGCCCTTGCTTTGTAGGTGATGACAAAGCCTCAGTCTTCTGAGGAACTTCCACTAGGCCCAGGTGTCCCACTTCATAGCTCATAAGACTGAGGCTGCAGAAGATGCTAAGTAAGCAGCAGGTCAGAGAGGGGGTGGTTCTTAAAGGGGAAGGGTCCTTGGCTATCACTCAGTCTAATCTCAACAGAGTACATGAGAAAACTGAGGAGCAGGGAGCAAAAGGGATCAGCCCACAGATAAATACTGATGATGACAGACATTCTCTGAACCATCTCTACACATGTGCTGGAGATGCATTTTGTCTTTTCTTCCTCTCATCAACCCTGGGAAGGAGGGAGATTTGTCTTTCTGTAGCTGTTAAGTTGTCCTTCCCTCCAGAGGGAGGGATGGAGGGGCATGAAAGAGAGAAAGACAATCCCCTTAAGGGGGAAGAACGCCTTGGACATGTTAGGATGACACCCCAAACTCTGCCCTGCAGTTCTCTTTGGGAGAACCCCTAGGTGCCTTTGTGGCTTCATTTCCTGGAAATGGGAAAACTGTGTCCCCCACATCCAGGAAGCAGCAATTCAGGCAGTGGGCGGGAACTACTTCTTGGTGGAGACCCACACTGCACTCCGTGGAGTCTGGATTCCATGGCAAGTACAGCCTGTGACTTCCTGAAGTTGTTATCCAGCTGGTCATGGGCTGCATTTGGGCCTTTTTCAAGAAGCATCTGTAGGAGCACAGCATTGCCCAAGGCTAAGAGAACTAAGGGCGTGTGCTTTTCTCTTCCAGGAAGTCTTCCTGCCTTATGCCAGCTGCCTGGAACCAACCCTCCTCAGGGGGGAGCCCTTGGCACAGAAAGTTCTTAGTGCTTTGCAGAAATGCTCCTTGCTTAAGCCCATGAGATTATTGTCTTCCCTTTGGATTGTAAACCCTTAAAAGTGGGTTCTTATTTCTTTTACCTTCTCCCCTGGAACACTGTAGCAATAACTAACTGTTGTATGGGATTTTCTGGTTCACAAAGTGTTTTCATCACTCCAGACGTTTTTGAGTCCTGCAACAACCATGGGAGGTGAGTATTGGCAGCAAAAGGTGAAATGACTTGGCCAAGGGGTACAGCCTGAAAGTGGCAGAGCTGGGACTCAAACCCACGCCTCCCAACTCAATTCATGGTCCACCCCCTTGCCCAACATTGCCTGAGCGCTTAGCAGATGTAGTCACATGACCCACCCTGTAGGTTAGGGAAAGGAGAACAAATTTGAAAGGGGGTAGGCACTTTTCTAAGTGTTCTGGGAAAGTAGATGAATGCAGACATGTGTACCTGGATCCATGTTAATGCAATTAACAGCATTAAGATCATCAACCATCCTCAGTAACCTTGACACCACCTTAGATTTCTTGCTTACTCTTTGATACCCTGGCAAAATCTGCTGGGACAGGTCATACTCCATACAGATAGCACCCAAGAAAGTACGTCACTTAGTGTGAGCCGAGGGTAGAAAAGGAGAAGGAGATAGGGAGGAGACCAAGTACAGAGAGAAGGGGTTCAGGAAGCAGAAGGCTACTGGAGGGTCACTTGGCTTCTAGGGTGGAGGGTCGCCTGCCTCTGGGAATAAGGCACGTGGTAGATCACCTCTGAGATACCCAGAGCTTCCCTGACCGTGAGAGCAATTCCTTCTCCACCGGGGCACCCAGAGGACACAGTGCAGGCTGCTGTCTCTGAGAAAAAGTGAGAAGGGCGAGAAAGTTGCAGCCAATCAATCCCAGCTCCAGTGGGGTGTGAGTCTCCCAGCTGAGCTTTGTAGCTGAGTTTCCATCCATTCTCCATCATTGCTGCCTGCCCAGCTCTCCGTACATCATCTGCCTCTGCTCCCTCACCACAGGCGAGAGCAAATGCACATACGATGGATGGAGAGCTTCAGCCTACACAGGCAACACACAATTCTCCATGCAGCTACAGGGGCCAGGCACAATAACCCAGTGCAACAGATAATCCAGCATTGGGCTCCAGGGGTCATGGGCCTGGGGAATTCTCAGCTCTCACAACTGAACGAGGAAGCTATCTGGACTTCAAGGGTCAGAAGGCCTCTGCTTTCCTCTGTCGTCCCTCAAGGTCCTCACCCAAGACATGCTAGGAACAGCTAGTGTCTCCCCAGAAATTGTCCCTAGAAGCAGACAATAATCAAATCCTTATTTTTCAGATATCTTCCACTTGTGTTGCCTGGGACGAAAGTGCAGAGAAAATTTGCAACAAAAGGATGGAAGGAATGTTGCTACCAATACCCTGTGTGATGTAGGGGAAGTCATTTCACCTGGTTTGGGGTCTTTTTCCTCAGCTATAAAATCACTAGTTTTTGCAGGGGTTCCCAAACCAGGCTGAGCCTCAGAATTACCTAGAGATTTTTTAAAAAATTGTTTTCCAGACCAAAAGAATCCATATTTCAGTGGTGGGGCCCAAGAATCAACATCTTTGGCAAGTTCTTCAGGTGTTTCTGATGCCCAACCAGGTGGGTAAATTACAGGCTTTGGTCTCTTTAAGCTGTAAACTGTTATGTGCGGTGAGTTGGCAAGGAATTAAGTAAGTAGCGGTCTGTAATCAGGAGTAACTTGGTCTGATAAGCCAAATAATCTGGCAGGCCCTGCACCTTGGCCTGGAACTTCAAGTGCCATCTGGCTCCTGACCCAGATGTCAGCTCCCGGGCTCTGAGTCCTGCATCCACGCCTCCCTTTCTTTGTCCAGGTATGGGCACTAGGTCCAGCCAGCTGGTGGTTAAGGAGAGAGAAATAGTGGTCACTCCAACCTGTATGCTCTGGTCTGGGCTTAACCCAGCCTTCCCCTCCTTGCTCCCGCCCGCCAGCTTGTGAATCCAGCCTTGAGATTCCCCAATTCCTAATGTCATGCTCTCTGGCATGATTACTATTGCTCAAGCCTCTTTAAATTCTTGGAAGAGAATTTCTGAAAATGGCAAATACAGTGCAGGAAAAATAGCACAACAGAAACTTGTGTTCTAGAAGTAGAAGATCTATGTTCCAGAAGCAGAAGTTCCCACCTCGTCTATATAGGAGACGTGTGCCTTGAAAAGATAAGAACTTAATCTAACAGCTACTACTCTGTACTTGTATTATGTGTGAAGTATAGAGCTAAGTACTCTACATGTATCATTTAATTATTTTCTTAACTTTTGAGATAGGAACATTAATTTTTAAATTTACAGGTGAGAATACAAAGGCTCAGAGAAGACTTCCCTGGTGGCGCAGTGCTTAAGAATCCGCCTGCCAATGCAGGGGACACGGGTTTGAGCCCTGGTCCGGGAAGATCCCACATGCCTCAGAGCAACTAAGCCCGTGCGCCACAACTACTGAGCCTGAACTCTAGAGCCCGTGTGCCACAACTACTGAAGCCCATGCGCCTAGAGCCCATGCTCTGCAACAAGAGAAGCCACCGCAATGAGAAGCCCCTGCATTGCAACAAAGAGTAGTCCCTGCTCTCCACAACTAGAGAAAGCCCGCACGCAGCAATGAAGACCAAACACAGCCAATAAATAAATAAATAAATTTTTTTAAAAAAGGCTCAGAGAGATTGAGTAATTTGTCCAAAGGCAGAGCTGAGATTCTAATTTAGTCCTTACTCTTAACATCTACGATGCTGTCTCCCCAGTGTCCTCATTTGTAAGATGGGAGTAATGTTATCCTCATAGTATTGTTGAAAAACATCAAATGGAAGAAACTTAGGTAGTGGAAGCAAATATCTCAGTCTGTTGGAAATCATACACCAAGTGAGACTCAGGAAAACACCTCTGTGCTTCCTCTTCTCCCCTGCGAAATCAGTGTCAAAATATAAGATCTGTCAGCTTCTTCCCACCTGACCAGAGGCAGAGCCAAAATGCGAAAATAAATGTAGATTGAAGAAATAAGAATGCAAGGTGAGGATTCATGCCAAATCATGAATGTCGGAACAATAACAACAAAAGTGATCTGTGGGGCTTCCCTGGTGGCGCAGTGGTTGAGAGTCTGCCTGCCGGTGCAGGGAACACGGGTTCGTGCCCAGGTCCAGGAAGATCCCACATGCCACGGAGCGGCTGGGCCCGTGAGCCACGGCCGCTGAGCCTGCGCGTCCGGAGCCTGTGCTCCGCAACGGGAGAGGCCACAACAGTGAGAGGCCCGTGTACCGCCAAAAAAAAAAAAAAATGATCTGGGGATCACAATGGACCAAAAGTCAAACATGACCCGGTAGTGATGCTTCAAACCAAGGTAAGGATTTGTGTGTGTGTGTGTGTGTGTGTGTGTGTGTGGGAGCGGGTGGAGTAAGTGAAACACTTGAGGGGACACCTCTGATTACCTCTGATTACTGCCATGGCAGGTGTAGAAGAGCACCAAGGAAAAGCGAGTATCACATCTGTAGGGAGGGACACGGGTTCCCGGCAACAGGCAAGGTTCAAGTCAAGATGTGATGGGAATGCTGGGCTGAAACCAGTCAGATGAAATGATATAGGGATAAGTGTAGAGACCCAAAAGTCAAGAGTCCAGGTAGGAAAAGCCATGTTTAACAGCAGATCCTGGGAAGACAGCTGAGGGTGGAAGTGGGGACGAGGTTGAGGGGAGGGCACGGTGGAGAGGCAAAGTGGAGAGGTGACTTCAGAGTGGGCCAGGCCAACTTCCAAAGGACTTCCATCCTAAATCCACTCTGGTCACCCCACAGGATTATCTTTGGCTTAACTCCAGGCCCCAACGGTGAAGCAGACTCTGGTGAGTTTGTCCAGAAGCATGGGCTGGGGTTTTGGGTCATATAAGGAAAGACAGAAGGTTGCTCCATTTGCTGAAAAGACTCCAAGGCAACTTGAGAGCTATCTTCACACATCAGCAGGAGATGCTGTGGGGTAGAAAAGCCAACAGACTCTTCTGGGAGGCTCCAGTTATGTGGGGCAGAACAAAGCCCAGTGAGGGGCGGGAGAGATGGTTAGATTTCAGTGCATGGTGGGGACAAACTCGCAATCACTCAGAGCTGTCTCTGCAGGGCCCAGGTCAGCTAGCAGGGTAGAGAGCTTGCAGTCCCTGGAAGTTTTCGAACAGTTGCCCAATGGCTTGGAGATGCTGTAGGCAGGGCTGCTGTGGTGGGTGGGAGGTTAAACTTGACCAGGTTTTCTTCGGTCTTTCTTGGAAACGGTTTCTTCAAATGACAGCTTATGGGAAGCCCAGTACAAAAACAAAAACAAAAACAAAAACCTTGCTTCTCTCTGGGTGAGCTGGGGATAAGGACCAGGCTACCAGGATCCCCACCTCTAGGAACTGTTGGAATGTTCTTGAAGTACAGTTGAAAACTAGTTACTAGACAGCGTATGAGATCTTTTTAATGCTAAGCCCTGGTAAGCCAAGACAGGAGCTTGAACGTGCCAGGCTGGTAAAAATAACTGTTTTGCTCCCCAAGTTTGTTCGCTGTCTCGGTTCCTTTTGCTTACAAACCCTGGACCAGCTGCCTCCTCTGATGGCTCCTTGGCTTTGTTTTCACATGCAGCCTCTGCAGTAAGAACAAGCGAAATGGCCACTGCCTGGGGCTGGCCTGGGGCATGATCGCGATGGGTTTGCCAAGGCTGGGTCTCATTGTACGAGGGATGTTTGCGGACACAGGTGGTCTGAGCTGAGCAGTCGTCCAAGAGGAATTTATTCAACAGTCACTGGTATCTTCTCTCTCTGTGCTGGGCTTCATGCTGGACCCTGGGAATACAATGTCCAGTAAGATATGATCTGTGTCTCTGAGGAGTGTCCAGTCTCTGGGATAGACAGCCTTGTAAAGGCAGAGCACAAAATGCTGGGGAAGCTCAGGGGAGTACACACCAGGTGGGGACAGCGTAGAGGGGGTTAAGTGCCAGGGAAGGCCTTGGTAGAGATGTTTCAGTGGAGCTTTGAAAGACAAATAAGAATTAACTTGATGAAGGGGGAGAAGCTGGCAAAGTCTATGCTAAGATCAGAGCGGAGGGAAGAACAGCACAGTGTATTTGGGGAACTGCCGGTCATCCGCACTGGCTGGAGCTAAGGGAGTCAGAGGGGCCTAGCAATAGATGCGCCTGGAGAAGTCACCAGAGACCAGTTCTTAAAGCTCTTGTGAGCTGATCCAAAGGGACTTTGTTCTGAAAGCTCTAGGCAGCTTGGGAGGATTCGTAAGTCGTATGAACTGATTTTTGTTGTGGCTCTTGCAGTTCCTGAGGCCCAGAGGGCTCAGCAGTAGCCCTGTGAATTTGAGGGATGAGCCTGCTCAGTGGGCGTTACCAATGATACCATTAAGTCTGGAGCACGGCCTTCTATTCCTGGCTTGGTTCCTGAAGCAGCGACCTTCAAGTCATCTCTTGCCTTTTCGTGCACCAAGTCCCTCCTTTAGCAGAATAGGGATAAAAATGCTGCCACCACCCTGCCACATTAACAGAATTGCCAAGACCAAAATGTTCCACGTGGTATGAAACAGAGCACAAAAAGGTCCTCCTTTAGGTAGAACATGATGGCTCTTGAAAGAAAGTTTGGATGAATCAGAAATGTATAATGAGTGCATTCTGTTCTTAAGTTGTTGGCAGGATAACTGGCACACCTGTTTCTCAGAGCAAGGGCTTGTTCAAGAGACACCCATGACTTCTTAAGGCCTGAGCTGGCTATTGGAACGGGTTTGGGGTGATTGGGAAGCTGCCCTCTTTTCTGAGCTGGAGGTGGGGGAAGGCAGGGGGTGCAAGGAGAGCAGCAGCACATCCCACCAACCAGCAGGTTTCTGCCGATCTCATTGGGTTGTAAGAAGGACTGAGACAATCCGAGTAAAGGGCTCAGCACCACGCCTGGCTCATGGTAAGCCCCCAATAATAGATGTTAGTGGTATTGTTAACGTGTATATATTTTGAGACCAACTCTGAACTCAGAGCGCCTCCTGTCTCTTGGATGGAATATATATTCTTTGAGATTTTAATATCATCTACCCTCTATTCCCTGTTAAGCCATGGGTGCTTCAGGGAAGGTACCATGGTCTAGCAAGACGTGCATTCCCCACAGCACCCAGTAGTGTTCTCTTACCCTCCTTGCCCCTCTTCTGAGATGGCACTGGTCAGTTTGCCTTGTATTGTAGTTAGTATTCATGTCAGTGTCTTGCTTCACTGAACTCTGAACTCATCAACGCTGGACTGAACCTTTAAATCTGTGCCCAGAGACAAGCATGCTTAGCTGGGCCCTGCTTCAAGGCCTCAGCACTTGCTGATCTCCTTACCTGGTACTTTCCCCAGCTAAAGCATCAGCTGTCACCTCTGCAGAGATGGTGCTCCTGACCATTAAGTTATTGCCTTCACTCCACATTCTATCACATTTTAAAATTTTCAGTATTTGAAATAATCTTGTTGGTTTATTCATTTGTCTTCTCCACAAGAATATAAGCTCCATGAGAACAGGGGCCTTAGTTGTCCCTTCATTGCTGTATTCCCCAGTTTCCTATAATTGTGCTTGGCATATAATAGGTGCTCCATAAATATTAATGAATGCTGAATTGATTCTAAATTAAATGGCTGGGGGAGTGGGCCTTTGTACCTCTTCTCCAAGACTGAACAACAGGTCAGTATTGCAGAGATTGCAAAAAACAGAGCATGTGGCTCCTGCTTCCCAACTGCTTGGGGAAGAAAGAAACAGCAGTATAAACAGCATCAGAACAAGACAAGGCAAACTCTTACCAGGCGCTAGATGTGAGGCACAGAATCAGAGGCAAGAGACACAGGTGGTGGCTGGAACACAGCTTGAGCGCAGGGACCATCGTACTCACTCCACTATGTCAGCACCTAACTCAGAGGTTGTAGAGGAAGTGCTCTGTGAGCGACTATTGAATTGCACTGAGCGGACAGCCCACCAAAGAAGTGCAGGAGGTTAGCTGAGATACAGAGAATCTGTGTTTAACTTGCTATCTTCCTACTCAGTTAAGTTTTCGACCTGTGTGTGTCAAGAGAGCCCCTTAATTTCAAACTATTTAAATATAAGCATATACAGAACAAGATAATGTTTTGGCTAAAATCCATGTCATTTATTTATTTAACAAAAACCTGAGTATCTTCTCTGTTCCAGACCATGTCCTTGGTGCTGAGAATGGAGATAAACCCTGGCCCTCAAGGAGCTCACATCTGGGGGAAAGATACGTACATGAGTAAATATAATGTAGCGTATGCCGAGGGGACCCCTACAGGAGGCAAAGAGCAGAGGGACGGGATTCTACGGTTCATGTCCACAGGAACGAGAGACCTGGCTAACGGGTATTTTTTGTGAAGAACAGATAAGGTAGTGGTCCTCAGAGTGTGGCTGGCTAATTATCTACATCAGAATCATCTGGAGCACATATTAAAATGCAGATTCCCAGCACTTCAGCAGGTTGGGCTTTGGGACCTGGGAGTCTGCATTCTAAAGTGCTCTAGGTAATTCCACTGCAAATTAAAGTTTGAGAACCCGTTTGCTTATAAAACTGTAATGAAGAATGATCTGCACATCTGAAATGCTCATTTGTGTTGGCCTTTGGTGAGAGGCAGGGCAAGAAGGGAGGAAGAGGGGAGATGACATTTATTAAGCTCTATATAGTCTCTATATAAGTTAATTTAATTCTCACAATAATCCTGTGAGGTAGATATTATTACTCTCATTTTACAGATAAAGAAACAGAATTAGAGAGCTTAAATAATTTGTTCAACATTTAGAGCTAATGAATCCCAACACTGAACCTAGATTCACTTAACTGTAAAGTCTGTCCACTTTCTGTAACACCATGTTGTACCAGGGGACTGATTAATGTAACAATTTTCTTTTAGTTGTTTGCCAGATCTTGCTAGGTAAATATAAAGAACAGCCAGACGGTACTCTGATCATGTCCGAAGTAACTGGCCATGGATACATACTTCTCTGGCGAGTGGGGGACTCAGGGCAAAGCTGGGAGGAACAATAAAATGAGCAGCCAGTTCTGGCTTCTTTCCCCATCATTTTCTCACCTTCTGGTGGAGGTGTTATGAAAGGTACTATGGCTAAAGCCTGGGTCCATCTGGAGGGAAAAGGAAACATATCCATGAAAGTAACTCCACCTGCTATCAGAGATTCCTGGGACGCCAAACATCCAGACTCAAGTTTCTCAAAAAGGTTAACTGTCAGGAACAGAGGCCTGAACTTGCATTAGGAAACAGCTCAACCTTAAGAGAAACTGTGAAAGACCAGCAACTTTTCCAGGTTAAACAAACACTATCTCTTTCTACACACAGACTCAGAAGTACAGCAAAATAAACACAGCTCAGAAAATAATGGGAAGTCCAACCCCATTTAAAGGACTTGGGGACAAGCCCAACTTATAAAAAGTCTCCTGTAATAGAGAAAACACACACACAAACTGCAAATCCTGGTTACATTCCCACTCACTATATCGTGTCATTCGCCAGACCATAGGCAGGAGCAGCAAAGTGGAGCATGTTAGATGAAGAAAAGGAAAGGTGTTATAATAGAGGCAGCTGACAACAATACTGGGGGCGGGGACGCGCTCCGGGGCCTCGAGTTCAGAAGGCAGGTGTGTAACCGCCACCGGCTTCTACCGCTGAGCTTGGAGCCACAACAGTGGCACTACTAACCAGACCTGAGTTTCCTGCGCTGGAGAGCTTCTTTCTTATTTCTGGCATTTCAAGCAACTGCTGAGTCCAAAGATGGGTTTTGATGAAATCAGCCCATAGTACTGACGTTAGGGATAGAACACAGCTTAGATTTCACTATTTAGTGTAACAAAGATTATAAGCCAGACTTTATTTTATTGCTACATTTTCCCCACACCCATTATGGGTACATTTGCTTCCACCTACTTTTTCTATAATACTGGCATGGTTTAGAGTTGTTAAAAAAAAAAAAAAAAAAGCCAGTCTGGATTCATCCTCTCTTTACGAAAGTGTTGATTTATTTATACTGCACTCGATTCAGCCCCTCCAAATACACAGCTTCCAACAGGCAGAGTTAGAGAAGCAGGCACCACAAACCATGGTTTAAAAATATGCAGGTGGCAGGCACTGTACCCGTTTAACTATAACTGAGATCTGCTGATACTTCAAACCAGCTACACTAAAGCCATCTCTGGGGGCATCTAGACGGAGTCTTAATCCTGATGGCAGTATCTGGTTGTTCTAGAGTCTAACAGGATACCTGGGTTATGCCTGTGGCCAGCCAAGTGGGAAGAGTATGTAGAGCCCACATCTAACTACAGCAGGTCTTCAAGCTTATTATCCTGTCACAGTTTATAAAGATGAGGAACTAACATTTGGGAGCTGTGCAGTCAAAATGTCCAGAAAACAAATATACTATTGCAGTGTGTAAAATCAAGTCAACCACCTTGTGGATCCTTGGCTGTCTCTGGTTATGACCTCAAACACTTAAAAAGGAAACCTCAAGTATGCTGGGAGATAATGATCAGAACGCTTGGGTGCCTTGGTTCCTGACTGTCAAGTAACAGGGCTCACCGCCACGTTACTTCTTGCAATAAGCATACAGGGCAACTCCTTAGAGACTGCTCATTATCGATGCTGAGCTCCTGAGAGGTCAGGGGGTGGGCAGGCTCAGGACTATCCAGGGCTGAGCAAACTCTGTAAACCAGCCTTACAGCTCTAAGTCTTATCCTGGTTCTGAGAACACTTCAGTTCTGCTCCAAGTCCGCTTTGTTCCAATTCAGCGATGACAGACATATATTTGAACTCGTTTGGTCTGAAGTTAAAGGTCTCCACTAACCCGTAGGTCTCTTTTCGATCAGTGGCATAGAAGAGCTGAACTTGGTTGGCAATGCACTGTGCCTCAGCAACATTCTGAAAGGTAAAAAGAACAGTCAGGTCCTTTCCAGCACAGGGCCATGAAGCTCTGTGTCTAAGTCCTATGGCAGTTGGGGGCCCTCATCCAGGAGTCACTGCTTGCAGAAAGCTTCCCTGACATCCCAAGTCTTGGTGAGGTGCCCCTTTTCTGTGTATTCAAATTACCCTACACGTCCCTCTAACATAGTATGCATCATACTGTATTGTATCTGTCCTTTTTTTCCTCTTTTCTTTTTTGTCTGTCTTCCTTTGTGTGAATTTCTCAAAGTATGTGCTTCTTTTACATCCTGTACCCAGTGAAATCTGGTGAATGTTTGCTAATAAATTAATGCATATGTTAAAAATTTCCCTCTTCATTCAGTTCTTTAGTAACTGTTTAGTTTATCTCAAGGGGGAAAAAAATAGCAATAGTTACCCAGCTCCAAGAACCAGTTTGTGAGTTACTACTAAGTTCTTGACTAACCAGACATACTTTGAAATAAAACCTGTTCCTCATACCACCTCAGTCAAAAAAGTAGTGCCAAAGCCAGCTGTAGTTTTACAATTCGTCCATAAAGTCTATGACACAATGTTTTTTTCTTTTTTCTTTTTGACTGTGCTGCGTGGCTTGTGGGATCTTAGTTCCCTGACCAGGGACTGAACCCAGGCCCTCGGCAGTGAAAGTGCGGAGCCCTAACAACTGGACTGCCAGGGCATTCTCTATGACACTCTTTCTTCCCTGTGATGGAGCCTCGTTTCTCTTTCCTTGAGTGTTGGCTATACGTAGTGACTTGCTTCTAACGAATAGACTAAAGTGGAATGATGAAAAATGACTTCTGCTATTCAGTCACAGAAGACATTGCAGGTTCTGTCTTGCTATCTCTCTTGAATCACTTGCTTTGGGGAAAGTCAGTTGCCATATCATGAGGACATTCAAGTAGCCTACGGAAAAGCCAGTGTGGCAAGGAAATGAGGCCTCCTGCCAACAGCCATGCAAGTGGGGTCAGAGGTGGATCGTCAAGCCCAATCAGCCTTCAAATGACTGTTGTCCTTGCCAACATCTTGACAGCAACTTCATGAGAGACTGAGCCAGAGCCACCCAGACATGCTGCTCCTGAACTCCTGACACACAGAAACTGTGAGGCGATAGATATTTGTTGTTTTAAGCCACTAAGTTTTGGAGTAGTAATTTGTTATGCAGTCATTTCTAACTAATCCACCCGCAAAGCCCCAGGGAAAAGAAGGGGCCACCTTCTCTAAAGCTCAGTAGCAGGGAAATGGTGACCAGACCACTCTGTGTAACAGAAGTGGGATCAGGACACAGGCTACACTCTTGAAACCTTACAAGAGAGTTACTTCAAAAACTCTTACTTTTGTTTCCTATACATTCTCTGGTGCCAGCTGATCAGAGGCACTTATTCATGATTACAATGTTCACACAGCCAAAACCCAACCCCAAGCGATAATGGAAAATTCCTACTAAAACTGTCAAAAGTGCTATGCGTAGCTACAGTGATGAAAAGAGGTTTATAAATACCACAGCCTGCTTCACCTCCATTCCCTCCTATGGGCCTTGCAGGTCATTTCTCATAAGCAGGCACTGATCTCTGAGACTGGATCTTCAATCAAAAGCCATTTTCCAAAATGCTGGCTATTTCAAATTAATAGAATTTTAGAGCTGGAAGGGGCCTTAGAGATCACCCAGTCCTCATTTAATGGACCAGGAAACCAAAGCAGATGAGGGTCAGGGATAGACCCAAGGTCATATGGCTAACAAGTGGCAGACCAAGGACCAGACCTCTGGACTCCCAGGCTGGTACTCCCTCCACTTCACCCTGATAGTATTTCTGGTGGGGCAAATAATTAAGACTGATCAAGGTCGGTAACTCTACTTCATCATTTTTATCTTTCTTATATTCAAACATGCCTCAAGAACAAACCATCTCTAAAGCAAGTGCATAACCTGAGGCAGATACCACCACTCTCTGAGGCCCTAAACTGTAGGGCCTGTGAGTCAACTTTTATTTGAGGCTTAGGATGGTGGAGGTAAGGGTGATTTCAGTTGTGTACATTCTAGAACAGTGCTGCTCAAACTGCAGAGTCCTAGGTGGAGATGCCTCTGGTCCCTTCACCTCTCTTTCAGCTGTTATATCCTGGGGTTTTACATAATAAGATTCTGTGTGGATAAAGGGCTCTGACCACTAGTTTGAAGACCATTAGAATGGTGGGTAGAGAGTTAAGATATGGAGATATGTGCAAATGTCTCTCATGGAGAATTATGGAAAGCTCTCCTGCACCCCAACCCCTGCCCACTTATTCACCCCCTGCCTTTTATTCTCTCAACATGAAACAGTAGTCTCTTCCCTTTCCAAGACCCAAGAAGATAAACATATTAATTCCCTATGTTGCTCAACAAGGAGGTTTATTAACAAACCTGATTCCTCCCTCTTTTCAATCTTAATAGCTACAATCAAATTACCAAGTCTTGCCCATTTTATTCCCTATATATTTCTGGAGACATTCTCTCTCCTCCATCCCTACTACCACTGCTCTAGTTTAGGTCTTTACTACTTCTTGCCCAGACTATTGCAACTGCATTTTAAATGATCACACTGACCAGGCTAGAACTAAAAAATATTTAGGAAGCAAATACTTAAGGTTAATGGTCTTAAAATCCAACTCTTTATGGGTCAACTCCCATTCAAAACCCTTTAATGATCTTTTTGTGCCCACAGGATAAAGCTGATCCTTTAAACACAACCCACCAAACCTCCTTTTTTAATATACCAGTGACAGCAAACTGCTTGTAATACCCCAAGTCATTTTATGCCTCCTAGCATTTATGTATTCTATTTCCACCACCTGGAACATTCCCCTCCCCCTCCCCACTTTACCCTGCTAAACTCCTGCTAATCTTTGAGGTTCAGCTCAGGTGTCATCTCTAGGAAGGCTTCTTCCTCCTTCTGGGCCAGGAACGCTCCCCCTGCCCCCTCCCCCAATGCTGTGCATGTCTCTCTCCTAGCGCTTACTACATTCCAATGAAATCATCTGTTAACACACATGTGGACACAAATAAGGCTTTCTAATACTATACTAAATTTTCATCATTAAAGTTAATCAGTTCAGAAGAAACCTCTAGTTTCCAGGTATTTCTATTCATTTGCTTTACTGTATTTGGAAACACTATGCCTAAACTGCAAACTCATGCATGAGTGTGCAGGGGATCATATATTTATATTACATTTCTAGGTTTCCCATCTCTGAATCGTGTATCTCTACACTAAATTCTAACATGTCTAATTCTGTACTACATTAGAAACTCACAGTCAAGTTGACTTATACAAGGCAAAGGTGTGTTGTCTGGTATGATGTTAAATATAAGGCTAGGAAGCAAATTTTAATAATTATGGGTCTGAGACTACTAGGGTGAGGGGGTATAAATGCTAAAACAGAAAGCGTCTCCTCTGACCTCTAGAGTCCACTTCTAATACAGTTAGATATTATGCTTTGCTGAAGATCAGAAAATGCAGTATAATCTCTATGTCACTCACTCCTGTGGTCAAATTTTAAACTTTATCATTATTGATAACTATATCCCCTCCAAATCTCAATTTGAAACATCCGTACTTTGTCTACTATTTCCTATATTTAACACTCACTCCCAAATTAAAAAATCCTTTAACTCAAGTAGGACTCGCAGTTCTGTCTCTAACCTTTCTCATGTTTCCACTTCCCTCTTTATCCAACTTGCACTCCATTGTCAATAATTACAATCATTCCTTTGCATTCACTTTTAAATTCCTGGTCCCTATCTTGCTTCATTACATCACTTGGCTAAACCATAACCCTAGTTAAATCCAACTCTCGGTCCTCCCTCTCTGTGCTTGTACCCGCACACCCATTCTCTCTTCCATTTTCCTAGATCACACGTCAACAAACACTTTCTGGAAAGGGAGACACTGTTAATGTTTTAGGCTCTACGGCCCTACAGTCTCTGTTGCAGCTACTCAACTCTGTTGTAGAGGTAAAGCAGCCATAGATAACATGTAAATGATAAACATGGCTGTGTTCCAATAAAATTTTATCTACAGACACTGAAATTTGAATTTCATATACTTTTCACAGGCCATGAAATATTATTCTTTTTTAGTTGTTTGTTTCCTCAACTACTTAAAGATGTAGAACACATTCTCAACTCATGGGCCTGTCCTAGACAACAATTTCACACTTTCTCTTTTCCACCCAAAAGTCCAACACCTATTCTTCCATCCTCACTCTCAGCTGACCATCTTTCTTTTCACTAAGCAATCTGAAGAGAACTTCTTACAAGCTACCACCACCTCTATTCATTTAACTGTATTTGTGTCATTATATCCTGGCTTCTCTCCTGTTGTTACGTTTCTGGCAAAGATCAACCCCTCATTCCCAAGACTCACCCCACTCAAAAACACCACTTCAACAACTCTCCAGCCTCCTTCTTGTCCATTATCAATATTTCCCTCTCTACTGGATCTTTCCATCAGCCTATACATATAATGTTATTTCTCTCATTTAAAACAAAACCAAAAAAACACTCTCATCCCCACTTCTTCCCCTATTCTCTCCTTCCCTTCTCAAAAACATCCCTTGAAAGATGTGTTTATGCTTACTCTTTCTCTTCCCATTCTTTCTTAAATGTACTCCAATCATGCTTCTGTCCTACCACTCCTTTGAAACTGCCCTTATAAAGGTCCCCAATGACTTCCATGTTGTGAAATCTAGTAAATTCTCAGTCCTCATCTCATTTGCCCTACCAGCAAGTGAGATTTGGCTAGTTGAGCACCCTTGTTCCTTGAAACATTTTATCTTAGCTTCCAGGGGCTTCTACCATCTTAGTTTTCCTCCTGTCTCACTGACTCTTCCTTTTTAATCTTCTTTGCTGATGCTTCCTCATCACTCCAGGGCTCAGTTCTTAGACCTCTTCTCTTTTCTACCTTAATTAACTTCCTTGGTGATTTCATTCAGTCTCATGGCTTTAAATAACAACCTGTATGCTGACTCCTCTCACTTTTCTCTCTCTAGCTTGGGCCTCTCCCCTGAATGCTGACTCCTCTCACTTTTCTCTCTCTAGCTTGGACCTCTCCCCTGAACTCCAAGCTCATGTATCTAACTGCCTACTACTTGGATATCTAACAGGCGTCTCAGATTTAACGTGTTGAAAACTGAGCTCCTGATCTTCCTCCCAAACCTCTTCCGCCTGCAGTCTTGTCTGTCTCAGTTAATGGCAACTCCATTCTTCTGGGTAGGATTTTGGGTGACTTCCAGTTGAGTGTGATGGGTAGAAGGAAGAATGGGAGAAATGGGACTGAACAGTTACAGGAATAACAGACAAGGAAGGAGAGTCTCAATTATGTCCTAGACTTGGGACTTACTGCTACTATGAGATACTAGCTGAGTAGCATAACTTTTCCCTTTCTTGTATGCAGCTGATTAAGAGACAGAGGAAAAATAAGTGGGTGTTGTAAAAAAGAACCTCAGGAGGAAGAGGCACTAACGTGCCCACTGTCTTGAGGACATCCTGAACTTAAACCCTGCCAGATAAATGAGACTGAAATGAGCAAGGACTAGACGAACAGGCTGAACAGTAGTCATAAAACTGCTCCTGGCCCTGGATATGTAAAGAACAAACACAACAGACATCATTACCTACGGGCATATGGTCAATGCTCTATCCCAGCAAATGGGAAAAGGAGGAAGGAAATTCACTATGTATGATGAATGCTGTACATGTGAACAGTGTGGAGGAAGATAAAAGATTAAGAACTATTCTAGACTTTGAACTCTTCCCTACATTTAAGAAGCCAATTTACTTGTCCATAGTCTCTTGCCTGAAACCCCTAGGGCCAGATGTGTCTTGGAGGCAGAATTACTGGATTTTAGAAAGGTAACAAGTGCAGATACCATATAACTGTATCTGAATACCTTCAGGGTCACCAGGTAAATCCAAAAAGGTAAAAGTTGATTCTTACCAGAAACGTGGAATCCATTTCTGCTGTCATCAGCACTATGCCCTTTTCTTCCTTAAGTTCAGGGTAGTGATACAAAATCAGCTGGCTGGCTGCAGCTTCCCCTCGGGTCTGTAAGGAGGAACACTTAATCAAGGCTCAGTAAGGTGCCACCACAACAAAACCGCGACTTCACAGCAACAGAGAGTCTGGAGGGAATTCTGGCTCTTAACAGCCCCTTGGGTGGCTGGTGAGTCGGAGGACTAGCACGTGGCGGTGGCCAGGTCTGCCAAGGCACATCGAAACCGACAGCTTGCACAGTGTTATTTGTGTCTTCAATTGAAAAAGGTTTGGCTTTTCTCCCGGAAAATGTTTACAGTAGGCAGTGAATCCTTCATCACGGCCATATATTTAAAAACAAAACGGCACAAGCAGCTACCAGATCAAGTCCTAAATAAAGCAATATGCCTGTGTAATTGCCGCCTTTATGGACTAGTGCATTTCACAGTTGAAATCTACTCCCCTTGGCTGGCTCTGAGGACTAAGCTCTTTTAAGCTGTAGCAAACAGCTGGAGAGTTTGCACATGGGCCAGATTTGTAATGTGCAGTTTTAAAATATAATCTGGGTGGGAGGAAGGGGGGAAAGAAGAATGGGAACATCATAATTTCATGAAGAAGGGACAGGGCAGTGGTGACTAGACCTCACTCCAGACTAGGAAGAGAGGCTAGGTTCAAAGCCTAAGCCCTCACATAGTATAGAAGGAAACAACTATACATTCAAAAGATCTCTGGGTTTCATCTTTAAAATTTCAGCAAAAGTCCTTTTAATTATCAATACCTAATTATTGCTAGGGTACTCTTAATAATAGTTCAGCCTCAGTTCTCTCGAACGTACTTCAAATACACATCATTTTGGTCATAATTATGTTTCTGGATCTTTTTCCTATACTTGTATATGAGCTTCACGAAGGCAGTCCTAGCGTAGTTTCCAACACAACAGCATAATGGTTAAGTTCATAGACTTTGGAGTCCATAACCTGGAGTCAAGCAACTCCAGCTCTACCACTTACCAGCACTGTGAACTACCTTCTCTGAGCCCACTATTTTTTTTTTCTTTTCTTTCTACTTTTTTTTTTTTAAAAAAACAAACACAATATAATTTTTGGATACAATCACAAGGGCTACAGTCATGAGCAAATTCTCATTCTGTTTTGTGCTCCCTTTACCCCAACTTCAAAGCGATTATAATACATTCTTGTTTTTGCCAGATTCAGCCTCCAAATATAGAATGTCAATCCTAGTGATGATCTTATTTAAAACACTTTTATTTTAAAAGCTTCAAATGCTTTGGATCAAACTTCTTAATCTAATACTTGGGAGTAAAACAAAGAAAAAGGAAGGAGGGAAGCAAACAAAACGACATCTGTGAAATGAAAACTATGCATCTAGCACCTCAGAAAGTGCTGACCTGGTCAATAAAACACATGTAAGACAAAGCGCCTACCTTAAGGTTATGAAGATAACCATCACCACTCACCCATGTTTGGTAAGTGAGGTACATGCAGTAAATGTTATAGATGTATGGGGAAGAGAGCAGAGAGCCAGCAATAGTCAGAGAACGTGTTTTGGGATCTTTTCAATTTCTAGGTAGTGAGCGGGGCCTAAAAAGCTAGCCCAAAAAAGTATGACAATTCATCAGTGCTACAGCAAATCCTGCTGGTAGTTAGTACATATTATGCGTCCTCAAGCCTCAGCAAGGGCTCATAATAACACAGAGGGGTAGGCCTCCTTCATCTAGGGGCTGAGCACAGGCCACCTACCTGAATATTTATAAGTGCAGTGAAATGGAGTTCAGTACCTGTCCACTGCCCGACAAAAAACTCATAACCTTCCCTTCTTGGCAGTGCACAAAGAAACTGTGGGAAACAAATACATGAGGAGACAGATGAATAAATAAAATCATTTGCTCTATGTCCAACCACCTGTGTCATTCACTCCATTTCTTCAAAGTTTGGGTTTTAAAACTTTTTTTAAATTATGAAATTCATATGTATGTGATAATGTAACAAACACTCATGCACTTCCCAACCCACCTAAGAAAGGCGGCATTAGAGATCCAATTGAAGCTCTCTCTGTAAACCCATTCTAATTCCATTCCAGTATAACAGGTAAACTGCATTTGGTGTCTGTCATTCCCTTTCAGGTTTTTATACTTTTAATGTATAGGTATACATCCATAAACAAGAAACAGTACTGTTTGCATGTTTAAAAAATTAAATCGTATCAAACTATATGTATACTTTTTTTTAACATCTTTACTGGAGCATAATTGCTTT